GATGCAGTTCTAGGTGTTTCTTAAATTCCCATTAAAACGTTTCACTTTTTCTTGAGGAAAATTCGCAATTTAAAGCAAAAACAAATAAAAAAAAAATGCTCGTAGAAAATACAAAACGGAAGGTAAAAAAATTGTGTAGCTGTAAAGCAATAACAAAGTTAGCAAAAGGTTGAAGTAAGAATAGGAAAATTCCTTAGTAAATTAATCATATAGATGTCGCATTGACATTTATATTAATTAATTTCGAGCGTGACAATTATTTATTTTGCAAATTGCAATAGTGAAAAAAAATAAAAAGTAAAAAAATAAAAGAGGAAAAAGGTAAAAAGAGCGAAAAAAAAAAAAAAATGAAAAAAAAGCAAAAAAAAAAAAAAAATGAAAAAAAAGCAAAAAAAAAAATAAAAGAAAAAATCAAGAATCCAAATAAAAAGGCGTTTCAGATAGCCCAAAGGGCATACTACAATAGCTGTGCAAGTGCAAAATGTCAACAGTATGCTGTTGCAAGGTGAGACCAAAAGTAAATGGAGAAGAGTATGATATATATATATATATATAGGTGAATATTTGCTCACTAGCGCGTATGCGTAACATATAAACTATAAAGCTCTCTTGTATATAAACATGTAAAAAGCTAGTGCAAAACAAAATTACCTTTCCGTTCTTGGGGTTAGTTCACGAATTATACTACAAAAAGCTAACTAAATGGTTGAGCGATCGTTTCATTGCATATATAAAACGTCCATAATAATTTTTAAATAATTTGAAGAATAAACAGATAATCAACGTTTGGTAGATGAACATAAATGAAAGAAAAATATAAATTTTCATATATTATATGTGCATATATAAAAAAAAAAAAAAAAAAAAAATTTTGAATAAGCTATTACATTATACTTTGCAAGAATTCTATCTTTGTAAATGATTATGTGCACAGATGCTTACACAATTGTACATATATTTTACCTAAATTTATATATATAAATATTTTAAGAAAAAAAAAAAAAAAAAAAAAAAAGACCTTAAAAAATGCAATTTTTAACCAATTGTTAAAACGTTTGCATTTTTCTAAACCTAGGTAGGTTATTAAATCATGTGAATTAATATGAGACAAAAAAGAAAAAAAAAAAAAAAAAAAAGTTAACTAACTAAAATTTTAAAAAAGCAGAATTACCGATATTGTCGTTAATATGAATAGTACCAATAGCATCAATCGCCTCAATAGAAATATTAAGATGGGGTTATTTTTTTTCCTTCCATTTGATAAAATAAAATAGAAGTACGAACATACATGTGCATATATAGAGTTAGGTAGATATACAAATTAGTTATGCATCATATATGCATGCATGTACTCACGTCTTAAATTAGGATAACTCGGGTTCACTTATCTTCAAGGAACACAATACATTAAAAAGAGAGAAGGTGCATGAAGGGTATTTATGTGGTCATATATATATTTATATTTAGATGCATACATATGAGGTATACGTTTAATGCACTTCTCTGTCAAACTGGGTTTAACGAAAAATAAAGTGATCAATAGGAATAGAAGGAGAGAAGTTATAATGGCACATATATATATGCTTATACACATATACATCTAAATAATAGTTAAAAAAGATATTTCAGCACATAAAATATTATTTCAAAAGCGTGCAACTTAATTAGAAAAGATAAAAAAAAAAAAAAAGTATTAAATAAAAGATGTATTAGGAAAGGCTGTAAAAATGCATATGGAATTTTGTACACGTACGTGCAACATGTACGCGACATCATATGTTTCGAGAGTCATGTGAATATATATGAATTTTTTTTTTTTTTTTTCAAAAGCATACAGAATTGCTGACGAGTTAATAATATTTAGATTAGGACATTATTACTACTGCTACTGTGGCTATAGAAATTCATGCTTAAGTTTAAGGCCATGACATTTTAAAAATTTGCAAAAGATGCAATCATATATTCCATACCCAGTTGCGTACACTAGCAATCTGCGTTGACATATACGTGTGCACTCACAAATAAGAAAGGAAAAAAAAAAAAAAAAATACACCGTTTGAAACAAAATTTTATACTGTAATATATTCCTACCCTTGAGAAAGGTTACTTTAAATGCATAAGCGTTGTATATATTAAGTACATACTAATGTATATATATATTTTTTATTAGTTACGAGAACTTCATTAAAAAAAGGCTTTTTAATTTTATGCGTTAAAAATGTTAGATTTTATTATTTTTATGTACATTAATAGAAACAATATAATGATGAAAAAAAAGCTAGAATTGTTAATATATTTTTTTACACGCATAAAATAGAAAAGAGTATTTAAAAAAAAAAAAAATTACACACACATATATGTTTGAAGAACATCTATATGTGACTACTAAATTTTTTCTTGTGATGTAAACATGGTTAAATTGCTCCTTTTAGTTGTAGTGATAGATTTAAACTAATTTCTCATTCATCCTATGTAGATGTGTAAATTTATTCCTCTTAGAAATGAAATTTTAATTAGTGAACTTAAAAAATGTGCTGATCTAATTAATGCTTTTAAAAAAGAAAAAGAAAGTCCACTAAATTATTTTTGACACATTGAGGAGAGGCTACATGAATTGCACAGATAAAATTGCCACAGTACGAAATTGAACTGAACACAAGTATGAACACATTTACAACTCTGCTAAACATTCGTAAGTGTGTATGTGTGTGTGTCTACCTAATGGTTAATATACATGTTTCAATGAAAATATTTATTTGAACTGCGTTTTATTACTTTTATACGCATAGAAAGTTAGGCATTTAATATCGAAATTATCTAAAAAAACAAAAGGCTACTAGAAAATGAGGTTTCTCACTTTATTTAAACATAAAAAAATGCATTATTTATGCACATTTATTTCATTTAGGAATATATGCATTCCTATCATTTTTCGAAGTTCATTGTGAATTCCCTTTCCCACCTGGACAGAAAAAATAAAAAATTATTCTACACGTTGAAAAGAAAATTTTTTCATATTACTTTTTCACTTTGATTTAGAAGTTGCTCCGTTTTGTGTTGTGTCATGTGTTACTTGCTATATACTATGGTTTTTTTTTTTTTTTTTTCTTGTACTACTGGACGTGCCTCTACTGCAATATATATACACGATGTGTGTTAATAATAATCAAGGAGGTGACATTGATAATACTTTAAAAAAATATATATTATAACATGCATATTAGGAGGTAGATTTATGGAAAATTTTTGAACTTTATTTTCATAAATGGGTAAAAGGATCTGATGATGTAGTAAAATATATGCATGCAGTGTAGTATGATTTTTAATTCGTAAAAAAAAGAAAAAAAAAAAAAGATAGACGTTTTTTTTAATTTTGCATGAGTAACAAATTGGCTTAGTTTGTAAATAGGGATGCATATGTGGGTAAAATATAATCGTATGTATAAATCAAATGCATTTGTGCATATATATATATATATATATATATATATATATATATATATATATATATATATATATATGTATATATATGCATGTATAGGCATTTGAGAATACTGAAAGTAGCTTAAGTATGACCACTTTTCCTAACCTACCTCATTTATATATACTGTGCTAACAGAAGTGAAAACAAATGAATAAATGTAAACTTGTTTTTTTTTTTTGTTTTTTTTTTTTTAGTGCAATGAAGAGGATAGTCTAAACTCATGTAGTGTGTAGCAAATGAAATGCTTAAATAACAAAAACACTATGTAGAGAGAAATAACAATACACTAATATAACCATCATTTTAATTTCAGCCTTTTGATGTAAAAATAAATAATTAAAAGTGAAGTAAATGTGACATGTATTTCTATACACTTTACAATTACATCACAGGTAGGAAAACAAAGTAATCATGAAATTTTATTGTTATTGTAGGGAAATAAAAAAAAAAAAAATGATGAATAATAGAATTTTTAGAAAGAAAAATATGATGTTTTCAGGATAGTTTTTTCATGTCAAGTCGGGAAAAACGATATTTTTGCATAATTTTAAAATAGCCAAATGAAATAATAAAATAAAAAAAATAAAATATCCTGAGAACACATCCTTTTTATGATTAACTACCTCTTAATCATTCTAGGCATTACAGAAACGGAGCGATTTGACTATACATACATTGTCTTTCCATCCCTGATTTTTTTACCTGGTCACATTTTTACTATTATGCAAGAATGTACATTCATTCAAGTACATATATGTACATATATATGTGTAATCAGATGGGTTAAAAAGTAGAAACACAAAAGGGTAAAGGTGCGCACACATTTTTTTTTTTTGAGATCATGTTCATTAAATCCAAATAAGGATATTACTCCACAAAAGGTTAGAAGGTGCACGTTCTTCATTTATGTGAGGGAAAAAGAAAATAATAACGTAAACTGTATTACATTATAGGAAAAAACGGTTTATGTGAAATAATTAATATCATCTCCTTTTTTTTGAAAGCTCTATTTTAAATATGGCTCTTTTGTTTAACTGTACAAATGTAATTTTCACAGTTCATTAACAGATGATAAAAGGGAGTGTATATAATAAACTATTAAAAAAAATATGTAAAAAAAGTGAACAAAAAAAGATAGAAAAATTAATCCCAATCGAGAAATGTCTACCACTCTGTTAAGGTAGTATTTGTCTTTATTTTGTTAATGGGGCATGGAAGAAGATTTCAATTTTGCACTTTATACATTTCTTAATTAGTGTGTGCGTAAAAGAATTGATGCCATTGTGATAAGGTAACTTTTCTCTTTACGCGGATAGAACATTTATATACACTACTTATAAATATATGTATATATATTTGTATATATTCTCTAAAAATTTAGGTAAGCTAAAAACTTCACAAAAAAAGAAGGAAAAAAAACAAAAAAAAACGAAATGAGCAATGTGAATAAACGACATGTACATGGAAATGTTTCCTCTAACTCTTTTGATGCCAACCATCAAAGAACAATGAAGGGCTAAAATCCTACTTTTTTTCTTTGATGTAATAATTTATCCTTATTTATAACTTCTTTTTGAATAGCCCTTTTCAATGCTATCAAAAAATCCATCAATGAAATTAAAACTTTTTGATCGCTGTTATTTGTCGAATTATAAAAGCGCAGAGTCTGTAAAGAACATTTCATCGCATTGTTATGTAGCAGGGCGTTCTAAGGAAATCATTATTACACAATTAACTGCATATTTTATATATATGCTTATATTTCAAGTAGCATATATTGTGTTTTATATTTTATATGTACATATCTTCTTTTTTCAGCTAGAAAATTATGTGCAACACACACTGATATAACACTGCCTTTGTTTTGTTTTGTTTTGTTTTTTTTTCCTATTACCGCTTGGCAGAAGTAGGCATATGCTTGAAAGGGTATCCTTCTCATGCAGCGGCCACTGAAACCTTCACTCATTCTTGAGCACTTCATCAGCTCTAGTCCGTATCTGGTGCAAAAGAAAGGGGTGGAAATAAAAGTACAGTAAGATCAAATAAAAATCGAAAATTTCCCATTCTCGATAACAGTCCCCCAAATGAATATCCTTTTACATGATGCAGTTATTACATGAGTTCCTCTCTCGCTTTGTCTGTTTCGTTCTGTAAAATAAAAAGAGAAGGTTATTAAGGATAAGTTGAACGATCACATATATGTGAATACGCATAACAGAAATAGCTGTTTTTATAAGTTACGGACTTTCATTGACCTCTGAATTTGCTCATAATTTAGTATTTTAGAAGAAAAGTCAATTATCCCTTTTTCCACCTATGTATTAAAAAAAAAAAAAAAAAAAAAAATCAGTTAAAACATGGGGGGAGGGGAAAAAAAAAAAAAAATGGTGCAAATTTTTCATAATTAAAGAAATATCCCGTCTTTTAGATGTTACTAATTCATCTATGCAGTCCTTATAAATTTCATATCTGCATTTTTCATTGGGTAACCCTATATACTGCTTCAAATCTACCCTATCGATGAAAGCATCATCAATCATTTCTTCAAAGGGGAGAAGTGATGAAAATGTTAAGAATTTGGAAATGTGCAAAAGGGTTCTTCTTACAGGTGTGTTGTGTAGAAGTATCATTTATATAAGTGTCACGATTATGGTTGCATAGTCATAAATGATGCATAACAAATGGTGTGTAAAAAGCTCTACGTAATAGCTTGTTTGTCATGAGCGATAGTGATGTTCCAGGAACACTGATGTACCACAAGGTTGTTGGTTTACCCTACCGGAAATGTTGGATGTGGTGAGAATCAAAGTGTTGTGGTAATATTTTAAGGAATCAATTTGAGTTAGTAACGTATTAACGACTCGTATAGTATCAGACGGTTCTGAACTATCCATAGATCTCCTTCTATCTGCAGATAAACTTTCCACCTCATCTATTAAGAGGCAGATAAAAATATCATTTTCACCATAATCATTGATTATCTTTTTAATTTTGTTAAAAAGCTTTAACACTTGCTTTCCTGATTCGCTGAACCATTTTGAAAATAATGTGTGTGCGTTTAGTTCTATCAGAACTCCTTCAAAAGGTAGGGAAATAAAGATACTATTGTGTAAATAAGTATGGTTGAGTGTTAAACTAATTTTTGTACATGTGTCGAAAGGGACATAGCGGAAAACAGATGTCATTTCAGAAAAGCGAATCGTGCACAAAATAAAAAAAAAAAAGGACGCATACAACGGATATATCTATCTATGTATATATATTCACGCTCGTATATACAATAAGTAATCATTACGCACGGTGGCACATGATGAGGTGCATTTTCTATAGCATCACTCAGAATTTTGCAACTTATTCGATCTATGAACCATACCTGTCGCATATATGTTTGATAAACGAATGCATATTTTATTAGCTAATGCTTTACACAAGGACGTTTTCCCGGTTCCTGGAGGTCCATATAATAGCACAAGATGATTGTAATTTATTAAATTTCGATCAATTTTTTTTGTTGCAAATAACATTAATGCTGATACATATTCTAGCAAATCTCTTTTTATATTTTCTTCATAATATAGACTATCCCATAATTTATGAAAGCGTAAGTGAGGTAGGATATACTGAGAAAAAATGGGTACATCTTTTCTTTTCTTTTTTTTCCCTTCATCATATTCTTCTTCATCTTGACTTTCTCCATTTTCACTTGGTTCATTAAATTGTTCTTCCATCAAATCATCATTTTTATAATATGTCACTACATTTACAATGCAACAAAAATTTGGTAATATTATTGGATCATCTTCCATTGATGATACAGATTTGTCACCTATCATAGGTACAGTAAATAACAAATTTGGATTTGTCTGCATGCATTCTTTATTTTTTATTTCGTTGGATATGAAAGTGGAAGGAGAAGAAGAATACACAATATTTTGCGGAACAGCAAGAGAGCCAACTAAGGTAGTGTTATTAATCCCATTACTAAAAGAATCTCCTTTCTGTGAGTTCAAATGATTAGTCTTATTTATCTCAATTAAATTTATCTCAGATGACACTGTTGTATTTTTTGTTGTAATTTCCTTTTTCCCTTCATGATTCATGGGGTGAAAAGTAGGCCAATTGTGGAGTTTATGATCAGGTGAATTAGTTTCATTGACATCTGCATCGTAACATGAACTTGTGTCGTAAATGGAATAATGTGTAGTGCACAATTTCCCGTACATTCCATTTTCGTAATTTCCACTAACTTCCTTTACTATTTTTATAGGTACAGCTGGTTCTATAATTATATAATCACAACATTTATTTAACTTTTCACAGTTAATTTTTTCTGGATCATGCCTTCCTAACGTTATAGTTATTCCTAAAGAAAACAACCATTTATGAGCTGCAGTTTTTATTATTTCATTTGACACATCTTTTCCGTCTTTTAAACAAATTTCACAGCATAGTGGAATTCGTTTTTCTTTTTTCAAATTCATTTTTTTTTTTTTTTTTAATTGTAAGTTAAACAATTAAAAAGTGGAAGAAAAACAGAAAAAAATTATATATATTATTTGTTAAACGGAGTACACATTTTTTTTTCATAGTATTACATTGACCAATCTACAAAGTTTCTTCTAAATAGACCTTAATGTGCATATATTTTAGCTAAAAGGAAGACGAAGAAGAAGCAGAAGTGGAAGAAACAGAAGTGGAAGAAACAGAAGTGGAAGAAACAGAAGTAGAAGAAACAGAAGTGGAAGAAACAGAAGTAGAAGAAACAGAAGAAGAAGAAACAGAAGTAGAAGAAACAGAAGTAGAAGACGAGGGAAAATAAAGTTTACCTTGCATTTTTAAGAATCTTCCATTTTTTCACAAAATGTCATCATATTTTATACACGCTTCCCAACCCCTTTTGCTATAATGCTAACAAAAAAGTAAAAACTGTTACGCTCCTGTTCATTTTAGTAATTGTGAGGAATATTCACTCTACTTTTTGATTATTAGATGTGTGTGTAGAAGGGTTAATAAAAAAGCTTCGTTCTGTCACACATAAATATGAATTTATGCGTATATATAATCCACTTGACTAGAAAAAGCTGAAAGAATTAATTCCTGTACACAATTATGTGTATAAAAAAAAAAAAAAAAAAAAAAAAAATATATAAGCAATGTACATACACCAATAAATTGAAGATTCCTTCAAATGGGAAATTATTTTATTCGAACTATTAAAAAAAAAAAAAAAATCACAACAGAATGATGTCATGTTTTGTTTTTATTTTTTGAGTCGTCGTGAAAATAAAAAAATAAGCCAAATTTTAATAATAATGAAAAGAAAAATAAATAAAAAGGGGCGTGACAGATGATATATTAGCACTGAACAATTTTTACTTAGGGAAATATTATCCATATATAAGGACAAAATAATAAAATAGACTCAAACGATGTGTTAAGAATTATGCGTGTTCTTTCATTCTCTGTTAACGAACAATGGGTGTATTTCATGTGATATCAGTTTAAACCTTAATTTGATTACACGAAATGGTAAGGTGGTGAAGCGTTCAAAATGTAAAAACATTCCTGATATGTTAACACTGAGTTTTAATGAAATGCGTGCCAACAATCATTTGTTATGCGTATGTATATATAGCCGGAAGTCCACGTAGACTTGTCGTTAAACTGAACCACTTTTCATGCTATTAATTTAATTCTTTTGATGAAAGAGGTAATTTCCTATCTTTTTTTTAACACAGTTGTTTTTAATCATTTTTTAACAGAGTAATTTTTTGCGCTTTTTTTTAACAGAGCTATTTTTGCACAATTTTTAAATAGAATCCTGAATTAACAGCTTTCCTGTTTTAAGCAATTGGCAACTATATTTGACGCAAACCAGAACTTTTTTAGTGTCATGTTTGGTTAGAATGTATCGATGAGGAAATATTTTTTTTATAAATGGTGCATTTGTGTGTAATCATAGAGAACCTATTTTAATAAAATGGCAACAGAGGACATATCTGTGAGCATTTTTTTTGTTAACAGTAAAATTTAGCCTAAAAAAAAGGATATAGACTGTGTCTATGCGTATGTAAATATTCTTAAAATATATATATAAATAGCAAAATAAGACCCTGATGGGGAATTTTTGTGATGACACACAAATTTTGAGAAATTCATGAACACCTATGACAATGGGTTATGTGAGTGGTATATTTTTTTTTTTTTTTTTTTGAAAACATGCAGCTACTGTTTTTCTTTTAAGGTTGAACATTTTTTATTTTTTATTTTTTTGGACAGATTAAAGGATATGCAAAATAAATACAGTTTTTATTATAATGAAATGAGGAAGAACATCTGGTTAAAAATAAGTCTTTCTTCTCTCATTTACACCTCTCTTTGTTTTTTTTTTTTTTCATTTTTTTTCGTCACTTATTTATAGGAAACCACTACATGTCCAACTTTTTGCTTTTCATTCGAAATAGCTCAATTCTTCATTTGATAAAAAAAATATAAAATAACATAACAAAGGAACATTACTCCCCTTTTGGTGCCATAATTGAAGTTATTTTGCAAACGTTCACCCTCATTATTTTGAAATGTTATAAGAAAATTAAATAAGTAAAATTTTCTGTCATAACAAGTGCATGAAACAAGAAATATGAGACGTGCAACCAACTTTTCAACAAATTTGATGAAAAGAGGTTATGCATAATTGGGAAAAAAAAAAAAAAAAAAAAAAAAAAAAAGACTGAAAACGAGAACAATTTTTTTCCAATAAAAATATGTATACAGATAAGTGCTAAAACAAATGTATAGACTCAAATTTTAAAAAAAAAAAAAAAAAAACACAAAAATAATTGTATTAAAAAAAAGAAAAAAAAAAAGTGTAACATTTGCAAAGTACACACAACAACGAAAATAAAATCAAAATTGTGCAAATTAGCAAGATGACAACAAAAGATTATTTAAACGAATTAAATTTTCCTTCTTATGATGAGGATCTGGATTTAAAAATCATGGAAAACAAAAATATGAAGACGAATTCTCACAATTCAGATAGTGGCATAGATAGTGAGAAAGAAAATTTTATAGACTGCTTTGAAACGATCCCAAAAAGGCTACACAATAAGGATAATGAATTTTTTTTGAAAAATGACACTATTGAAGAGTGCAAAAAGCTTACATATGATAATCCCTGCATTAAAGAAATCGACCTTTTCCAATGTAACAAAAAAAAGGGATCTCAGGAATATTCAAAAAATGATGATTACATGGATGACAATTGCGGAGACGATCATGATTTAACAAAAAAGTTGGAAACTTTTCAAAGTTTTGATTTATCTACTTCCGACATAGGCGATAAAGAACTGAGTGAATCAGAAGCAAATTTCCAGAATTATAACATTAATTTAAAAGTCGATTCGGACATATCCATTAATGAGAAAAAAAGCTTTAATAACCACGGTATAGAAGTAAGAGAAGTTTCAGAAGAGAACAAAAGGAAATCATTAAGCTTTTATGGTGGTATAGGATATAACAAAGAGTTAGCGGATGAAGATATAAGAATTCATTCGCTGTATTTAGAGAACAACGCTGAAAATGAAATGAACAAAAAGGAATACATTATTGAAAAACAAGAAGGATTTACTAGAAGTAAAGACATGCAGGAACTGGACACAAAATTCGAGATAAAAGAATATTCTGATGAGGAAGAAGAAAAGAATAGAAAAATAAAAACAAATATCAAAGAGAATAGTAACCAAAAAAAAGTAACCAAAGAAGAAGATGCACCAAATGATATACAAATAGACAGAGACATAGATAACAAAGAAATGGAAAACGATGCAAGGGATGAGATAAGAATGAACTCAAAAGAAAAAGCAGTAAAGGACAGTGAAGAGTTAGAAAAAAACATAAATACTAATTATAATAAGAACATTTTTAAAAAGGAACATATGCAGAGCACAAATTTAACAAATGAAAAAAGGAAAATTATTACATTAGAGAGGAACCAATGGCATGAAAAAGTTTCATTCTCTCCCAAAACGGTCATAATGGATGATATCTCTTATCAAAGTTGTGTAAATAATAGAACTACGAAAAGAGGTGACGATGTGGAAGAACAACTGACCGACATGAGCGAAATGGATGGGGAATCCAATATATTTGATAGTTTCAAAAAAATAACATCAACTTTTAACCATTATACTAGGGGGAATATTATTGATAAAGAGGAGAGTCAAAAAATGGACAAAATTATCAACAAGGCGACTCACGAAAAGGATGATATTTTAGACTCTCGTAGTAGTAAATCTAAAAATAGCACCGATAATTTTAACCAAAATAAAAATCAGAACTTTTCCCTCAAATTGGAAGAGTCCCCAAATACCCATCCCCCCAATGAGAAAAAAAATAACCTTAACATATTAGCGCACCGAATTCCTTTGAAAGTACCCATGATTCGAGAACAGTATTATAATAATTATCTTGATGAATGCAAAATAACTGAGAAAAAAAAAAAAATTAACAGAGAAGGTAACCATTACAATTATAGATTCAAGGAACAGGGTAGAGGAAGCAGAAATTATTCATATATTGAAAATTTCTACAAGCCCGTTAAACAACCAAAACAATATGGGGAATACGTGTACAGGTATAACAAAATAAACACTTTCAAAAATGTAGGTAGAAGAACGATAGGAACTCAAAAAAATTTTATAGCAGGGAAAAAACACGATAAAAAGATGAATATATGGAGTGAACTTTGTATTACAAAACAAGAAAAAAAAAAGAAAAAAAAAATTCCAGAGTTTAAATTGAAACCTGCTGAGATAAAAAATTTCGATTTTGATGCAATTTTTGTGAAGGATGGTCACATAATTCCACGGAAAATAGATCCCTTAAAGGAATTTTTTAAGACATAAATTTCACACATATAAATAGAGCTAAAACAAGTTAAATATGTTTTTAATGCAAGCCCCCCAAATAAGCACATAAAAACAATTCAAAAAAGGGAGTAAATCGAAGAGGCAGTGAATTTATACTTGAACGGATTGGCGTATCTTTTAATTTAGTTTTTAGTCTTGCTCTACTACACGTTTGCGAAAAATTTTGAATTTCATTAAGTCGAATCACAATCACATGGTAACACTCATTTGACTCTTGAAAAAAGCATTTGCAACTTTAGCATTTATGTTTGTCCATTTTGATGAATGAAATTTACGAAAATGTTTATCAAAAGGATAGCTATCCATTTGGAAAAGGCTACATTAAATAATAAAAAAAAAAAAAATACTCGAACAAGTTACATGTGTTAAGCTATTTGAAGGGGTATTTTTTCATAACCCCGAAATGTAATATATTAATTTCATTTGATATGCAATAGGATTGTAACTAGTTTTTATGGTTGATATAAAGAAAGACACAAGGGAAGATTCTATAAAATGGATGTAAACAGATATATAAGTTTAATACGAAAACATATCAAATATGACATGGAAAAATTACGAAAAAATTGTTTATTCTTCAAGGTGTTCTAATTTTAAGGAGATGAAAAAAAAAAAAAAAAAAAAAAAAACGAATGAACGAACGAAAGAAAGATAAAACACTATCATTACTTTAACGACGCTCTTTGGGGGTCGTGAAGTGGAAGGAAGATTTGCCCCATTCATGGGGTTCTTCCGATTCGATCATTCACTATACGCAACACCTCTTTCATTTCGGAAAATTTTTGTGCAATTTTGTTTTTTTGCTTGCCGAACTGTTCCTCTAATTGTTGAATGTACATCCAGTCATCAAAAGTGAGAAACTGAACTTTCTTTTTTTTTAACAAGTCGGAGATATCATTGTCAAAGAATGTAGTTACATTTTGAAGAAAATTTAAAACAAGTTGAGTACAATTTTTAGAATTTAAAATCTGGCTAGCTATATTTCCCTTGGGACCTTTATCAAACCATCCTGCTTTGAAAACATCAAACCTGTAATTGAGCTTATCTTCTTTAAAATTATAAACAGATTGATTGTACAAATTTTCAGAGAATTTATTTTTTTTAAAACCTGTAGCAAAAATGACTAGCGGTGTTGTTAAAATTTTTTTCTGCTGAAGAGACGAATGAGAGATGTCTAACTTTTTGTTCAGCTCAAATTCTATATCTTTCATAAAGTTATTGATACGGTGAATTTTTTTTATTTCATAATAAAAAATAAATTCAATAATTTTATAATTTTTATAAAAGTTTTTATTTTTTTCTACTTGTTCATAATTTTTAACCATATTTAAAAAAATATCATGTTGTCTTTTTTTCATATTCGAATTTGAATCATCACTTTTTAAATGATAACATATGTCATAATTTTTTCTATTTAATATCACCTTAGTATTATCCAGGGAAAGTAATTCTCTCAATTCTGCATTCGTAAAGGAAGATTGCCAAAATCCTCTACGTCCTACTATATATATATGTTTAATTTTGTGTCGTTTTATTGCGTTGATATAATCACTGTTGATGTCCGTTTTTTTTAGATCGTCACACGATTTTGTCAAAACACGTGCAATGTCCAATGATACATTTCCGTTTCCTATAATAACAGAACTAGAAAAATTTTCGAATGAGTTAAGATATTTGTCTACTTCTCTACACCGAACGTCTTCGTACATGTTATTGTAGAAATAGATGAGGTCTCGAGCGTGGAACAGACCTCCATGGAGGTCACTTTGGGCGTCTAGGTAGTTTTCATTCATATTTCCATTCAGATTTCCATTCAAGTTTTCATTCATAATTCCATTCAGATTTCCATTCAAGTTTTCATTCATACTTCCATTCAGATTTCCATTCAAGTTTTCATTCATAATTCCATTTAGATTTCCATTCAAGTTTTCATTCATAATTCCATTCAGATTTCCATTCAAGTTTTCATTCATACTTCCATTCAGATTTCCATATTTATAAGCCGTATGAACTCCTCCCCCCTGTGTCGATTTTTGCCTCATACCTCCGTGCCCCTTTTCACGCCTTGTAACAAGCTGCAAAACAGGGAGCGAAACATCCGAAGCACCACAACAAAAAATGATACAGTTGTAGTGGTCTCGAAGTTCTTCCATTTTTAAATCATAACCTATGTGAACATTTCCAAAAAATCTATAATTGTTACTTAAGAATACTGGGGTAAATGTTTTGTATGTATTTTTCACATTAACATGATCTGGTGCTACCCCATATCTTATAAGTCCATATGGGTTGGGTAATTTATCAAATATATCGACTTTAATTCTTTCATGTTTTAATAAATGTTTACAGCAGTATAGAGCCGAAGGACCAGCACCAATTATTCCTATCTTAAATGGTTTTGTTTCATTTGTAGAGAAATATTTTCTCGTAAAAAACAATTTCCCTTTTTTTCGGTATTCCCACACTATTCGTGTTCCTATTATTTTTTTCCAAAAGAGGTGTGTATTCATAATTCTGTGATTCACCCTCTATTCTTCTTATTCCCTTTCTTAGTTGTTTTAACATTTCTCCTAATTGTTGTCACGCTACTTAACCTTTTGACCAAACTTATGGGTTCTGAAAGAATGAGAAATTCCTCGGCCACGTTCTGCAGATATGACGCAAGTATGTACTCATCCTATGCCCTCATACGTGTATGCATATGTACATATATATATATATATATATTTTTACATAAGAATGTATGCGTGATTTTTACTTATTCTCCTCAAAATGAGGATATGTTCGTTGCCAAGAAAAAAAAAAAAAAAAACTCAGCGTCAGCCAATGATTTATATTCCCTCTTGAAAAAAAAAAAAAAAATACATTTTGATAGGATGAGCGATTTTTTTAAAACAACTGAGGAAGATTCATACCAGTAGCATGTTCGATAAATACCTGCCATCACAAACTAATCTACAATCCTCTCATTAGTTTTACTAATTTTTGTGATATAATGACTTTTAAGTCAAGCCAAACTAGCATATTCAAGCGGTTTTAATGTTTTTTTTTTTTTTTTGGAAACAGATGGAACAACATTTGTGTATAATCATTACAAACCCTGAAAGTGCATTCATAAATACTTGTGGAACTTGTTGGAAAAATACAAATTTTAACCATTTTATAAATAAAAAAAAAAAAAAAAAAAAAAAAAAAAAAAAGTTGTGACATATTTGCTTTAATCTGTTTTGTTACCACATGGGAGAAGTAAAAAATGCTGGAATCGTTGAGAGTGGGATAAAAACCAACATAAAGATTATTTGTAATATATCCACTTATATGAGACCCTTTAAATGAGGACAGTTGATTATATTTACTCTTCCTTTTGAACATTTCCTCAAGTGCACATATATATAACACCCTCTAGACAGCTTTGGAGTGTTCCCATAAATGGCCTATTTAAGACATAAAACAAATTGGGACTATTTGGAAAATGCACATTGAGCCAATTTTTTTTTAAAAAAAGTTTTTGATCAAAATTGTAAGTGTTTTTTTTTTTTCTTTTTTTGTACTTCTCACCAAAAAAAAAAAAAAAAAAAAAAAATCATAATTCTATCGTATGATAGGGTTATTCTCTTATGAAAGTTTTAACAAAAAAAAAAAAAAAAAAATTTTTTTTTTTTTCCAAAAAAAAAAAAAAAAAAAAAAAAATCATAATTCTATCGTATGATAGGGTTATTCTCTTATGAAAGTTTTAACAAAAAAAAAAAAAAAAAAAATTGTATTAACATTGAATCGGGCATAAATATGGTAAAGTACAACATCTAAGAATTTATCATTCGGGTGCCAAAAAGGAAAAAAAAAAAAAAGCTACACTAACTGCCACATCTTTGGACTAAAGTGCAGTGGGGGGGAAATGATAACTTGAAAATTTTCACTTTTTTCCAAAATTTGGGTAATTTCAACCCATTTGTCATTTAATTTTACATAATACATAATTTGAGGGAAGTTAATTAAGCCAATTTTTAAAGGAATAACTGTCAGATTTATGGTGTGTGACGAGTTTGTTGGCAAAAACAGTACTCTCTTTTTAAATCCATTAATTAGCCAGTTGTATGCATCATTACATTCGACATTATTGTTATTGCTATTATTGTTATTGCTATTATTGTTATTGCTATTATTGTTATTACTATTATTGCCATTATTATTATTATCATCGTGGTTATTATTTTTTATCTTATGTTTTTTTTCCAGACATACAAAATACTTCATATAAATATCTTCTCTCATATTATTTGATAAAACAATTTTAACATTGATCGTTGTATGAATCATTCCATATTTCGGTATCTCATAGTATACAAATATTGGCAGCAGAAATTTAGGGATAAATACATCGAAACTGTATAAATGTTTCTTTTGTTTCCTTGCAAATGTACTCATAATAAAAAGGTTTCGATATTCATATGTTATGCTTACCTTTCCTGTTACGCTTTCATAATTTAGCAAATTTGTTGAATTTTTCTCTTCATCATCATTATCATCTAATGTGTCCTCATATACCACTTGGAAAAGTAAGAAAATACATGTTCCTCCATGAATATAACTGTTGATATCAATTTCGTCATTAAAATAATTTACCTCCTTCCTTATGTTAGACTCGTTGGATCGGTCAGATTTGGGAACTAATGGATTATTTTCCCTCTTTTCCATTTTTTCTTTCGTCATTTCTAAATTTTCTTCATGCAGCTTCTTTTCCATTTTTTCTTTCGTCATTTCTAAATTTTCTTCATGCAGCTTCTTTTCCATTTTTTCTTTCGTCATTTCTAAATTTTCTTCATGCAGCTTCTTTTCCATTTTTTCCTTCGTCACTTCTTGGATTGAATCATCTTTTTGGTTTTCTCCTGTTGGTGGCTCCATTCCCTGTTTCCGTTTCGATAATGTGTAAGACTGTAGCTGACTCATGTCATTAAAATAATTTTGATCATTGTTCAAGATGTGGATTGGTTTATATTCCACATTGTGAATATTCGGAGGGAAAATTTTTACCCTTTTGATGTGAGTAATGTGTTTGTTCGAAATAGAAATGTGACATTTTTTTAAAAAAAGAGAATAATTGTCTTTATGTAATTTCAAATTTAATTCATACAACACGGTGTTATTTGATCTGTATGTATTTATTTTTTCTTTAAAAATATTAACAAGATGAAACGTTTTTTCAATGATTATTTGATTGTTTAATGGCAGAATGCATGATGAATTTTTTTTTTCTAAGTTAATAAATTTATCAAATTTCATCTGTCCAACATAATTGACATCAGATAATTTATATAAATCTGTTCTTCTTTGCTTCCGCTTCTTTTCCCCTAGTTTTATATTTAAAACACATTTTATTTTTACCTTGTTCATGTCATTAGTACTATGGAGACAACAATTCGAGGGAAAGGTATCATATATATCGCTCCTGTGTGTATTATTTGAGATTTCAGAAACGTTTTGACACAGTTTATGATTAACCATCTTACAGCAGTTTGTCTTTACTGGGACGAAGGATATGACTGCATAGGGTTTCTCATCCTTCTCCTTCTTATCCCTTTGATCGTATGAACAACTGTCGTGATAAGTATCTTCTTCTCTTTTAAAAGAATATTCATTTCTCTCTTCCCTTAGATTAAAACAGGTTTCTTCCTCAATTAAAACCTTCGGTTCGGTAATTTGTATATGATCATTTTTTTCAATAAAAAAAAAAACCGAATCGGTTAAGGTACAAATTTCGCTCTCGTACTTGAGATCAATATTTTGATTTTCAGTATGAACGAAAATATGGATATTTTTTATTTGTTCATTCATGTCTGTGGTGAACTTCAATTCTTCTGCGGATTTGTTTGAATTAGGTTGAATTACTCGATTAAGAAGTTCATTTTTTGAAGCCTTTTCTTGATTAGTTTTATTTAACGAGGCTTTTTTCCTCTCAGTAGATATCAATTCATTGTGCTTCTTCAAATCCATATTCCAATGATTATTCGATACAATTAATTTGATGTAGTTCGTGCTGTCGTATACCAATGAAGTGCTGTTCAAATATGACGCAACCATTTTGCAACTTAAAATAGAGTGCAGAATTTTTATTTTAATATAAAGTGGAGAAATTAGCTGATTTAAAAAGAAGGTTGTGTATTTCTTGCAATCCAATAAGGTGTAGTTTGAATTTATAAAATTTGAATAAACGCTTAAAAAAGATGTCAATATATTTCTACTTGGTAATATTCCCATCTGTTGATACAAAGAAAAGTGATTAATTTGGAGGTACACATAATTAATTCTATAATAAAAATATTTCCAATTTATTTGATTGGATTCGAGGACACTGGATACATTTAATTTAATTAAATTTAATCCTTCTTTAATGATATATTTTTCTTTTGCAAATTTTATGTATATTTTTTTATTTTCCTTTTCTTCGTACAGTTGAATTATTATACTATCAATTTGTAAATTTTCTGACAATGCAGAAAAGACAAAGAGGTCAATATTTTCATCATACTGAACACACAGCTCCCTAACTCGACATCTGTTTATTTCCCCATGTTCTTTTCCCTTCTTCTGGGTATATTCTTGTATTCTTAGCCTCAACAATGTTCCAATATGTTCCATTTGTGAGGGTGTAGTATAGTGCACCTGGTTATTCTCTTTGTCCACATTTCCCACATTGTTCTTATTCATCTCTTTCTCCCTGTCATGGTCTTGATCCTCCTCATCCTTTCCAAAAATTCCAAAATTCATGCTTGATATGAAGAGGTAAAGATTATAATTCGACTGCACAAACACTTTTATGTCTGATTCAGGGATGTACATTTCGCCCTGTTCCTCGTTTTTACACACAGAGAAGTTAAACCTCCTTAGGCTTTTTAGGAATCCCTCGTTCGGTTCGAAATAGTAATTACTCTTGCAAAACTGTTTTGCTTTGAATTTTATCAATTTGTTTTTGCTTATGGTTGCCACCGATGGTTCCCTGTGTCTGTCTTTGGTTGTCTTATCAACTCGTTGTTCGCCAGTATGTTCACAATTTTCGCTCTTTTCACTCTTCTGGAAATTTTCACTATTTTGGCAGTTTTCACTCTTTTGGAAGTTTTCACTATTTTGGCAGTTTTCACTCTTTTGGACGTTTTCACCTTTTGCACATTTTTCTTCTTCCTCTCTAATCCCCTTGTTGTGGAAGAACGAATACATTTCTACATTTTCGACGAAGGGCTCCTCACAGCTGAAAACAGATTGCAAGACGTGATGCACCACACTTCGATATGATATAACGATGTCCTTATTCAAGACACTGTAAAAATCGTGTGTATGATGTTTCTTGTGCTGGATTCGCAGAAGAGAATTTGAGGAGTTCCGAAAAAACAAATAATATTGATGATTTGCAAATGTAGTAAAATTTACATTAATATCTTTGAACGAGAGAATTGGGGTATGTTTATTTGATAAAAAAAAGGAACAACAAAAATGATAAAACTTATTATTCACGTTGTGAAATGATATAAGTTGCATACAGAAAAATATCAAAAACTCGTTGTTTGATTTTTGAATAATTTTTTTTAAGATTTTAAAGGATTTCTTATATTTGGAATTTTCAAATAAAATAACTGCCAAAAAAAATTTATTAATAATAGAAATGTTGTAATATTTTCGATGACACAAATTCGTAATTTTATTCATAATATTTATAAGCAAATTAATTTTCCTTTTTTCATTCCCTTTCAAAAAGTTTTTTATATGATATATTGGAAAACTTTGATACACATTTTTTTTCACATTTTTCACTTGCTGAATATCTTCTTTTTGTATATTCTTTTCAAATTGTTTTTCTTCCAAATAATCTAAGAAGAAATTAAATAAGTAAGTCTTCTTTACGTTCCTTTTGTTATATAACAAATCTGTCTTGTAGCTATTTAGTATATTTTTCAAAATCATAAATGCGAGTTTAAAAATGTTTGTTACGTTTATACAGAAATCATTCTGAAGGTTGAGATGAAAGCTATAGTTGTTTTTTCCTTCCGATCGTTCTGATGAAGTGGATGATATCTGAGATGTGGATGAATCATCCAGTGAGTTACTTCTTTTTGTTTTAATTTTCAAACTTTTTTTCGATTTTTTTTTTTTCCCAAAATTTTTTTGGTATCCCAATTTCATAATATTTTTTTGAAGTGATAAATATTTGCTAATATTGGTATTATTTTTATGTACACTTTTTTCACTTTTGTTTTTATTCAATTCTTCCTCATAATAAAAGGAGCTCCTTCTCTCGAAAAGGAACTTTATCAAATTCCCCAAATTATACAAGTAAATGGCGAAGAAATTTTCCTTATTCATGAAGCAACACTTGAGCAGGAACATGATTTTATCCTTCGCATTAGGAAACTCTACTAATAAGTCTCCTCGGATTTTTCGTCTTTCCTGAATAGACTGATCATTGGATGGTGTCTTCGTGGGACTCTCGTTTGTTGGTGCTTCACTCAAAAGTTTACTATTTTCTAGGTCATCTTCCTGTAAATTATCCATTAAGTAATCATCTGGATCATTGTATGGATAATTATATGTATTGGCATCTACGACGGGTGTCTCTTTTTCCAATTGCTCATACGTAGTGGTACCTTCCTCTGGTTTTATGAGATTTACATTTCGTATTGCGATCAGAGTGCTATCTGCTCCCTTTCTAAACACATCCTTGAATTCACTTATTAGACTTTTTTTATTTTTGTTTATACTTTTGTCTACATTTTGGACTGCATGTTTGTCTACATTTTTGATTACATTTTTGTCTACATTTTGGACTACATTTTTGTCATTCGTAGGAAGATCTCCCCTTGGAATGGCATCTCTATTCATTTCTTGCAGATCAATGTGTTGAATAATACTATCTTTGTGATTTTTGTCGAATTGATGGTTATGATTAACCATTTGTTCTTCTTCGGTGTTATGGTCATTCTGATGTAGCATAGAGGCACGAAAAGAATTTGCTACGGCACGATTCATAATGTCCTTTTTCCTATATTTTGCTATTTTTTTTTGAATATTTTTTAAAAAATTGAGTTGCGTCGAATTTCTGATAACACTATTTTTGAATCGAGTGAAATTGTGCATAATGATGAAAAGCTTATTTGTGTAAAAGAATTTAGCAAATTTTAGAGCCTTACTGGATATATATGCATATTTATTTAAAAGTAGAAGAATGGTGAATTTTTTAAAAAATATATATTCTAATAAATGAATAGAGCATATGTTTTTTTCTCTTATATGACTAGCTATGGTATGATAATTTTTTTCAAAAAGGATAGATGAATGGATAATGCATTTTTTTTTTTTGACAAAAACTTTTAGATATTTCATGAACAACTTGGCTACAGTACTGTAATGAGTGTAGCTTTTTTTAAAAAGATTTAATTTGCTAAAAAGTAAGCACATATTTTCACACCATATAAAAAGTAGTAAAAATTGGTCATACATTTCTACATACAGTTCTTCATCATAATCTGTAACAAATTCTAACTCATTGATATATGTACAAAGGTCATTTTTTTTTAAAAAGAAATTGATGTCTACAAATTCGTTGCAGAAGAGGAACACATTATGATTTTTATAAAAGTCTACAAATTCAAGGATTTTATTTTCTTCTTGTTCATTGCTTGGTTCATCTCTAATGTCTGTTATGTGAAATTTGCTTTTTTTGTCATTTTTATTTTTTTTTTTTTCTCCTGCAAGAGTTTTTTTGCTATGTTCTACAAAATTTAAAAAATTTGTCATACTTTTTGTATATCCACTTTTTATCATGTGGTATCTCTTTACTATACATATTTTTAGATGATCCATATAACGTATTTTAAAATGTTCATATAATTCTTTTATTTTATTATTGGAATAGTAATAGTCTTCATTATTTAATATTGGAAGAGATAATATTTTTATGCTTTTATAACTATTATGACTAAAATCAGATTTTATTTTTTTAATATTCTTAATTTCATTCACATTGTCATCCAAGTTGTACGCATATATAATTATGCATTCATCATTTTCGTCATTTATTGAATCTTTGTAACGACTTAAAATGTATTCCTTTTCATTTCGATATTCTTCTAAATTGTTCAGACACAAAAAATATATATAAATTAATGGTCTCTCTGACAGAAAATTTCCTTCATTCTTAAAATATTCAGAAATCGGGTTATTGTAGAATACATAACTCAAATGAATTCGTAACAAATTTATACGTTCGTCTAGCTTTACATCTGATAATTCATACATGTCTTCATTGAAAAAGTATTTCAGTTTATTTGGAATTTTCTTATCCCCATGGCAGTAAATTCGGATTCTGTCTGCGCACATTTTTATCACACTGTGTAGAAATTTGCATTAGCACATAAAACAAAAGTTAAAAGAAAAAAAAAAAAAAAAAAAAAAATGGAGTGAACGGTTGGCTGTGCTCTGTGTGTCACTCGGCCACAGTAGAACAAAAATTCACATGAATTATATGTCACAATATTTATACCCCATTGGGAGTTTGTGGGTTCTGTTGAACCTATTATCACGATACTAGTTTTGAGTTTATTGTAACAACGTTTACATGAGACTACAGTTACAATGCATGGTTGAACCTATGGTTCCTGCACTCTAAGGCACTCATGATGCTTTGAATTTCACAATGCTGGTTTTAATTAAATGTTAAACCCCAATAGTAAATATCCAAGTCATGCTAGTTTGTGTTCTCTCTCTTTTTTTCTCCTTTACTTCCGCTCTTGTGCATGGAATTCGAATGGAAGGTATTTGTTTTTTCCCTCTGTTTTCATGAATTAACCTATTCAACAGTTGAGAAATAGTTAGGGGGTGTAAAAAAGGGTGTTGGAATGAGATGGTGTATAAACCTAAACAAGCAAAAGATGGCATTCTAATGCATATATATACACAAATATGTAAAAAAAATATATGAAGAAGTACATGTAACACCCTAAAATGCTGTAGGGTATAGAGGTATATCCATACAAAAGGGAATTTTGTTCAGCCCAATTTTTAAAATAATGGGTAATATTTCATTCGCACGTCCAAAAGTGCATAATTTTAATGGAGAAAAAAAAAAAAAAAAAGAAGAATTCAAAAAAAAAAAATTTCTTTTTTTGCTCATTTAGCCCTAAACATATATGCATATATGTATATATGCATATATTGTCGTTTACCTTCCCCCTGCTTTCTCTCCTTATCTTTTAGAATAGAATAAAAACATTATTTTGTTAAGTTCTTTCCTTAGAGCATTTTATAGCGGTTATCATTTTCCTATTTAGTTCTCATGGTGTGAAAACCACATGGTTGGCCAGCAATTAAAGGTCGGATGGAACTCATCATTTTTCTCCTCCCCCCTACCCTTTGTGTTGTTATTCGCATTTTATGCACAAGTTTAGTGTTTTTTTATAATGTATAAACACCCTTACGCAAATGTATAGGTTTCTTCCATTTTTTTAAATTTTTTTTAGCTTTGTTTTTTTTTTAAATAGCCAAAATGATGAAATAATTCTTGAGGGTTAAATAAATGTCTATAATTAAGTGCAATATTAAGTTTCATTCCAAAGCGCGTGTTGCATATACGTGTGCCTGTTTATGTATACATTTATGTATGTGTAAGTACGTGCGTATGTATTTATACATGTATGCATACTTTATTTTTTATTTTTTTTTAAAATTGCATACTTTTATTTCCTTCAAAATGTTTTTCCTTTTCATCTGACCTAACAACCCATTAAAGGATGTCGCTTTTATGATTTTTCTTTTCCCTTTCAATGACCATAAATTCATTTTTTACAAATTCATATTTTTATGTACATACATACCTGCCCCTTATTTTTGAACACTTTATTTTCTTTACAATCTGTACCTTTCCCTCACTTAAAAGGGTAAACAGACTTATGCCAACCCATCGTATAGCAATGGATTGCCCAGTCACACCACGCCTGGATGACTTTTTCTTTCACTTAACCTTCCCCCACCCAGTTGTTTGACGAGGGGAAAATTAATTTTGCGCAAGAACATAAACTTTTAATCTTTATTAGGAAGCATTATTACTACGCTTTTTTAAGGTGCCTAGGAGAAATATGAATTCAGTGGGTGGGTGGGCGACCCAAGTATATCAGGGAAAATACATCATCGAGAATGCTCATATCATTATATTTGTTTATTTTATTTTTTTTTTTTCCGTCTAAATGAACAACTCATAACAAAAAGTTTTTTCTATTTTTTCCTTTTTTTTTTTTTTTTTTTTTTTTACGACACTACCGAACAATTGAGATTTTATGTACGTTCGTAACATTTCATTCTTTTGTTTATGCAACAAAGAATTAAATACCATTTAAGTGTAACAAAAGTAGCACATTGAAAAGTATGGATTGATCCGTTATGCTGATTAGGAATGTATCAAATCCTTGTATATATGTAACTCTGATATGTTAATTTATACACCTTCAGAATTCCCGTTTTTTTGAGACAAATTTGAAAAGTTGGTAAATGCATACGTAAGTCCACCTATATACGTGAACATGAACATATGCGAATGAACATATGCGAATGAACATGCGAATGAACATATGCGAATGAACATATACGAATGAACATATGCGAATGAACATATGCGAATGAACATATGCGAATGAACATATACACATGAACATATTCACTTGAACATTTGTTTGTAGATTTACGGACGAACAAACGACTGCAGAATATTTGTGCCTGAAAAAAAGAAAATCATGAAAGAGACTGAAATTACTATTGAAAATTTTGCATATGCGAAAATTTTTATGCATGCTTTGAAAAACTCTTATGATGATGTATGTGGAATTCTGATTGGAAAATATGACGAAAACGAAAAGCATAAACAGAAATGCATAATAACTGATAGTGTTCCATTGTTCCATACACACATACTGAGCCCATTTCTGAATTTAGCATTCACTTTGGTAAGTGTCCTTAGGAGGAGTGGAAGATACATACGATTTTGAAGTTTCACAAATTTCCATATAGTGACCAAATAAAAGAGAGATGTCTATCTTCAAATATTTGTTTGTATGTGTGTTTTTTCCCCTATGTTTTATGGATGACAAAATTAGTAGGTGTGTATGGATGGATGGTGTTAGTACATAGATGTGCAATTCATTCCCCGAGACAGAGAAAAATACACCATTTCACCTCCTCACAATATGAACAAGTTTTTCTTATTGAGCCATTTCCATGATTAAATTTTTTTCTTTTTTTTCATTTAGGTTGAGAATCATTACAAAGGAAAAGAAGAAAGGATACTTGGGTATTACCATATATGCATAGAGGATGGAAAAAATATCAACATAAAAAATATAAAAGTTTGTGAATTAATAGCCGATAAATTAGTTAAAAATTATAGTGACGCCATGATATGCTTAGTTCAGTTATCCAAATTAGAGGATGATAATTCTGGTTGTTTAAATGTAAAATAATGACATAAAATATATAGTTTTAATTTGGAAATGATTTTTTTTTTTTTTTTTTTTTTTTGAAGATAGGCACAAACACGTAGTTGCGCTGTCTGTATTGTTGTAACATTCTTCATATGTAAAACAGAAGTATACATAGAAATGTCCATTTTTTTTTTTTTTTTTTTTTTTTTTTTGTTTACATACATTTAGGTATTCATGCAAGACAATGATTCGGAAGAATGGAAAAAAGTAGGTATAGTTGTTACCACAATGAATAAGGACTTCCTAAAAAAGAATATTTCTAACAATGAGTAAAATTATTTTAAAGGAAAATTACATAAATTTCCATGCTATAAGCGAATGGGAAATGTTTAAACAGTGTTCCCAATGAACTAATTCCTTTAATTCATCAATAAGTACATTCTTATTTACATGAATATGAATATCTAAACATGAACTAACTATATTTTCCATGTCCTACATCTCTATCCCCTCGCTTTTATTTTTTAAATTTTTTAGGTATCTAAATATACACGACTTTGACGATCATTTAAACTGCATTAGCTATGATTTTATGAACCCTAACTTGTTTAAAAAGGTTTAAGGAGCCCTAGAGTTTAGAAATTGAAAAAAGTATATACATTTGTCTATCTCGTTGCATTCTTTTGCGCATTATTATTATTATTATATACGTTGAATACTTTGTTTCTAATTTCGCACACACACGAGTGTCTCCTGGCATGTTGTGTATGCATGCTTATGCTTATTACCTTTTTGAAAAAGTTAATTTATGATTTTATCTTTTTTTTTTTTTTTTTTTTTTTTTTTTTTTTTTTTTTTTTTTTTTTTTTTTTTTTTTTTTTTTTTTTTTTTTTTTTTTTTTTTTTTTTTTTTTTTTTTTCTTTTTTCTTTTTCTTTTTATCTTTTTATCTTTTTATCTTTTTATCTTTTTTCTTTTTTTTTTTTTATTATAATATATAATAAAATGAATATAAGAAAAAAAAAATAAAATAATAAAAAACTTTAAAGGGAATGTTGTTTTGTCCTATTCATAAATAACTTTCCCTATATTTTGTTAAATTTTCTCGGAACAAACAGTAAAATGATTTAGTGTCTCGCGCAGCTGTGCTCCTACATTAAGGTGTTAATGTTACTGTCTTGTTGCATGAGAACAAAAAAAGTAGTTTTTTTTTTTTTCCCCCTTTACGCATCTAGATGCAATTATCATTTTTTCTTTATTTTGATGGCAATTTGTGAAATGGAAGAATAAATGTGAAAAAAGTGTTTTTTTTTTTTTTTTTTTACATTCTTTAGAGAAATATAGTCGCACAGACTTGTAAAGAATATTAAACGAAAAGCATGTGAGAAAAAAAAGAAAAAAAAAAGGTTATCTTGAGAGTGAATAATTGAATAGGTTTACAAACAAACACAAGTTCAATTATGTCTTATATTTTTTTGTGAATTCTTTAGGTCAAGTGGGGGAGAAGAGAAATATATCCAAACAGAAGATTTACAAAAGAAAGAAATAAATGATAACATGTTATTAACATGTTGTGAAACCGTAGAAAAATAAAAATGAGACACTCTCTATTATTCACATTCGCATTGTATTTCTGTGGTGATGAAAAAATGATTAATATAGATAAACCAAGTCGCATGGCTACAAATGTAAGCGACATTCTAAACCAGTTGACTTCCAAACTAAAATATGAACACATGACAAAGAATACAAGGGATGGACTCTTGAAAAAGAAGGTTAGTTGTGAAACTAAAGGAATTAGTTCCAGTAGTGGTAGTGAACTAAATGCTGAAAACAGCTTCAATGTAAAATTCTTAAGTCATAGAACCGATGAAAATGAGAGAAAGCAATGGAAACCTCTATGGAGGGTAGAAAAAGTCCATGTAGAAGTGAAAGAACAAAAACTTTTCACTAAATTAGAACGAAAAGATGAAGGTGGGAAAATAAAAATTAAAGAAAATATTTCAAACGAGAGAGGAAAAAATATAAAGATAATAATAAAAAAAGCAGAAACTTGACAGAAATTTAAAAAAAAAAAAAAAAAAAAATCATGCACATGTGAGTGAAAAATTGAGCAAAAATAAATAAGGTGGGAAATGTGTTGAGTTCAGTAAATGAAAAGTAAAAAAATAATACTTTACTTAATGTTTCTCCATATGATAAGAGCAATTTCAGAAAGAATAGAAAAGTCGATTTGCAGATGGACGAGAAAGGGGAGGATGCTAAAAGCAAATTAAACAGCAACACCTTCTTGTATAACCATTTAAGTAACGTAGATTATTCTGAACACGGAAAAAATTGGAACATAGGAAAATATAAAATAGGGAAATATCATTCCCCTGTTGATTTACATGTGAGGGGATTAAAAAAAGGAAAATATATAGAAAACGTATACTTAGACATATTTTTCAACTATGATAATAATTATTCATGGAATAATTATAACAAGTCATGGATAAAAAGGATATATGTTTTACTATTATGAATATTATATAAATAAATTAATTATTAACAAAAAAAAAAAAAAAAAATAACATGTTTCAAATAAAGGCATCTAATCATAATGGGAGAATTCCGTTTGGTGTATAATTTACCACTGATGAACCTGCTATGTTCTGTGCTAATCATATTAATTTCCATTTTCCAAGTGAACATACATTTGAGGGGCCTGATAAAAGACGAGAAATTGAAGTGCAGATTTTTCACAGAACAAATGGTTTATATGATTATGACGTAGACGTATGGAATAATTATTCCCCAATATAAAGGGGGTAAAAAATTTAAGGAAATGCTCAAAAGTAATTCGAATGGACAAAATAATTATTATCATTCATATGTTGTAACCTTTTTGATGAACAGTTTGTCTAATAAGTAACTTGAAAAGAAATTTATTAAACGGTGGGAAAATAAAAACGTAATTAATCAATACCAAGTTATATCTACTACATTTCCTAGTGCTTAAATTGGTAAATCTATCATTCGTTATTTTAACAAGCTGCTTTCCGAGATTTTTTTTTGCGTACTATTTTGAGAGCCGCATATGGGATTTTCCTTGTGTCTGGTAAGAAAAAAATAAAATGAAATAATTTTAGTCATAATAATAATAGTAACAACAGTAGTAACAACAGTAGTAACAACAGTAGTAACAACAGTAGTAACAACAGTAGTAACAACAATAATATTAGTGATAATAATAAATACAAAGTGAAACAGGTAATTTGGCTATCATGGCTAGTTGCACACAGAATTCTATCCCCCTTTTCCCATTATCTATATCTCAAAAAAAAAAGAAAAAAAAAATGTACTCTGTACAGACATGAGATGCCCTTCCCTCCAGTATCACCTCCCCAAGTATATATTGCATTATCATTCCCTTTTTTTTTTTTTCTGGCTGACTTGAACTGTTTTTTTTTTTTTTTTTTTTTTTTTATTTAGATCCAAAATTAGTAAATTTAAAGGAGGTTCTAAATTTAGACTCCTTAATGATGATGCTGAATATTGAAAATCTGAAATTTATATCATACCATGGGTCATCTACAGTACCCAATTGTGACGAGAACCTGCATTGGAAGGTAGCTAAAGAAGCATTACCCGTATCACTGAAACTATATTAAATTTTTATAAAATGATAAAAAAGATCTCCCCTACTTATAAGGGACGTGATGAGAATAATTATATAGTTTTACAGAATATTCAAAGGAATGCATAAAAACTATGGAAAGGTATATTTAATTCAAGTATTCCCGATGTAAATCCTCATATCATCTGCGATGTTTACTTTAGAGGACATGGTTTTAATGCATTCTATCAAAGAGTCCATTACAAAATCGTTTTCGCCTTATCTTTTCCTGAACATTTTCCTTTTTCTCATTTTTGTTCTGTAGCATTGGAATATTGGAATTCAGTCAACATTTGATTGTTGACTATATTATGTTTTGACAATACTTTGATTCAACTGGATCTTATTAATAATGCGAATTGCAGCTAACTGCATTTTGCTTTATCATAATTCTTTTGCAAAAAAATATGCATGGCCCCATTGGTGCTTCATTCATGTGTTGCAAATCATACGTACAACGAAATTTTTTTTCTTTTTTAAGCCAAATAATGAATATCAACGAATTTGTCCTTTTGTTTTTCACATTTGAATTTTTAACATGTCAATAGTTGGGAAGAAGAATGTTTGTTTATAACACGATGCAATGCTTTTCCACGGATGTGGCCTCTTTCATTTCTCCCCTTCACACATGCACATGTACATAAGTACACTTGCACATATGTATATGTATAGTTGTGATTTTTTTCCCTCATAATTTTTTTTTTCCTTTTCAATGTACTAATAATTTTTTCATTAACCAAAGGAATTTCACAAGGTGAATCCATTAGGCATTTCCTCATCTGAGGGTAGCTAAGTTATTCCTTGTCCCTGCCCCTTCCCGCATATACTTCTCTACCTATGTTGGTACATTGATATGTAGGGGAGAAAAGAATATACACATCTGTATAAAACTAGCACAATAATGTGTACATGCGAACAGAGAGGCGAACTACTTTAAAAAGGATGCTTTTTACATTCCAATAAATGTTTGCAGTTTTTACGTTTAACAAGTGAGTAGTAACAATCCGATGTAACAAAGAATAAATGATGTAAAAAAGACGAATAAATAATTAATAAAAAAAGCTAATTTCCAAGGGTCTACAAAAAAAACTGAAATCAGAAAATCCGATATAATAAATGGTTGGACGAACAGATTTATCATTACATAGATATAGGTAAAAAGTAGAATTGTGAGAAGTATTTTTCCCTTTACCTTTACATCCATTCTTGTTAAAAATAAATTTGCAATGGCGAAGTAAAGGGGTGTTTGAGTGGTAATCGATTTGTATGTGTATGGGTAAAAAAAAAAAAAAAAAAAAAAATCAAAGGGAACAATTTGATACTTGGAGGGGGGGGAGGAGGAGGGGAATAATATTTATATTCAGAAATACAATATGTCAAATAGAGACTGATGAATATGATTTCGTTCTTGTGTCTATCCAGATACTCATTTTAAGTGTGAAATATCCCCCCCAAAAAAAAGCTTAACCCTTTGAATAATAGAATCTTTATTGGGATCAAAAGGTTTATCTTTTGATGGAATTTCCAATACAGTTGGTAGAATTTTGTCATGTAAGTCAACTAAGTGTCTAATTTCATCGGCAATCTTGAGAGAAAAAAAAAAAAAAAAAAAAAAAAATGTGGAAACATAGTGAAGTTGAAGGATGTTTAAAGAGCAAAACTAATTTCTCATGATTCTTCCCTTAAAATATTCACACTATGTAAATGTAATTTGCTAATAGGCCATTTATTTTACTCCTTCTTTGTCCCTTTATTTCATAAGTGTCATATATGTAATGGGAATTTTTTCTTTCTTTTTGTGTGATTACCTGCTGATTCATCAATAAAACTCCACAATCGTTTTTTGAGGTGTATTCCTTGAACACTTCCTCGATTTCGGTTTTGTTTGTTTCTTTGAAGATGGAATGAGGAGGTTTAATGATTGCGTGGTGGGATGCAGATTTGTGCAAATGATGAAATAAAAAATGTCGACATTCACATATCACTCACGACAACATGGAAGACAAACCAACGTTGTCATCTTTTTTATTTCACGTAGTGGCATCATCAAAAAAAAAAAAAAAAAAAACTCAAAAGTCAATTTAAAACAGTTGGAGGGGAAACATGCTTGAGTAACTGTATTGCCACTGCATATAATATCACTTGTTCAGGACTCCACATATGTGCATAGTGACACGGCATATATATGAGATATATAGAGATTTCTTTTTTTTTCTTTTTCTTTCTTTTTCTCTCTTTTTTTTTTTTTTTCCTAACTTTTTTTCTAATTTTTTCTTCTAACTTTTTCGTCTAATTTTTTCTTACTTGAATTCACGATGAAGAAATTTTTTTTTCCCAACCCATCCCGAAAGCCTATGCCAGCTAGTAAGAATCCCACTACAGAATCCTGAGAAGTTAAATATTCGAGTATGCATTAGATTGGGAATAGGTAAATATATAGTCCTATCATCATATGTTTGTGATTATATGATTGTTCATACTAACACACACAAGTATACATTCGCAGGGTCATGGTGTTTGAGAGTACTCATCCTTTCTCTCTTACCTCATCCCCTATGATGTATATCTTTAAATCTGTTTCATTAAAAAACTTATGTCTTCTCGATGTCATTATATGTTAGGAAAATGAACTTAGGATAATATGAATGTCTCTTTTCCTTTTGCTCTTTTTTTCTTATACACCAAAAAAAAAAGGAAAAGAAAAAAAAAAAAAAAATGGAAAAAGTGCAAAAATGGAAAACGGTAAAAAAATGTAAAAAAGTAGGAAAACTCCTTTCAAAAAAAATATGTTAATATAAGCGAAAATCGACGAGAGATGTATTAAGATAAATGAGAAAAATATAAGAAAGATTGTTTGTGCCTTTTTTTTTTTTTTTTTTTTTTTCCTTTTTTAGTAAGATTGTTAATTCTCGAAAATGCTGCACTTCTGAAAAAATTAAATAATAAACAAATAAATAAACAAATAATAATAATAATTAAATATTCCCATCTGATTTTATGTAAATGTTACAATAATTTTTGTATGTGCCTTGACTTGAGGACTGCACTGAGCAAAGGACTGTTGGAGGGAGAAAATTCTAATTTTGCTTTAAGGATGAGCAGGTACGAGAATGAAAAATAGGAATAGTGGGAAATCCGGCGAAACCAAAAAAATTGATAAGGGATTATGATAAAAAAAAAAAAAAAAAAAAAAATACGAAAGTAACAAAACATAAAAAAAAAAAAAAAAATTAAGTTTATACATAATTAGTGCATGGTTCTTTTAATCATCAAATTAAAAAAAAAATGTAAAATGAAATAAAATACTAACATCTAGCCAGGGGTTATATCCTGTCCCCCACATTAGGGAGTATATGGAGTATATTCCAGCATATGTTATACGTATATACGCATATACACATATACATATATATATAATATATATGTGTGCCGTCCCCTCCCCCCATCCAAATGTTTACACAGCGTATAGGGATATACACTATCTTGTCATATGTCGATTTCCAGCCTATGGATGTGTGTATTCTCCCATGTGATTAATAACACTCTTATAGAGCAGATCCGTTTCGTGAAATTCTCGCAAGAAGTAATACAAAAAGGTACGAAGTGAAAAAAAAAAAAAAAAAAAAAAAAAAAAGGCTTAACCCAACTGGGGATAGTAGTATTTCCCAAAATTGGCGAATTTTGCTAAGTATTGAATACAAAAAAAATTTTAAGGGGAAAAAAAGAAGAAAAAGAAAAAAAAGTTTTATAATATTAAAAAAAAAAAAAAAATTACGTAAAGAATGAGAGGACTTCATTTGCAAAATTAAAAACATTGTTCTCTTCATATGGGCATATATGTGCAATTATGTGTGTATATATACACCTGAATCAAGAGGAGGAATTAAAGAGAAAGAAAGAAAAAATCCATATCATTTGGGGTATACCTTAAATCTTTTTACTCCTACAACGGATGATAGGATGTAACAATGGGTTTTTTTTTATCATTATAACCATTCTGAGTGTCATTATATTTGTCTTTTTTTTTTTTTTTTTTTTCTTTCCCTTCATTTCCCCCATATACTACCGTATTTGAGAGAACATATTCGATGATATGTTATGTATATATACATTTTACTTCATTGAAAAAAGATTCCCATTTAATCACTTTTTCCAAAATGATCGAAAAAAATATATATATTCACGTTTATGTTGCAAAATGAAGATATATATAAGGGTAATTAAGAAAAATAAATTGATAATAATTCGAAGCACAAAATTAAAAATTGTGTATAGGACAGAGTCTTCTCACGGAGAGGAATGGGAAGCACTTTGGAAAAAAGTTCTTTTTTTTCTTTTTCATTTTATTTTTTTAATTTATTTTGGCATTTATCATTTGTCATTTTTTTCCTTTGTATGTTTCCCACACCAAATTGGAAAAGTGTCATTCTTCGTCATCGTCATCTTCTTCCTCATCTTCTTCCTCATCTTCTTCCTCATCTTCTTCCTCATCTGCTTCCTCATCTTCTTCCTCATCTGCTTCCTCATCTTCTTCCTCATCTTCTTCCTCATCTTCTTCCTCGTCTTCTTCCTCCTCCAGATTAGCCTTTTTTTTTAATTTTTTTTTCTTTTTGGTGTTCTTTACCCTTTTTGCATCTTCGTTCTCTTCATCGCCCCCCACGTATTCATCATCGTCGTCATCCTCTTCCACCTCATCTACTTCATCTTCTTCCGTGCTGTCGACTTCTTCATCATTTTCCTCATCTTCCTCTTCATCAAACTCTGCAAAACTTTGTGGTACATAGGCATTAGGGTTCCTTCTCCTAACCCTTGTGCTTGAGTCCAGAATGTTCGAAGGGTCAATACCATCTAATTCTTCCTTTAGCTTAAGTTTTTTTCTGTACTCATGTATTTCATTCGGGTTGGGCAATCTATTGCTTTCTGAACATACTTGTTTTTTTTCACAGAATTGAATTATTCTTTGTTCTAGTTTTTTATTATAAGCTTCTTCATCTTCTTTGCTTAGATCTTTAAATATAGTTGGTCCAATTTTTAAATCTAATACTATTTTTCTTAATTTTTCTTTTTTCAAAGTATGTATATTTTTTTCTTTATTATTATTATTTCCACTGCTGGCACTTTTTTTTATTTTTTTTTTATTTTTTGAAGAATCATCATTACTTTCTTTACGTTCGTAGAGATCATCATAGTTATCATTCTGTCTATTATCTTCTTCTTCTCCTTCTTCTCCTCCTTCTTCTTCTTCATCATCGTCATTATGAACATTTTTTTCTTTCCCTTTTATCTTTTTCTTCGGCATTTGATTGTCGTCATCTGAATTTAATTCTCTCTTTTTTTTTTTTTTTATTTTATTTTTTGGTTTGGATTTTGTTGTATCATCATCCATGCTTTCATGCGTGTAGTTTTCATCATTATCATAATTTTTCTTCTCATTCTGCTTTTTTGTTTTTTTTGCATTTACACTTTTTTTTGATTCGCTCTTTTTCATTTCATCATTATGTTCACTATTTTCAATATCATCTATCGTTTCTTCCTCCTTCTGCTTTTTGTATAGAATTAAGAGTTTTTCCTTTAAGATATTTTTTAGTAATTCTTTTTTCTCTTTGTTTTCTGAAAAGTACGATTCACTTACATTTAAATAATCGGATACATCTTTTCTGACGCTCTTTAAGGTTACTACGTTTATGTCCCTATGCGGTAGAATTTTGTCAAGTATGGCTTCTATTTTGGACACTTCAGAGGAGTCCTTAGTGGAGACTCCATCTGGATTTGATTTATTTTCAATATCTACATAAGAGGGGAAGAAAATAGAGCACTCATTGTGTTTGTGTATGTTGTCTGTTTGTTTATGTGCTTGCACTCTTGCGTGTTGGAGTTCATATCTTTGCAAATATTTGTGGGAATACATCCTGGAGATGCACTATACACGCAAGAACTTATTGTCATTAACGTAGTCCTCATATTCTCTTGGTGCACACATGGGTACATAATTTCCTTTTTGCTCTCAGCCAATTTGATACGTCAGCTTTTGGCGTGTTATATGTAAATATACATACGTGCGTGCGTATGATGAAGTATCCACAAGGAGAGACATTGTCCCCCTTGGAATGGAATGGGAAATTCTCCCAGAGTACATACAATCAATTTGTATATATGTGAAAAAAAAAATAAACTTACCCATTTGTTAGATGAGGATATATGTTCGAATAGAGGGATGGAGGTAATTTTCTTCTCTCCTTAACAAACTTACTAATAATATTAGGGTGAGAAAATTAACATATGATGAACCAATTAAGGTAAAGATGTATATAGTATGAAATCTATAAGGTATAAATTAAAATTACATGCATTTATTCGTTCTTTTTTGTATGTAAATTTTTTTTTTCTTTTTCCCTTTGTCAAGCGCTTATACTTACGATATAATATTCAAGGGGGGGAGAAAAATCGGCAAGAAATTGTGAAGCAAAAATGGTAAAAACAGCGTGTGTAAGATAGCGAAAAAAATGAGAGGTGGTGGAAAGAGTAAAGAGACGAAATTAATTGTAATTTCCTAGGGTATATCTATTTTTTTAAAATTTGGAGTTTTACAGAAATACATCATTAAGGAAGAGTATGGTAGCTGAGCACATTTTGCTTTCATTTACTCTCTTTTGCGCTATTAATTTCCTTCCTTTAAGCTACTTTTTATTTTATTTATTTTATTTTTTTTCTTTTTTCCTGACGTGGCTCCATGCATCTCTTTTCCCTTATAGCGTTTTTATGCAATATTGCAATTAATTTTTTTTTTTTTTTTTTTTTTTTTTTTTTTTTTTTGAAATAATATCACATTTGCGTAAGGCACAATTTCTCATCGCCTGCGATATTAAGATAATCCATGGGTGGTATACGATTATATGGGGGGGGGTTATATATATGATAGAGGGATTATATATATATACACACATATAAGTGCTTATAAACGCATATATTATATGTATACATTTATACTAATGATTTTATAACCCATGCATGAGTTCTCTTATCACTGCTATCATTAAGCGCTTCGTATAAAATTCTTCTTTTTGTTAAATATTCCATTTCATGATATTATCTGTATGGTACCACTTAGTGTGTTTTATTTGTGCATTTTTTTTTTTTTTTTTTTTTGCCAATTTTGCTGTAAGCTTTTTTAGTCTTCACATTTTATGCATGTAATTATGGGAGAACGCGATGTGATTCGAATGTATATCCTTTACACAAAACCACAGTAGGTGACGAGCACTTCTATTCGTTTATAGACACACATTACTGAATTCATACACCTACATGAGCATTTACCTTTGCCAATACAATGATCATTGACAACATTCACATGTACATTAATATCCATGTAGCATATTCTAACTCAAACTACCTTAGCAACCTCTCCCACTCCATTAAACAAGGAGAATTCTTTTGTTCATGATTATAATTGCAGTATTTGTGTGATGCTTGTTTTTGCACACACGCACAGTTATTTAGCTGATTTTTCCATCACTACGAAAATATTAAACACGTTATCTTGCTACGTAGATAATTTAATGCATATTCCATTCAAATGTCAGGAAAATAATTTGTTTTGATTCATCTCAATTCGTAAAATGGATATGAAATATGAATATACACAAAAATGACCATGTTTAATATGCGAAAGTAGGCAAGGGATAAAGATGTACCACTCTTTGTTAAAAACAAAAAGTGTACACTTCAAAACATGGAAAACATGGGTAATTAGTTAATGGGAAAGGAAAAAAAAAATCATACATAGATATACATATATTTTTTTTTTTTTTTCATAAAAACATCCTTAATACTGTCATTATAAGAACAATTGTTTTAAAAAAGTAACATTCTTTTCTTCCCATTCCACCAAAATTGTTGATCTCTACATGGAAAATAAAGAAAAAAAAAAAAAAAAAATGGAGTGTGGGAGTAGGTTAATTCATTTTGAGTGTAGATTATTTGAAATTTTACTCTTTCTCAATTGGGATTTATTATTTCTCTATTTATTATATAAACAAGTATTTCAAAATTCAGTTTCACACAAATAACACAAATTAACATTCTACAAAAAGGAGATTGGTAGAAAAACATTAGAGGAGTCTTTTCATTTTTCATTTATAAGTGTATAATAATAAGCATCATGATTATTCACAAATTCTGTATATAAGTATTTTTTTGGTTGGAAGAATATTTCTTTTTAGTGCACTTTTTTTTTTTTTTTTTTTTTGTGGGGGGGGGGGTTTTATTGAACTTTTTAAAAATGTAAAGCTACAATATGGGGAATAAGCTAGTAGCCAAAATGTATAACATTTGGTTTATGTATATATAAATATGTATAAAAATAAAAGTTTATTTTAATTATTCTTACTTTTTTTTTCTTTTCTGTGACTTTCTATACATACATGAATATGTAAATATACATGTCCCGTTTTCTCGCTCCCCTGCCACCTCATCATGCTGACAATATTCTTAATCCTATGTGTAAATAAAATTAATATAACATATGTAAGTTGATCGCTTTTTTTTTTTTTTTTTTTCTCTTTATTTCTTAATATTGAAGAACACTTGAGAATGCTGCAAATTGTGCACTGTGCGAAAAACGAAGTAAAAAGAAACATAACGAAACAAAATGCAATAAAATAAACTGATAACTCAGCACATACACACACACCTGAGATATACCTAATAACAAGGAATCACGCACAATATTATAAAAAAAAAAAAAAAAAAAAAAAACTCGGAAAAGAATCACTCAAGTATAAGCGCGCAACATTTTTTCAAATGCAGCACATAAGTGTACCGCTACTGCTTAAGTACTCATTGTGCAAGAGCATATATGTGACTATATGTCAAACTAATGAGACTTAAATCGATAAGAAAATTGTTACAAAAAGGTTAAAAGAGGGGGAAAAAAAATCATACTATTTTAATATGAAAAAAAAAAAAAAACTCACTTTTTATGCAAAGCACATATTTCAAGAACACCATATTGATGTTGTAAAAACGATGTAACACTTAGCAAATATATGGTTACATATTTATAATTATTTCACATTTTATATGTTTCCAAATAAATAGAGAAAAAAAAAAAAAAATTCCAGCGCTTTTACACACAAATGTATGATGTAAGAAAGGATGGACATTTTTTTTAAAATCGAAAGGGATAAGTTCATATCTTTTGAGCATAAGACAATAAGAAAAAGGCTGAATGTAATTTGGAAAAGACACCATTATATATTTTACTAGTCATAGTTGTGGCGAAGCTCAACTGAGGAAGCAATTTTGCATAAAGGCTTACCGATAGACACAAAGGGAAGAAAAATAAACAAGAGTAACATACTGTCCGCAGAGGCAACAATGCATGGCAAATAAATACAGGGAAAGTTACAAAATTGATTGTACATGCTTGGACCTATTTGAAGAGAGTGCAAAAATATACAACTTCAGTGACTGTGTAATTATAAAAAAGTGTATTAATGGTGGAACATTAAGGGAAGCAGACAGCGTGTGTATATATGGAAGGGAAAAATGCGCGAAAACATTGTTATTAACTGAAATAGTAGCTGAACTTACGGCCGTAAAAGAGCTGAAAGGCATGAATTGCAAAGTGGTATACCTGGATTGCGATCTTACATTCAATTATAAAAATTATAAAAATATGATAATTCAAAAATTTAAGAAATATATAAATAACGACTATAGTTCTATTCTTAGTAATGGTGCTAGTTCTAAAAATATCAATTTAAAAAAAGTATTTTTGGAAAATTCATTTTCAAATGTGTACTATTTTCGTATATTTAATCCAGGGCATTTATTAATCATTTTAAATACATTAAAAAATTTATTAAAAAAAAAAAAATTCTTTGAAGCTTTATTTATTGATTCTTTATCTTTCTGGAATTCTTGCAAATATGACAAAGTAAATTTCTTCTCTGATAACAATTATGTAAAAAGGAGCGCGTCCGATTTGTTGGATTATGCATTTACTATCATTTTGAATTTGAAAAAGAACTATAAATTTTTATTTTTCTACACCAAGTTATGTAATGAGGATAAGTTTATTGACTACACTGTTAAGTTTATTATTGGTAGGAAAGGTAAACAAGAAAAAACAAGCGTCATAGGGGAAGGGACGCACAAGTGGAAAAAGAGAAAAGAAATCCATTTAACACCTAAATATTATACATCAAAGGAAGAATCCTTTCAAGTACCCTACAGCTTTAATGATGTGCTGAATACACACATATTTAGAAAAAGAGATTTTACGAGCAATAATTTTTTAGTAGAAAAACCATTTTTCATTTATTTAATACCAAATGAGAAGAAGCATTTTATAGATATTCAGCAAAAGGACATTCCCAATTTGAATTTTTTAATGTGTTTATCATCCGAAATGAAAGACCCTAACAATTCTCAATATTTAAAATTTTTTTTCATGATAGCTAAATCACACACAATTATACCTTTATAATATCCTAATGGAAGAAAAATTGGACAGAATAGAATTCTGTTAAAGTTTATAAAGTTCGTGGAAGGTATCATCATTAGTTAATGAAAGTATGTTTGGTGCATGAACCTGGAGGTCACATTTAGTTGTAATTTTTTGAGTCCGGTAAACGGGAGAGATTTATAATTTTATGTGAAAATTTATGCACAGTACATAAAAAAATAAAACAAGTTGTTATTCATTGTTAATTATCTTTAAGATATAGCTGTAAGACGTATCTATATAACCGCATGTTGGATACCTTTTTTTTTTTTTTTTTTTTTTTTTCCCATTCTCCTTTTATTCAATGAGAAGCATATGAAAATATAAGTATAATTTTAGAGTCACGTTTTTTGTGTAGACACGTCCGATATTCAGAAGGAATGGAATCCATGTTAAAAAAATACATATTCATCTACGTACGTGTACATGCATATAAACATACGTGTGTATGTATATCCACTCTTTCCAAGAATAAACAAGATTTTAATTGTGATTTATTTATTCTTATTAATTGTTCTAAAATTGCTTGTTTTCGTATTAACGAATAATTATATTCTGAGGCAAAACCAATGAGTAAATTTTCATTGATTGTTTTATACTGTTTACTCCTTTTCATTTAGACGACATAAATTGTTTAGAAATATTTATGTCGTATTTGAAAGTAAGGCAAATGTAAACTAATTAACCCTGAATGCTTTTTTATGCACTTATTTTGCACAAAAACGTGAAAACATGCCTTTGATATATTCTTTTCGGTACGTATCACCAAAGGGAAGAAAAAAAAAAAAATGAAATGCAAAATACGATGATTTATTTCAAAAAATTAAAGTCATTTCAAGCAATGTGTGCTACTCACATTAGTAGAATATATATAATGGCACATGTAGGCAGACATCAAACAATGTATACAAAAAACATTGAAAAATGTAGCCATTTTTTTCGTATTCGAAAATGTAAGTAGGGAAAATAAATAAGTAGAAATTTGAAAGTGTATTTCTGAAAGTACAAAAACAGGTTTTCAAAAAGGAAAACCATTTGTCACATATGTCACATCAACATATGCACGCACTTGTAAATACTCGGAAAACAAGATCTACATATTTTGAACGAAAAAAATTATAAGAATTTATAGAATTGTTGCAAAGTGCGTACAAATTGTTGTATTATATCTTTATGCTATTTTCCTTTTCGTTTAATTTTTTCAAGTGCCTAAATTGGGATACTTTTAACTTAACGGAAAATAGTAAAAATTATGTGCAACATGTTTTTTTTACAATTTTTATATTTTTTTTTATTTTTCCTTCTGTAAAAATATATGTTAAAAAAAAAAAAAAAAAATTATCGATGAATAAATCCAAAGATTTTTTTTTTTTTTTTTTTTTTTTTTTTACATTTGTAGCCTTGCTGTTAAGAAAAAATATAAATAATTTTTCACAATTACAACTGCAACATGACTGTTCAGAAAAAATCTTCGCTTTTTACGCAGAATCAAAACGCATGGAACGGTATTTTACAATAATTAATTTTTTTTTTTTTTTTTTTTTTTTTTTTTTTGTTAATAATACAGCTATTATATGCATGTGTTTTTTGCATTATTTAATTATTTAATTATTTTTTTTTTTTTTTTTTTTTTTTTTTTGCTAAAAATGTAACAATTGTACTTGCATATATATATTTTTTATTTTCTGCAAAACAAATTTTACATTTTTATACATACCACCTTAAAGAACGAAAAAGACACGTCTTTTATTTTTTAATTCTGAAAAAAATTACAATATATACAACTTTAAAGAAAAAATGGAGTCTTCCGATGCACAGAATTTAAAAATTACACAAAGCACAGCAAATGAACAAGGAGTGCGTAATGATACACATACTAACATATTACAAGAGAACTATGCTGAATCTAGCAACAATGTAGGCAAAACCAATCCATTGGAAGGATATTATACAGTAACACAGGACGATAGTAGACCAATAGATGCTAACAATATTCCGTATATAATTCCCGACATGAATGACTCTGGGATGGTAGTGGACCCGACAACAATGCAAGCAGCTTCAGTAATCAATCAGAGTTTGATGTATCAAAACCATGGTGTTCCAACAGATTATCCTGTAAGTTTATTTTTGTTTCTGCTTCTCCAGACTTTTCATATGCATCGGTACTTGTATACATATGTATATTTATATATGCGCATGCATGTATGCACATATACATGTCAACATAACTAATCCTTTTTTTTTTTTTTTTTTTTTTCCCCTCATCTTTCCTTCTCCCCCTTTTAACATAGTATCAAATGTTTAATGGAATGAACACAATGTACAATGGAATACCTCAATATTATGGAGGAGTGAACATGCCAATGAATCCATATTATGACCCATATGGAATCATTAACCCGTTATCATGTGCACCCATAAATTTAGAAAAAAACAAAAAGAGAAGCAAGAAATTTTATTGCTGTTGAAAATTATGCATGAGAAAAATAATTTTTTTTCATGTATGTAATAAAATGAACTTCTATAACTACATAGACATTATAATTGTTTGTTTTTGTTTTAAGCATATTTTATATCTGTGACACTTTTTCAAAAAACATACATTATGTTCTATTAATCTGTGTCCTTCATATGAATAACCAGATTTGTTCCAAATAAGGAGAGATGTACTTAAAATAGGGAAGGATTTACATTTATGTAAAAAAAAAAAAAAAAAAAAAAAAAAAAATCGTAGTACACACGTGTACATAAACAAAATTAAGTATTTGTATACACCCTCTTAAAAGTAATCATATTTTACGAAAATTTATATTGAAGCTAGAGTTACAAACGAAAAATTATTTGGTGCCTTTTTTTTTTTTTTTTTTTTTTCCTTTCTTTTTTTTAGTTGTACTTTAACATGTGAATATTTTTCTTTATGATGAAACTTTCATATTATTATTTTTTTCATGTTAGACTTTGTATAGACTTTGAGCTTTCATGACATGATAACTTACTAAAGGATCTTGATATATACATGATCGTGTATTTGTGTAAACGGGATGTTTTTTTTTTGTCCCCATGTGAAAGAGTGTATTTTCGGGCTTTTTCATTACGCACCTTTAATTTATCTAAGTCTGGGTTTATCTACTGTAACATGTTTATTAAAGCAGATGAGAAAGGAATGTACAATGGATTTTCATGTGTGTCACCTTTTTGAAGAAATTCAGAATAACATCGAAAATATAAAAAATTTATTGGATATAAACTGAAAAAAGGCTTATTTGTAAAAACTCCGCAGCACTTTAGGGAGTATTATTTTTTCAATTTGCATATTGTATCCTAGATTTGTCTAACATTTATGGGGAATTCACTGTGATTTTTTTTTTTTTTTTTTTTACGTATATGCTGGTAAATCTGTGATACAGAAAAGAGGAAATAATTGAAGCACAACTATGTTAGTTTTATGGAGAAGTGATTAAAGTAATACACATGTATGTATATTTTTTTTTTTTTTTTTTCATATTACTTTTCGTTGATGCAAATAGGGAGCATGGGTATGTTAGCAAATGTTATTCTTTATGCGTGCACACTGGGTCATTTCATCGTTTTGTAGAGTAATTTAAAAATGTCAGGAAGTGCTTGAATTTTTTTTTTTTTTTTTTTATTTTCTTTTTCTCATTTTAGACATTCATGTATTGAAGGATTATTTTTAAAATGTGAAACAAAAACATTGACAGCATGACAATAACATGTGTAGATGCTCATGATTAGGTTTAAAATATTTTCTTTTGATAACACATTATAAAGTGCAGGAAATCATCTTTTGCAAGGATTATAAAATTGCTAGTTTCCCCTTTACATGGTCATGAAAAAAGTGTGTCTTTTTTTAGCCATTTAATCGATCAGCCTAATTGGAAAAAAGGTTTAATCATTTTTGTGAGGGGCACACATTACATGGATCATGAAAATTTTCATCTTTTTATCATTCGTTAACACTAGGAGACTAGAAACAAAACATAAAGTGGGTGAAAGCACGATTTTTTTTTTTTTTTTTTTTTTTTGCAATGTGCGATGTTTTTAATCAGTAGTGACACACACACCTATGCATTACATCCATCACTTTCACTTTGCTAACACTGTTGGTCACTTTGAACAGGCTGAGCTTACAAGAACGACAAAATTTGATTGAGTTTACGGAGGGAAGTCAGAAATGTACAAACAGAAATCGCTGGAGCTGAGAGATATAAACTATGTGTATGAAAATTCGTGGGTTTGGGTTAACATACATTCCATAAAAAAAAAAAATGGAAGTTTATATAGGGAAATATTTGAATATTATAAAAATAAAAATAAGATATTTTGTTTTTTTAAAGGAAAAGTAAAAAGTTTCGTATCAAGTAAAGATGTAGAAATAAATATTTGTGTAGACGACAATTATGGAGCTTTTAAAAATAATATTAATTACAACATTATAGAAAATGTAAAATATTTATTACCTATTGATACAAATTTTGGTTGTAGCGATAATACAGAATTAATTTATTTAAATCCGCCAAATTTATTAGAAAATATTAGACAGAGATATAATAAAGCATATGTGAATGAAGAGAATAGAGATTGCATATACACCTACATTGGGTATATACTTTTATCAGTAAATCCTTATGAGAATTTTAAAATATATGATGAAAATTATATGAAAAAAATAAAAAATGAAAATAATTTATTTGCCATCCCTCACCCTTTTTCAATTGCAAACGATGCATACAATTGTATGATCAAGGACAAAGCTAGTCAGTCCATAATTATAAGTGGTGAGAGTGGTGCTGGAAAGACAGAGTCTTCAAAGCAGGTACTAAGATATCTTACTTTTTTGAGTGCTTGTCATATGAAAGAAGAGGTGGAAAAACATGAACAGAAGAAACAGCAGGAATGGAAGGGAGAAGAGGAGGAGGATGGGGAAGATGAGAAGGAGGAGAAGACGAAAACGAAGAAAAATAAGAAAAAATTAAAAGAAGAAAATGAATATAATCACAAAAAAGGTGTTATCATAGGAGGTGCAACGGGGGATCGTCGAGTCGTACCGCCTTCGAATGAAGGAAAAGACAAATTAAACCCAAACTTTAAGGATACAGCAAAATTTAGAGAAATAAGCGAAAATTATATGCACAACTCAGATAAAAAAAAAAAAGAAAAATGGAGCAAAAATAATTTCATACAATGTGAAGAAAATAATTTTTTAAAAGGTTGCTCTTCTTATGAAGAAAAAATTCAAAATAGTAACCCATTGTTAGAATCATTTGGAAATGCTAAAACAATAAAAAATGACAATAGTAGTAGATTTGGAAAGTTGATGAAATTAAATTATAATGAAAATGGCATATTAAGCTCTGCGTCTATTGAAACATATCTTCTTGCAAAATCGAGAGTAGTTGATGTTCCTTACGGGGAAGGGAATTATCACATTTTCTATTCCTTGTGTGAAAATGTTAAAATACGTAACGAGTTTGATTTGTTGCCTTGGTATAAATACAACTATTTGAAGACGAAGAATGAAATCAACAAATTCAGAGAAAATAGCGATGATATTAGGAAGGCAAATTTTGAAGGAAATAAAGAGGCAGAGAATAAAGGGAATAACAACGCAGAATGTAAGCGCCATAAAAAAAGTACGAGTACAAGTAAAGGGAAAAATATGGAAACGTTGAACGAGACGGAAAAGGAAGAAGTGATGTCTGATACAGTTGAATCCGGAAAGGACGAAATGATGAAGACGAGAAATAAACAGCAGGGGAAAAAAGAGAAAAACGATTTTTACACCAATGAAGAAAACCTAAAAGTGAACAAATGCTTGTACGATTTGGATTCTATAATAAAATGTTTTCAGAGCATAGGGGTTTACGAGCAAGAGCAGAAGGAAATTTACAAAACCCTAATTTGCATTTTGCTTTTGGGAAATGTGGACTTTGTTTTGGACAAGGAAGAAGAGGGAGGAGCGCTCAAAATTAAAAACGAGGAGGTGTGTAAAAAGCTGAGCCAACTCTTGGAAATAAAAAACGATAATATGGAGAGAAGTAGCACAAGTAGCAGAAGCAGAAATAATATCGAAAAGGAAAGTAACAAAAACAGTAGCAATAGCAACAGCAATAGCAATAACTACGACAACAACAGAATTGTCGAAATATTAACCATAAAGAAGGTACGGGATACAAAAAAAAATTACACCTATCAACAAGCAATTTACAACAGGGATGTCATATCAAAGGCTCTGTACCACCTTTTATTTGAGTACGTAATAATGAGGGTTAACGATTCACTGAATGCACGAGATGGAGGGGGCGTGGATGAGAGGAGTGATAAAGAAACCGATGACGAAATGTACATTAGGGAGGATCTAGGAGAGGAGGATTGTGAAACACAGGACAGAAAAGGGAAAAACCCAAAATTGAGCAAAAGAAGAAAAATAGATCAAAAAATAGAGGACGGAAATTACACAGAATGCGGGAAACGTGCAAAAAATTCTGAATACAGAGAATATACCGAGCACACAGAACATGCAGAATACATAGAACACAGAGGACACATAGAACATACAGAACACATAGAACATACAGAACACATAGAACATAAAGAACACAGAGAATACGAAGAAAATGAACTTATCATGGACGAGAGGAATGAAAATAAAAACTACTACATAGGAATATTAGACATTTATGGATTTGAAAACTTCTCGAAGGAAGGAATGAACTGCTTTGAACAACTGTGTATTAATTATGCGAATGAAGTTTTGCATGCATTTTTTTTAAAACAAATAATTTATAATGAGCAAAAAATACATTATGAAGAAAATTTATTTCTGGAAAAAATTCCATATAATGATAACAGTAATGTAATATCCCTCATTGGAGATACTAGAGATGTTAGCATATACACTATATTAGAAGATTTGTCTTTACTATTTTCATCAAATAAATCGAATGAAGAAAACAATAAAAATTTGTTTTTTGAAAAATTAAATAAAAATGTTATAAGTTCGGCAAAATACAAAAATATTATAAGAAATTATAAAGCATCAAGTAATTGCTTCATCATTTCTCATTACGCTGGTGATGTTCTTTATGACTCTCAAGATTTTTTTAATAAAAATGTAGACATACTTACAAATGATATAGAAGATTTTTTATCTAGTTGTAATCCGTTTATCAGAACTAATTTGTTGAAAAGGAAAAGATTTGTATATGATAAAAATTGCATGAAGGCTAACAGTTATAAAAAAATGGAGGAGATGAAATTGAAGAGAGGAAACAAACATGGAAGGCGGAAATTATCTGTAAAGGAAATGATATCCCATCATGAGATTGAATCAAGAGGGATTCATCTATTTTCTCACAAAGACAATTCCAATATGAGTGATTATGATGAAGGGGACGCATGTGATAGGAACTATCGAGTTGGCGACCGGAACGGTGTTAGTTGTTATGTAGGGCGAAAAAACAAGGTAAAATCCATTTTTTCGTCTTTCAAAAAACAACTGGAAATTCTAACGAACAAACTAGACAAAACAGTATCAAGATTCATCAGGTGCATAAAACCAAATGAACAAAAGAAGGCTAAATTTTTTAATAAAAATTTGGTGTTGAATCAATTAGTTATGAGTGGAATGGTGGATATCCTAAGTTTAATGAAAAATGGATATCCATGCCGAGTTCCATATGATGATATGTGGATTAGCTATAATAATATTTTACAAGACGAAATGAAATCCTTCTTAACACCTAAAATGTTTTGTGCAATTATACTAAAATTTTTGGATATCAATTCTAGTGAATATACATTTGGAAAAACCAAAATTTTTTTTCGTTTTGGTGTATTATCTATAATAAATGAAATACTAAATAAAAGTTATGAAAAAAAAAATAAATTCATAGAATGTGTTTATAAATTCTGGCTGTACAAAAGAAAAAGAAAAATTTTACATTTTGTTCTATATGGATGTAGATTTAAAATTTTAATAAAAAAGTTGAGAGCGAAAAAGTTAATGGAACATGGATTGCATTACTATAATAATTATTTATTACAGAAAAAAAAAAATAATCTTCAAAAAATTCTCTTTTATTATTTTTATGTCTATAAACAGAGAATCTATTTCTTGCAATTAAAAAAAAGTTCCCTCGTTATACAAAAGCACGTTCGAGCATATATTACGAGAAAGAAATATTTACATATCAAAAGACAGGTCTTATTTATTCAAGATTATTATCTATTTCAAGGGTATTTTAAGCAGAGAACAAAAGCATCTAATGTTATTAGAAAAAATTGGATTGCATATATTACCAAATCGGATTATCAATACGTTCGAAGGAGTATTATTAAAATACAGCGGGCGTTCAGAAAGTACATGAACAGTAAATATATAAAATACTGTTTAAAAGTAGTCAATGTTAAGAAACAGCCTAAGCGTACACATTGTACTGTTGTCAAGAATGAGACCTGGGACGAAAAGAAACCTGAATTTGAATTTCCCCACGGGATGAGCTTAAAACTCCAACAGGATCAGGAGAATCCAAGCAAGAACAGTTCATCTCAATCTTTAAAAAAAAAACACTGCGAAGATGCTGATCGAATTGGATCCTTCATATGTGTAGAGAGGAAAAAGCATAGACACTCCTTCTCCGTAAGACATTAAACTTGACCAACCATGTGGCCATGTGTATGGTGTCATCAGAGTATATATATTTGTATATTTATGAGGATACCCACTTTTTTCTGAATCCTCGAAACCTACTTTGATATGAAGTTCAAAACGCATCACACTAAACGTTTCCTTCTCAGATAGGCGAAAAATTGGATATTTCGAAAAACAGAAATATCCTTAAAAGAAGAAAAACCTGGAGTGCTCTGGAAAGCCATTCAAAATATGTTTACACGCCAGAGAGATATGATCATAAAGAACTAAATTATATTGATAGAGGTATTTCCAAGCATAGTTATAGTAATGTGAGGATAGGAAACACTTTGAAAAAACAGAATGTGGGTATATATACTGATCCAAAGGAATTTATCAGTGTTGGAGACATGGGGAATAAAAGAAAAGCAGAAATAAAAGCAGTTAATAAGCATATTTTTGGTAATAAATATGGGAATAGTGGGAGAACAAAAAATAAGTTTCGATTCAGTAATATGAGCATATGCGATGATAATATGAAGAACAGTAGAAATAGAAAAAATGACTTACTAAGTATGTGTAAGTTGAGTAAACGAACAAACACATATATGCATACAACTTTTAGCGCCACTCATTCTATTCATCTTCAAATCTATGCAAAAAAATCACACCCTAATTAGCAAAAGTATAAGCAAAATTTTGTTCCTATTTTAGGTAAAAATCATATGAAAAGAAAAACATATAATCATGCGAACCCGAAAAGTGATTTCGCTTCGAGTTATAAAAGAGAAAAAAATAAAGTCTCTACTTATTTGAAAAATACGATATATGACAGATATATCAACAAGTATAAGCAGAATCATATGAATAGGCAAAAGGAAAAGAAGAAAAAATCCATCTACATAAAAAGCAACTATAGCAATATCAGTAACATTTACAGTGTTTACAAGCCTTCACGGGAGGAGAAATTAGCTCAGCAGTACAATTTTAACATCACAGATTCGGTAATACCTATTGGTTTTGAAACAAGGGAGCTTACTAGCTCTCTCTCAACACATACGTGCGTGCACATATATATGTATAACGAATTATCCCAAATTTCAGCTCATCATTCCAGAGGATTTCTGTGTTAGCAAGTCCAACATCCCGGAGCCAAACATAATGCTGCAAAATCACGTAACCGTTTTGTTATTTGTTGCATGAAACCTCATGTTATCATATGACATATACATGCAAGATGAGTTTATAACGGACACAGACACACAAAAATACCTTTTTGAAACTGCTTTCAGGAAAATTACCTGTTGCTATGTGATTACTTGAACAACAATTTGGATTCTAAAATACCCTTAATAGAACTGAATGCTTTCAAGTGCTTATAAAAGGATAAACGAGAAAGGAAATGTATTCTTGTGCTGTTGAAGTTTTAAGGGGAATTTTTTCAATTTCTTTTTTTTTTTTTTTTTTTTTTTTTTTTTCCCTCTTCCTTTTTAATTTTCTCTCTATCGATCTACTACATTTGAAATTTTTTCATTTTAAATTCCTGTTCCAAATTCCTCCTTTTTATTGAAAAAAAAAATTTGTTTTTAATTTTTTGAAATGAGCATTTGTCTTTAATTTGTCAAACGAAATGTCATATTTGCTTGTCGAAATTGCATATGCTTTTCCAGCACAAAAAAAAAAGGTATCAGATGGAAAGGTATAAGTTAGCAACAAAAGCTAGCGAAAAAAAAAAAAAAAAAAAAAAAACTAAAAATCAAATATTAACCCCTTCAAATAATATATACGGCGCAAAAAAAAAAAAAAAAAAAAAAAGTGACTTAAGTGTACCTTTCGGAAAAGGTGATACAAAGTCGTATGAGTAATTAAAATTTTGAGGGAGGATTTTTTTTTAAAAAAACGTATCCATCCCTATAGATCAGATGGTTCGTTAAAATTCTTTCATGTTGTCTCCGTTTGAGTAATTCAATAATATATTTCCTTTTAACTTTGCTTTCTACATTTTTAATACGTTTTAGAGATATTTCAATATTTCTTAATGATCCCAATGTTCTAAGAGTCTTTGCATAATTATCAATCCTTCTTCGTCTCTCTATTGATTCCCTAGTTTTATATGTTCCCCATATAGAAAAATAATCATTTGTTTTTTCTTTTATTTTTCTACCACTGATCATTTTTGTATTTACCTTATACTTAACTTGTATTTTTGGAAATGTGTAGTATTCAGTTTGAACGTATTTTTCATTGGTGATAGGACCAACCATTCTTTCTTTTTTCTTAAACAATTTGAATGACTTTTCATCTGTCATTTCGTGTATGTTTGTATCTCCTTGTTGCTGCATTTGTGAATGATTTTTCTCTATCATCATTACCTCACTTGGGCAATCCAAATCGTCAATAATGTAACTCCTGCTTTCCGCATTTTCACAACATGTTCCTTCGTTCCTATTTTGGAATTTTTCTTGTATAGAATTATTTTGTATAAAAATATCACTTTTTTCCTCTTTCTTGCATTTTTTAGTGTAATCTGAAAACTTATACTTTATATTTTGATTAGACGATTCCAGGTTGCTTCGATCTGTTGTGTTTTCATTTTGTCTAGGGGAAAAAATCATATCCGTATGATCATTGTAATCCTCTATTGCAACAAAAAAGTGTGTTTCCGGTGGTGATTGTTCACACATTTCTTTGTCAGACAAGGAATAATCCAAGTTATCCTTCGTACCATGATTACCATATTTTTTGTTCTTTTCATTATACGGGATATTATTATCTTCACAATCTGTATTTGCCTCTTTTAAATTTCTTTGTTTTTTACATTTTATAAAAATTTTATCATTTACAGCTTTTACTGCCCTGTCTGTTTTGTTGGCTCTTTTTGTAACTGCCATTTCCATATTTTCATAATTTAAATATTCATTATTTCTATTTTTGTATGAACTGTTTAGGTCATTTTTTTTAAATTTCTCATCATTAAACTTATTCAAATTGTCATAAGTAAAGTGCTCATAAACAGATTCCTTTTGATGTATACCCTGATTGTTCTCTTCTTCATTTTCGCTTCTAAACACAGAATTACTTTTACTCTTTTTTCTAGATATAAGGTTCAAATTGTTCAAAATATACTTTATATCTTTATTTTCTCCGTCCCTAGTAAGGTATGATAAGCTCTCTTGTGTACTGTTATATTTTGTTTGATTACTAGGAATATCCCTTTGTTTTGCATTGGAGATTGGACTGTTTCTTTCCTTTTTACTCGTACCCTTATCTGACGTGTTAAATTCCTGTTTTCCATTTATTTTAAACTTTATTATTGTGTCTAATGCATTAATATCCTTCTTAACGAACGAGGTAAATAATTTTTTTTTAATATTTTTTATTCCTCTAATTTTTAGAAGATTTATGTTATTCCTTTTAGTTATTTTTTTTAGTTTCAATTCTTTTAGCTGTTTTTTGAATTTCTCTTTCCTTTGAATTTCTTGCAATTCCTTGTAATTTTTTTCGATTTCTTTTATATTTTTAATGTTTTCACGAATTTTTATTTTTTTATTTTCATTTTTGTCTCTCCTTATATTTTGTTTCATATTGTATGATTGTTCAGGATTCTTTGTCTCAAATAGCATCGAATCAGAAATATGTTTACTATTCAAACTTTTGTCATTTTGGATTTTGTTCCTTTTCTTGGATAGAGTTTTCTTGGCCGCATTTTCGTTCTCACTATTTTGAATAAATGATCTAAATTGCTCCTTTTCCACTCCTCGGTCACAATATGCATCTGTGGGTTGATTCCTTAGCAAACTAAGCTGTCCGTTTTGTCCAGAGTGACGACCCACGTTATTATTACCAATTTTTTTTTTTTTTCCTTGTTTTTTTTCTTCTCCCCCTTTTGCTTTATTTTCTCCTTTTTCTTCCCCCTCTTCTTCTTTTTTTTCTCTTTTTCCTTCACGTTCATACGATTTGAATACCTTTTTCAGTCGATCAATTTCATTTGCTAAAACTTTTTTTTTATTTTCGCACTTTAACTTAATGCAATTTTCTTCATTTTTATGATGTACTTTTCTGTTTAAATGCTCCTGCACAGCGCAAGAAAAGGAATTTTTAGATTTCTTTCCTTGAATGAATTTTCTATAGCATGAATCTTTTTTTTCCTCCTCCAAGCAACTGTTAGACGTTGAGAAATTGCTTATATCTAAGGACTTTCTGATATTTCTGACTATGGTTAACGCATTTTTTGTTTTCAACATTTTGTCTATATTTTGCAAATACTTGGAATCTTCACCATTGTTAAGTGAAGAGCATGTAGACATATTATTTGTTGTAGCATTTGATAAAATCGTATCGTTTCTTTCTACCATTACTTTGTAATTCTCTTTAATTGAATTTTTACTTTCGGCACGCTTAATTTCCTTGTCACCACCATCATCTCCCCCCTCTTCTTCTTCTTCTTCTTCCTCTCCCCTTAATTTGCTTCTTTTTTTCAAATTCTCTTTTTTGGTATCACAAGGACTACATAGTTCAGTCATATGAAAGAAATTATGAACATTTTTATCCATATCACGAGGGGAATGAACAAAGTTTTCATCCCAGTAATCATCTTCCAATACTCCTTCACATTGTTCGGTATGTTGATCTTCTCTAAAATGAATGTTATGTAATGCATTTTTCATAAGACTATTTAATTCATTGTAAAAAAAAATGTTTTTTAATGTTGTATATGTATTTCCCCCTATATATTTTTTTATTTTTCTTAAAATATTATTTTTAATTTTTTTATTTAAAAAAAGAGAGTAGATCTTTTTGTTTTTCTGAAAATTGGTAAGGTCAAAATTGTTGCAAATATTTCTTACACTTATTTCACACATACATTTGGATTTAACTAGCACTGAAAAGATTAGAAGATCATATGGACATTTTGAACTGATTAAAATGTTAATTTTGTTAATGGTATAATCCCTTTGATAATTTTTAAAGTTTTTTAATTCAATTAAATATATATCTAATATTTTTCTAAAGATGAATATTTTTTTATAATCAGTATTTAAGTGATTCACTAAATTGTTGTAAATATTTGCAAGTATGTTTTTTTCATCTCTGTTTAAGTAATTTTGTGTTTCCTCATTTTGCATATTTTTTATTTGGACATAAAATTTTTGTATTTCAAGCACATTGAAAGATATGTAGTTTGAAAATTTTTTTACAAAAAATAAATAACTACTAATCATTTCGTCATTTAATTTAAAAAATGAAAAAATAGAATTCTGAGCTTTTACCAAAGTGCAAATATTACTATACACACTAGTTATGCATAGAAAAAAATCCATCCAATTTTTTATTACTATAGTTTTTGTCTCTTTTTTTATATTCCTTATAAGTTCCAAATGAGGTATTAGATTAGCTAGTTCTTCCAGTTTTTTATCTATTACTTTAATTAAACTTTTTATTTCTGCTGTTATTTTGTTGATTTCTACAAATAGTATGTTCATTTTATTTTTCATTTTTAACAATGTAAATAGGATCATGAAATTTTCAGCGCTCAATGAGATACTAATGATTTGGTAAATATATTTCCTCTTCTCGTTGAGAGACAAATGGTTGCAGTAATTTTCTATGATGTCCTCTTTCTTGATAATAAATGTTGTTGGTTCGATTTTATTGTTGGGATGTTCGTCAGCATTTCGACAAATCTTTCGATTGACATTTGAACATGGATAGTCAATTAATTGAGATTTTATGTTTAAACCTTTAAAGAGTTTGCAGTTTTGTTCTAATATGTCCAGTTCGATTTTAAATTTTCCAAGCTCAGCTTTATTTGATCCATATAAGTATATGCAGATATATTCTTCCCATCGTTTCAACTCTATTTCTTGTACTAATCCCTTCATTTCATGGATATTCATATTGTTACTGTGATTTTCTGAAATGACATTATTATATGTTTTTTCATTTTTGGAAATGTTATAAGCTGGTGGAATTTCACGTCCTGAAGCAGTTAAGCTGATTTCATTTTTGGAAATAACTTTATCAGAGAGACTATTATCATATTTGCTCCTAACCTTTGATTTTCTCAAAATAGTGTACTCTCTATTATCATTATTAAAATGGAGGAAGTCATTTACCATATCATTCATATGAATAGATTCCACATTTGATAATTCTTTTTTGTCATTTATCAGTACGTTTGTAGTGCAACTATGTTGGCAAATTTCCTTAGCATTATTCGAATTTATTCCCCATTTATAATTTTTTATATCAAGATATTTCTCATTTTTGATATTACCTGTTTTGATGATGTTAATATCTTTCTTTTGGTTATACACGTTATGATTTACATGAACGGCATGGCCGTTCCGTTCTCCTTCATCTCCTATTATTCTATTACTTTTATGAACACTGGTAAGATTAGACGTGATTTTGAGGCCATCACTTTTTTTTTTTAAATGGTAAGATGTTTCCATGTATTCAGAAGGAGAAATGATACCTTGAACATTGTCCAAAATGTGTTCACGACAATTGTCTGTTTTAGCTGTTTTGAATGCATGCATGTCTACTTCGTTCGTTTGAATATTTACATTTTTTTTTTTCATCCCTTTTGAGGCTAACATTTTATTTCTAGAAAAACGAAAATATATAACAGTTTCATTATTTGTGTTACATTTTTTCTTTCTTATGTGACACTTAGTATATACATTACTGCATATATGATAATTATGGACACGTGGAATGGAAAAATTAGGGTTGATATGAAAGGATAGTTTGTGGTAATTTGTGTTTTTTTTTTTTTTTTTTTTTTTTTTTTTTTTTTTTTTTTTTTTTAAGTACACTCCTGATCCAATATTACCCCTTTTACGTGTTTTTTTTTTTTTATTTTTTTTTTTTTTTTTTTTTTTTTTTTTTTTTTTCTTTTCTTTTTCATTAGTACACTCCTGATCCAATATTACCCCTTTTACGTGTGCTCTTTTCAGTGTGTCTCTTTTTTCAGAGTTCTGTGTGTTATCATATAAGGGAATTATTTTGCATAAATCCTCCTTGTTTTTTCCATTACATTTCCAATGTTTCATTGTTACATCTTCTGATGTTGAAATTTCAAGTTCATGAGAATTACGTTCGTCATTTTTGTGAGAATTTATTATGCTCAGCTCATTAGAGTACTTTTTTTCCGCAGGGCATATTTCCTCAACAGATGAATTTTGACAAATTGGGTGTTTTTCTAACATCAGTTTAAATTTTTTATTTTTGCATTTGTTAGCTTCCACATGGGTTATATTTTCGTTATCATGATTTAGCTTCATAACTGAATCTGCAATAACAGTTTTAATTTGGTTGTAGCTGTGCAGATGATGGTGGGGGGAAGAAAATTCTCCCTCTTTCTTCCTAATCCTTGTCTTATTCATTTGAGTAAAATCATCATGGATGTCGCTCCTCGATTGCTTGTTAAGAATGTTATTGCAGTTGTTTATAAGTGTTTTTATAGACTCATCTAAGGAAAAATTGGATTCACAAAGTTGAGACTCAGAAAATATTTCTGCAGAATTATTTTCTCCTAACATATTAGTCTCAGATGCACTTTTCTCACAAAATTCTTCCTCCATAAAATTTTGCTCAAAGTATTCTGTATTACCGTTCAGGTAAGAATCGACGATATCACATTTGGTGGGACATTCTATAAATGACGATTGACTATTTCCATGTTTCTCCAAATGTTCATCTTTTAATAGTTTCATCGCTGTCCTTTCTTGATCCAACTTTAAAAGTGCAATATTGTTGTCAGAACTGGGGTGAATATCAGTGTTCCTTTCCTGAATTGAGTTACTTACATAGGGAAATGTTCCACTTTGATTTCTTATCTTTATTCTTTTGATAAAAGAACTATTTTCTTTCATTTTATGAGTACATATATTTCGCGTTTTCGTTAGTTTCGATTCTTCATAAGAGCGTGCATGATGTTCATAATATTTTGTTTCCCATTTTGTTTTCCAAATTAGAGGGGTTTTGTACTTGAGCATAATTTTGGCAAAAGGGTTGGCAATTCCTTTTATTTCTTCCCCTTTTTGCAATTTAAACAAAGCACGAATTTTAGACTTAGTTATCCTTCTCTTAAGAAATTTTATACAATTATCATTTATATCTCTAAAAATGGAAATACGAATGTTATTATTTTTAAATTGATACCTCTTTTTTAATAACTTTTGTCCAATTTTGCTCTCAAATAGATTTCCTAAAAGTTCATTTGTAGTTACATTATCGTTATAGTGTTTCATTAATGGGATTTTTTTTTTAGGTGTACATTTTTTATGACTTCTACTAAGTAAAGATTCTTTGAATGTGATGAGAAAATGGGGAATTTCTTTTGTAACTGGGTTAACAAATTTAGTATTATGGACATTATTAGGAAAATTCATAAAAGATTCAGTTGATCTTTTTTCACCAATTATGCTATTAAATTTTTGATGATTATTTTTTTTTTTTTTTTTTTCAAATGCATTTTGAAAAAAATTATGTGAGTTAATTAATTCTCTTTTTTCTATTAAACTTTTACACATTTTACGTTTCGTTTTTTTTACGTTTTCGCACAGTCCATTTGGTTGGTTCTTTATCACGTTCCCCATATTATATGCATCATCGTCATCATCATTATCATTGTCACCATTATCGTCAGTGTTGTTCTCCCAATTTATTGCACTTTCTACAAGATCGAAGTTTTCAATTTCGTGCTCTTTGCCAGGTAAACATGTTGGATTGTTATCATTATGTGTGGCTGTATAGTACTTACATGTAGGGGTCCCGTATTTCATTTTTTCTATTGAGGAGTTAAAATTATGGGCAAGGGAATGATTGTGTCTCGTTTTGCCAGTTATGTCTCCATTACTCTGATAATAATTCTGTACCTTGTTTAAAATCGACATTTCTTTTAAGGAGAGCGAGTGTAAAGAAAAATTTTTCTTAGACATAAACTTCCATGCAATTAGTCATATATGCATAGGTGAAATTGGCTCAGACGATTCAATTCCTTTATGGGGAGAAACTGTGAGATGTGCATGTTTTTGTGGTGTTGGAGGGGATAATAGCATTACTCTCACGCCTGCACACTAATAGAACGATATTCCACTGAATTAGTCAATTGTCCATATATACGTAAAATATGTGAGCACATTTTTAATACTTAGAAGTTTTAAGAATCCTTCTTATACACATGTGTCACAAAAAAAATTGGATTAATTATGGAAGAGAAGAATAATATGTGCACAGGTTTACATGATACAGGAATGTTAAATTCATACATATCTTGACGTCACTAATATGTGTATGCACACACACTATAAACAAATATAGGCGTATATAATATCCAAAATTCATTCTCAATCTGTGTTGCAAATGTGCGATATGTTCTCTCTTATTTTTTGAAAATTACACATTGGTAGGTATTTTCAACTTTGTTATATGATTAAAATAAAAATTAAAGGAACAAAAAAAAAAAAAAAAAAAAAAAAAAAAAAAAAAAAAAAAAAAAAAAAATAAAAAAAAAAAAAAAAAAAAAATTTTTTTTTTTTTTTTTAAAAAATAAAAAAAAAAAAAAAAAAAAAAAAAAAAAAAAAAAAAAAAAAAAAAAAAAAAAAAATGCAAAGAAAAAGTTGAGGTATAATACGTAAAAGAAATTTTTTTTTTTTTTTTTGATATATGTTAAATGGTGAAATAGGATATCAACATGAAAGTTATAAGGACGAAAGAAAATATATTATAATGTTTAAAAAAAGACAAAATACGAAAATGGACCCCTAGTATGAATTATTCAATATTGTAAGGAAAAAAAAGGGGAGAAAAAAAGAAAAGAAATGCATATACATGCATAATATATAAATACAGAATGCACATAATTGTTATCCCTAAATCTGCTGCCGATACCTCCCTGACAATGCCCTTTTTCTCCGATACAAACATATGTGTCAAATGTATAATATGTGTAATGTGACTACGTATGCATTTTAAAAAATGGTTGAACAGATCTAAAAATGAGAAAAATGAGAAAGATCTTTGTATATAAAGTTGTATTAAAAAAAAAAAAAAAAAAAAAACGAAGAGGAAAGAAAGAAGTAAAAGTATATTAGAAATAACAAATACAATGTTAGTACAAAAACGACAGTTGTATAAATAAGTACAGTTGTAATTAACAATGCACGTAATGTTGCACATGTTTTAAACATCACATACCATCATCCGTTATATACAGTCAAGTTCTTAATGTGTATAAAAAGAAATGTGATGAATTGGTTACAGTTTAGAATCCGAATGAATAACCTTAGGGTTAACAAATATATTGTAAAACCATTAAAATGTTTTCCTGGAGAAATGCCAAATTTTTTTGTTTTTTAAAAAGTGTAAAGATGTTCTTTCGTTTAGCATATTGTATACAGATGGTATACATATATATATGTAAATATATTTCTTGAAATGTGCGTTTTGGGCCAGGAAAAATCTCAGTCCAATCCGCATATGGCGTTATAACAATAAATGGTTCCAGTAGCAAATCACCTATGAGGTATGCATGCTTGGAATAATACCCTCTATACACACAGACACGTATACAACTGTGTACATAAGGAAAGCTTCCATTTCGTTTATTCTCTTGACAACTTTGCTGCAGCAACGAAATTGTCTAAGGTGCCTACTGTTGTGATCAGTGAGGGAAAAAATACAACAACAACGACAATGACAACGAAAAAAAAAATAAATAAAAATAAATAAAAAAACAATAAAAAAAAATATAATAAATAAAAGGTCATCTCTGTTTGAGACAAAATATGGTGACATAAAACATATGACATTAAAATTCAATTACATCTATTTGTTAATATATCAAGAATATCATGAACCCATAGGGTAAATAACTTTTGAGGAACTTTTAATAATCTTTCATTTTTCCGTTAGGACTGCATAAAAAACATCATCCTCTAAATATCTGTTCTCATTTGTTACATGTAACAAACGTGGTTCGCAACATAAAGGCATGGGGGGGAAAATCCTCTTGGCCGACTAGACTTGCAATATTTAGAAAGCGGTAAGGCGTGTCATATATAAACATATATATTTATATATTTATGTACACTACGAATGACTTACTATGCGAAGGAATGTCATCTATGAAGTATTCGGATCGTTATATGTATGCATTTAAAATGGACTATTGAGCTCATGCTTGTAGTGCCTCGTTTTCACAAATTGGGATAACGAATAAGTTTAGTTCACTATGATATATTAATCCTTTTTTTATTTTATTCTTTTTTGGGGATGGAATGATGAACGCGGGAAATTTTTATAAATTTTCACGTTTTAAGAATAGAAACTAGAGGAAGGTTACAATTATTGTCATCTTCATTCAATATGTTATCATTTTGTTTGAACAAGGAACAATTGTCATCTGGGCATGTGTTCGTCCCTTCAGCAGAATTACTGTCATTATTGTTATTGCTGTTCCCCTTTGTGTTATTCGCATTGTCAATATAATTATTTGCATTAGTCGAGGAATCGTTATTACTCCTTAAACTCGTAGATGAATTTCTGTTAGACACATTTTCACCTGAGTTATTATTATCATCATAATCATCATTGGATACATCATTCCCCTGGCAGGTATTCACGTCTGTCTCAACTTTGCAAATATTTTGTGCATTGTCATTGCTGTTCATAATGGGAGTGGTAGTTGTAGCGGTGGCTGCACTGCTGTTGCTACAGTTTCTCTTATTGGGTTTGTCGTTCATTGCGTGTTCTACAATCTCATCATTTTTCTCACCTTCAGATGAAGTACTATTACATTTTTCTCGTGACTCGACGCAATTAACAATAGTATCATCTTCGTTCTGTTCATTTGGCACATCGATCTGAGCCTTTTTTTTTTTTTCTTCTACTACTTTTTCTATGACTTCTTCTGCTTCTTCTATTACTTCTTCTATTTCTACTTCTTCTCCTACTTTTTCTACTTTTACTACTTCTCCTACTTCTCCTACTTCTCCTACTTCTTCTACTTTTTCTACTTCTACTTCTTCTCCTACTTCTTCTACTTTTTCTACTTCTACTTCTTCTCCTACTTCTCCTACTTCTCCTACTTCTACTTTTTCTACTTCTACTTCTCCTATTTCTACTTCTCCTATTTCTACTTCTCCTATTTCTACTTCTCCTACTTCTCCTACTTCTTCTACTACTTCTACCTTTTCTACTTCTTCTACTTGAATACTTAATACATCCTGAAATGCTAATTCATCATTTGTGTTGCTTTGTTCTTTGTTAATGTAAACTTGGGATAAGCAATTCATATTGTTATTCAAGACAAAATTTTCATTTTTCTTTTCCCAAATGGATTCCAAATGAACATCTTCATGATAAGATGAGTGTTCTCTTCCAATATCATTCGAAATGATATCCCCAGTGATGTCATTCTGTTTCTTGGGTACATAATCCATGTTCTCACTTGAGCTCTTGCAAATATAATCTGAACGTGTGTTCAAATTGCATTGTTCAATATTACTAATTGTTCCCTCTATACAATTCTGCGGATTCAGTATATTGGGATTGAAACTGCATATTGGGTTAGGTTCATTATCACTGATAATTCTATCATGATATATGGCTGATAAATTTTCTCTTAAATGAATATTATTCTGCATTTTTTCATGTGCGAGAGTCTTATTTTCGTCACCATTCTTACAAGTTGCAATGATTTGCACATGTTCCTTATCCTCGTAATGATCATCACGATCTTGATCTTTATTATTTCTTCTCCTCCAATGAACAAATAGCTCTTCTGTTTGTTGTGATAAATGTGGCGTAGACTCTGGGGGGTGTTTTTGTTCTTGTTCTTCCTCTATTGCTCTTTGAGCTGAAATGGTTTCTTCCTGTGGAACGGAAATAGCTCTTTCTTGAGTCATTCTTCCATAGTTGTCCATTTCCTCATTCAACTCATTACTCAGTTCGTTTTGAACCTCTTCTTGGATGATATTTTGGCTAGTTTGTTCGAAAATCTCTTGGTTAACTTCTTGGCAAACCTTTTCGCTCGTCTCGTACATATTCTGAATCTCATCAGAGTCCTTCAACGCGTCATTACTACCCATGTTCTTCTGACAATCATTTTCTCCTAAAGGCATGTCCTGGTAATTAATCTTATCTGGGTGATTCATTTCAAGTTTTTTTTTTTTTTCTTCTTCTTCTTCTTCTTGCTGTTGTTGTTGTTCCTCCTCCTTCTGCTCCTTGTGCACCTCCATCGTCCTCTTGTTGTTGTTGTTCCCTTGATCTAAAGTATCGGTTTGGTTATTCAGATGCAAGTAGAATCTCACGAAATAATCCGGAGATGGGAAAAAAAACAAATTGGGCTTCACATTTATAGATAAGAAGATATCTTTAAAAAATTCATTTAGTTTGTTATTTAATCTAAAAATTTCATCAAACAACATAATATTTTTTGATAGTTCATTGAGTGAATTATCTGAACTAAAATTCTTACTTTCAGTTTTGGTATCACATACATAGTCTAGCAAGGTGTTAATAAATTCACAATTCTTATAAATAAAGTTGTAATTTCTGAAATCGTTAAAGATGTCAAAATAAAGTAAAATGTTTGTATAGGATTCTAGTAAGTGTACTTGAAAATTTCCTTTAATAAAATTAATACTATTTTTATTTTTCCCATTATAAAAGTTTATAACCGTCATATTTTTTATAAGTGCATCTATGTTGTTAAGAGCTAGCTTGTCAATAGATTCACTATATTCAAAATATCTCTCCATATAATTCATTTTGACAATAGGAATATTTAGATCATCTAATTTTGCGTACTTCATTTTGGGTTCCATATTTTCCACATTATTATTGATGCTACTGCTTTCGTTTGAACCATTATCTTGTAATATATTGGGTTCCTTTGCATGATCTATTTTTACCGTTTCTAATTTTTTTGTAATTATTGTTTTATTGCTTACATTCAATTTCGATGAGACTTCTTCATCCACTTCTTTTTTCTTTTTTTTCTTTTCATTTTTTTTGCTCAAAAATGGAGCCATCATTTTTCGTTCTCCACTGAATTTTCTCTCATGGCATGGCTTGTTTGCGAAATGGATATGAATACTGTTTGGTGCGTTCACATTTTCACCATAAGCTTCGTGGTTAATTTTAAAAGGAACATTATAATTGTATCGACTAATGATATCGTCATTAATATCCTTGTTGGTGTAACCATTAATTGCACCAGAATCAGTTGCTATATTGTTACAACTGTAGGGGATATTCTTTATCCCCAAATGTTTCTGCTTGTTGTAATCATGAAGACAATTTTCGAAAAGGAGTTTTTTCGGGTATTTAGAAAATTTATCAAATTCGTCGGTGCATTTATTACTCTTATTCCGATAAATATTTATAGCCATATTTTTGTCTTCACAGAAGGGCTGTAGCATATCCTTGGATGGATAATTTGGATATTTTTTCATAATTTCAATACCTTTGTGTTTGTTTACATTTAATTTAAATTCGTTTATCAGATCTGATGCATCCGCTCTACATGATCGTTTTTCCTTCAATGCATTCAAAACATTTTCTAAAAAATTGATGTAATAATCACATTTATCATTTTCCGTGTTAAACAAATCTTTTATGTTTATTATCATGTCCATGTCTTGACAACTGTCCGCCCTGCTGTTGTGTGTTAATGTATTAGTGTAAATAGTGCAACCACTTCCACTGAAATTGGCGTTTACATCTACATTTCCATCTAGATTATTATTGCTGCTGTCGAAGGAATTATATAATTGGGGATCATTACTCTTTCTTTGATCCGTTTTCTTGTAATAGGTCATTATTGTGTTAGAACGTTCATAAGATATACGATTGCCCTTACTACTATTCTTGATTTCATTATCGTGCTCATATAATTTTCCATTTTCTTGCTGTTTGCATCTGTTATCTTCATTCCCATTAAGCAAACAGCTAATACCTTGTAATTTTATTTTCCTTCCTTCGTCACATATTTTTGTGGTTAGAGAATCCGAATCTGTGTCATTTATTTTTTTTAAATTGTCTGAATTTTCCTCTTGTTCATTCGGGATAATATTTCTAAAGTTCTTCTTTTGATCATCCTTATTGTCGTTTATACTATTGATTCCAGTTCTATTATCACTAGTATCGGATTTATTGAAAACATTTCTAACATATTCTAGCACCTCTTCATTATGTTTTACATCCATGTGATTTTTCTCATCACTTATATAATTTTTATCGTGTTTCATCATGTTAATTTGGTTGTTGCTGAAGGTTTCAGTATCTACATATTCTCTAAATTTGATGACGTCATTACTTTTTTTTTCAAGGTTCATTTCATCGAAGTATTTCATATGTTCGTTGGAGAATTGGTTCACTTCGTATGTTTCATTCGCTAATCCATACATCTGATGCTGCATATTAGTAACACTATTTTTATCTTCAGAATTTATAATGTTAGATACTTGTTCATTATTGCCTTCCTTTTGTATTGTTTCCCCTTCCCCTTCGTACGAATTTTTCGTAACATTTTTTTCTTTACTCACGTAACTTTTATTATGAATATATTCACCTTCATTTTCTTCATATTCTGTATTGTTTGTATTTTGGACATCATCAGATGTATAATTTTCCGTATTATTATATACTATCCCTTGTGCATTATTATTTGCACAATTTTGCGATTCCATATTAATATCATCCTGGATAAAATTCATAACATTTTTTTCACACCTATTTTCTGTTGTATTTTCTTTTTCATAAACTTTCTCATTCATAAAATTTATGCTATATTTATTGCATACAGTTTCGTCCTTTTTTATATCTTGCTTATAATGGAATTCATTTTCCTGTACATCATTATTCTCAGGTACATTGCTATGCCTCTCAATTCGTTCGTTCATATACATTTCGTAAAGAGAATTTACATTTTGTGCTTCACTTGGAAGGTAGACCTCGGTCGAGTCCAGTGTGTTTTCGTCTACATTGTTGCTGCATCTACTTAGGGTGTTGCATTTGTCAGGAATGATAATCTCACTGAGACTATTGCTTTCGCTTGGAACATTGCCCTCACTTCGAACATTGCTTTCGCTAGGAACATTGCTGTCGCTAGGAACACCGCTTCCATTGATTTTTCCATCGTTGCTAATTCCCTCGTCTTTTTCTTTGTTCCCATCACAAACATTTCCACATTCATCATTCAGGTGCACTTCAACATTTGCATTTACGAAACATGATTTGGGATTTTCCGGATAGTCTTTAATGTGCATTCTGTCATTGCCATAAAAGCTTATATTCTCCGTTGTATATTTCTTTCTGTACACAATTTCCCCTGAATTCGAAATATATTCTGAGTCTCCATATGCCTTGTTTTCATTCATCCTAGTCATGCCACTCATACTATTAAGTATGTCTATATTTAAGCTATTATGCATATGCATGGGCGTTGTGTTTCTTGTAATTTGCTTCGAATTTTTTTTTAAAATATTAACTTTCTTTCTAAATATATTTCCTGACGATGATTTGGATGGCGATTTATTTTTGTAAAGTGTTTTTTTATTGTGATTGTTAATGGTGATATAATTCGTATTGTTGTTATTTATGATGCATGTATTGTTGTTGTCTATTATGTTGTTATTTTCTCCGACGTTCTGTTTGTTATGGCAGTTATTACCGCTTACATGGTTATTACCACTGATATTATTGTTATTACTGGTGAGATTGCTATTACTGGTGAGATTGCTATTACTGGTGAGATTGCTATTACTGGTAAGATTGTTATTGCTTGTATGGCTGTTATTGTTTGTACGATTATTACTACTGGTGGTAAGGTTATTGTTGCTATAGGTAACATTGTTGGTGGTAGCATGGTTCATGTACTTCTCCCTATTATCAATTTTTACATTTTCACTAATGTTACTTATTATATGATTTGTATTGCTATAGTGGATCTGAGATCCAGAAACTATTCCATTGTTGTTGTTTAGGCAACTACTGTTGCTACGACTGCTATTGCTAATTTTTTCATTCTCTAATCCTTTGTCGATATTTAAATTTGGTGCGAGAAATTGTCTTTTATCCTTGGTATTCATATTATCTTCATCAGCAAGCTCGTTTTTTACTACAAGGTGGTACTGCTGATTGTTTTGTCCATTATAGAAATCGTTCATGTAGAAGGTATCTTTAGTATTTCTCCTCACATTAGAAGATGATGTAATCATATTTGAATTGCTATTTCTCGCTATATTATTACTATTAAAAAGTTGTTCTCCAATGTTTAACGTTTTTTTGTAAAGTTCGAAATTTGATTTTCCTCCAAATTGATTAATCATTTCATCTGTCATGTATATGAGTTCGAATGAGCTCGAGGAGTTACATCGCCTTTGGGATATGAATTCTCCCTCGCAGGTATTGCCTAAGTTTTCAACGTGTTCAATAACGCTATTATTGATGCCCTTGTTATTACCGCTCCCGTTGTTACTACATACATTGTTACTATAGTCATTGTTACTACAGACAGTGTTACTACAGTCATTGATACTACTACCATTGTTACTACTACCATTGTTACTACTACCATTGTTACTACTACCATTGTTACTACCCTCATTGTTATTACAGCAATTGTTAGTAATGCTGTACTTATTGCCACAATTTATCTTCTTCAAGCATTTATTCTCAAACCCAACGGGCACACAACCTGCATTTCTTATTTTGTTACTTCCCCCTGCATAATTGTTTCTGTTGTGGCCCATGTTGATAGAATCATATTTCCTTTTATCTCTAAATTTCCAGTAAAGAAATGTATCATCATTTGTCACATTATTTGAAAACCCCATACTATTATATTTCCTGTAATATTCGGCATGTATATGATTTGGCTCATTATATGCATATGTGTGGTGTCTATTTTTGATATGATTGCGTATGTGCGTTTGGCTAGTCATTTGGCCATGAATCTGACCGTGCATTGGACTTGATTTTTGTCCATAGGTTCGATTGCAACTGTGACTATAACTATGATTGAGGTATGAATGCTGATGCATGTCGTTTTTTTCTTCATCATAATTCGTTTCCAGGTGATCAAATATATTCAAATCATTATTTCTTCCAATTTGGCTATTTTCATTATTTAATTCTTGATTTCTGTTATTAACAAAATGATCCAATAAGCTCTTGTTATTTTGTATAATTTTATTAAATTTATTTTTTTGTCTTATATGATAATTTTTGTCTAGATGTTCCAACATTTTATTCTTTGAATGATTTTCCATTTTTTTATTTTTATTCAAAATTCCAATATTATTAATTCTGTTAGATATACATAAAATGCTTTTAATACTTCCCAATTTTTTTCGATGCGTAAACGTGTCATTCTTTTCGTAGTGCTCACTGATGTTTGCATTCATGCTTGTATTTATGTTCATATTCATGTTCATATTTTTAAAAAGGTTGTTATTTTTTATTAGATCTCCCTCTTCGTCATCATCTTCATAGTCTTCAGCATCTCTCGTCATATTTCTTCTGAGGCGATTATTTGTATTATTATTTTCTGGATCTAATTCATTGGAAATTATTTTTGATCCCCGTACTTCTTCCCCTTCTTCTTCTCCTACTCCTAATATTGTTCTATTTTTTTCCATTAAATCATTTTTCATAGAATTCATAATTCCTTTTTTCTTCTTATTTATATTGCTAACACTCACTCCGTTCACCGTACCAATGAAGTTCATAGTATTTATAGCACCCATGGTGTTCATATTGTTTATGCCGTTCATATTTTTTCCTGGACTTGCACCTACAACACCTGCTATACCAGAAGCACCATTCCCAATATTATTCACAGGGTTATCTTCATTTTCATTTACAATACCTAATTCTTCTGTTAACTTTAGAGCTGCTTTTCTTGCTTGGCCCTTTAATGTTGAACTTAAATTTTCAAATGGTTCCCATGTGTTGTCATCACTGTCGTAATTTTTCCACTTTATAAAGAATTCAAAATTATCAAGACTTTCTTCCTTCCTATTTTTTTTCCTTTTTATGTTTAATTTGTATCTAGCCATGACAATTTTTTCGACTTCAAACACTTCATTATAATCAGGTTCCCCAACTGCTGCTATGCTTAGTTCTGAGCTGTAATCATCATCGATCATGCTTCTCAACTTGCTTCTTTTTCTCGGTTTCGTTGAGCCACTTCTCCCTTTCTTTATTGCCATTCTTTAAAATATATAGAGTTTTGGATGTATCGCGACACGATGTCTTACGACTCTGTGTAACATCTAGGTGAAGAAGGACAGTCACACGTACATACGTGTAATGTGTGTGAGATGATGCATGTAGTTAAGATACGAATGTTGCCACATGGGTGTATGCATTCGCCGTAGTCATACATACAATTGTACATACATGCATGTGAGTATTTATAACAGTATTCATACATACACACATGTACGTAAGAGATTGGTCATACGCTTCATGTTTGTGCTCATGCGTGTGATCATCAATACGAAAAAAACATGAACGTTTTATCAAATAGAAAAATAGAAATAATTCTCTTTACACATTTTAAAATTATTAACAAAAAAAAAAAAAAAAAAAAAAAAATTGAGCAAAAAAACACGTATTTCAGAAAATGGGTGTAAACTACACAAATAGAGAAATAAATCTTATCCATGTAACGTTTAAAATATAAATTCAATTTTGTGTCGATTTTTTTTTTTTTTTTCTTTTTTTCTCTCTCTTACTATCCTTCTCTTTGTTCCTGTTTATATATAAAACAATCTTGTACCTCAATGAATTACAAATAGCATTTCAAAAATTGATGTAATTCGTTTTTATATGTACATGTGCTAGCAAATAATCATAGCTCTAATTATTTCGGAAGTTGGACCTTTATGTTCAAAATAAAAGGTTCTTTTAAAATGGATTGATATTATTTTCAGTGTATATGCGTATGTGGGTACATCTAGGTAATGTGTAGTAGGTGTAAATGGGTGTGAATGTGTTGCGCCAATATGTGTGTACAAATGAGGTATGTATAAAATAAACGTAAATATTAAAGTATATAAATGAATTTTTGAATAAATACTCACGTGAATAACTATAGTGGTGTGTGTATAAGCTTTCTTGTATATTCTCTCACTATTTGTGTAATAATGAAAAAAAGAAAATTCCCTCAAACTTCATTAAAAATGTGTTTAGAATTTTTTTTTTTTTTTTAAATTAAGGATTACAATGATTAAGCCAATTTTAAAAATTAAAAGAAAGGCATGTATGAATGCGTGAAGAAATACATGGGCATGCGTTTCATGTTCACACAAATGATTAGGTATTTTGTCAGTATGTTTTTCTTCTTTCAAATTGTGTATAAAAAAAGAAAATTCAATAAAACATGCAAAAAAAAAAAAAAAAAAAAAAAAAAAGGTAAAAAAAGGTAAAAATCGCAATAACGATAAATGCAATACTTTTGTTTGACTTTTCCGCTCTAATTCTGGTAAATCCAATTAGCGACAAAAGATTAGTGCTAAAACTTTACAACTCCCAATACAAGTTTAGGTTAGTATAACGCTTATGCTCATTTACATGCATAAGTTACATGTTCAAGTATCTATGGTTGCACCAAAATGTCAATGGTTATATGCGAGTTCGTGTGTATATTAATATGTGCCAAGAATCGGTGCATATTAAAATTGGTACATTTATAATAACCATGTAAATTTAATCATTCATAATTTTCTTGATATATAAACGTAACATATAATTTTTCAATTAAAACAGAGCAAAGATAAGTAAACAAATTTTATAATCTTAACGTATTAATCACACTTTATATGCATGTAGTGTATATAAACTTCCCATTTATCCAATGGTTCGTAACAATAACGTAAATAGTTGCGTGCGGGTTAAATTGCAAAGGCATAAAAATAAATATATTATATTTTCCAGGTATATATTCTTCAACTATTGTGACATTCATGCAGCAACATTTTGTTCCAAAAAAAAAAAAAAAAACTTATAATTTATTAATTTCGCTCATTTCTTAAATGCGAGAGTGGCCTGTACATACATGAGATATATGCATATATACTTATACATGCATGAATGTATGCACACACATGTGTGATCGCACGTCTATTTTAATTTAAGTGGGAGCAACACATGCTTAGACATAAAGTTGCATTCACCTAGGTATATTTTTGTGCACAGGAAAAATCATTAAAATCAATTATTCGAGTAAATATAAAAGTATGCATTTTTCTTTTTTAATACTCTAATGGAAAAAAGAAAACATAAAAAAAAAAAAATAAATAAAATAATAAATAAATAAAATTAATAAATAAAAATAGAATATTCTTTTGCTTTTAGCCTGGTCAACTTGACAAAAAAAAAAAAATAAAAAAAATAAATATAAAATACATGTAACATTGGTGCGGTGTTAAAGGGTACACACGTATGCGTATAAAATGTTACACTTGTATAGGTAATAAGGCAGTAATGTTTGACGGTACCTTGTCATTTTAGTGTCTAAATAATAATTCGTGTTTTAAAAAAAAATACACGGTTTTATTAAGTGGGTAAAAGTTATATATATATATATATATATACATGCTTCTGCATGTATGGATATATATATAAGTGCAGATACATATACATTCGCTTCTCTTACAATCAAGGTATGTGTATCCATTTACATCAAATGTAATTTTTATAAAAGGTTCTACGTATAAGGTTGCTTAAAATTTGAACTTCATCGCACACCTTTTTTTTTTTTTTTGGTAACATCCAACCATGTAGAATATAATATATGTAATATGCAGTATGCAATAATATTTACTAAAAATAAAAAAAAAAAAAAAAAAGTGCATTACTCTTTACAGATGCATAAATTTACATTTTGTTAAATTTGTCTCGTTGAAAGATAGAAAATACATAGCCAATATAATCGGTCAGTTTTTCTATTCCACTTTGAGAATTCTGTTTCCCACAAAGTGATTGTGAATGTGAATTATATACCCCTAATTAATATCATAACACAAAACGTATAGCACGTCTGTCTTGAACACTTAAAAAGGTACTTTATACATATATACAAAGTTCAAGCGTGTTCTTAAAAGCAAACAATTAATTAGCAGGAGGAGAGTGTTTGTGCTAAGCAATTTGTGTATACATGCAGAGTGGTATAAACAATTCGGCCATGTGTGAATACATAAATGGTTCACGTGATGTGCCTCTCTCAGACGAAAAAACGTTTTAGCGGGGTTCTTTAAAAATATGCATATGTAAATATTTATATGTATATATATGTACATGAAATTGCGTGCCTTGCATTATATGTTCCAGTTTGCATATTAATATACATGTATATATATATATACATATGTACACAAAATGTAAGCATGGGTACGTTCCTCTTTGGTATGTATAAAATATATTCCACAATAATACACAATATGTAGATATACTTTTATATGTATTCTCATCCCGGTTCACGAACGCGGTTGAGTGTGAGGCAACGCTGCCTCCTTATTTAACTAAAAAAAAAAAAAAAAAATTGATACAGATAAAAAAAAAAGAAAAATGGTGGAAAGGTAAAAAACCTTGGAATTTCTTCTAAAAAGCATTTTTTTTTTTTTTTCTTTTAAATAATTGTTTAATTGCAAAAAAAAGAAAAAAAAAATAAATAAAATAAATTAAAAAAACAAGAACATTATGCAGGTTAAAATTAAATAAAAAAGAAAAAAAAGCATCCATAAAAATGTACATTAATATATATGAATATATTACTTGTAATCACAACACAAATATGTATATATATAGAACTGCTACGAAAAATATGGAAAAACAAAATGCTCTGTACCCCTTTTCTATATCCAATATAAATAAGTACGCTTGCTTAAAAGCCTAAAAATGTTTTCACTGAAATTTTTTTTGCATATATTTTTTTTTACCTCATTGTCGTTCCTTGTGTTCATTACATTGCACCCTTGCCTTGCCCTCCTTTAAGAATCAGTTAATTTCCTTATTTTTTTGCATAGTAGGATATGAAACTAGGCACTTTCCGTAAACACCTTAATATTTTAATTTTATGTGTTATGCATGTACCTAAGCGTTTGCTCAAACTTCAAAAATGTATACATACATTAATATGGTGAAAATGGGATTTTCTTAAAAAGTTATATTATATATTGAAATACGTAAATCGAGGTGTTATACATATAATACTTCAGAGGACATTTAAAAGTGGAGGCAAACCTCAAAAAGTGCGTACATTGTGCGTGCATTAATGAGTATATGTAAATATGTGCATGTATAAATATATAATAAATGCTTGCAAAAGTGCATATAATATAAAATGCATGAATATTAAGTTCCAACACTTGCTCATGCTCTGCTCATGTGATGAGAGCATGAAAGAGCTTATTAAAGGCGAAACAAGGCTTAAAGCAAATCTCGAAACAAATCGAGTGAAAAATCGCGTAACAAACCGAGTAATAAATTGCGTGAAAAATCGAGTAACATATCGAGTAACAAACCGAGTAACAAATCGAGTAACAAACCGAGTAACAAATCGAGTAACAAACCGAGTAACAAACCAAGTAAAAAACCGAGTAAAGAACAAAGTAACAAGCCTAGTAACACATCGCATTTATATAAATCACAATGAAAAACACTCACTTCGAAAGAGAAAAGCCAACCCAAACATAACGATTTTAACTTAAAATGTAATTGTAACGAGTTACCTGAAAACGTCGCATAAGAAATTTTTTTATTTTTTTAAATACGTTGTACTGCTCACTAATTATGGGTATATTCTTATGAAATGATTTAGAAAGAAGGGGGTTAAAACATTGGATTACATATTAGTATTCCCAAGTGCTTTTTTTATTTCATATTTTAGCAAATGAGTAAAGTTTAAAATAAATAAGCCCATTAGTATTTCATCACATAACGATTTAATTTTTTGTGGAATAAAAGCAAAAAAAAAATTTTTTTAAAGGAAAAAAAAAAAATATAGAATTTTTATTTCTGAGAACGGATAATATTGAATTCGTTTCACAGTAATGAGATTACTTAAGTAACATTACGTGTAAGCATTTGATGCATGAGCTTTTCGCGCGTAAAAATATTATACTAAGTGAATGTTCTGCGATGAGCACGCGCTGATGAACATGAGATGTTTAACACGTGGAGTGAATTTTTTTTTCTTGTATGTGCTCCTTGTGGACAATATATATCTTCCCACAAGTTGTATTCCACGCATGAATGAAAATTCACTACCATTTTGAAATACATTATCAATAAGCCCAGTGGAAACAGCTTTCCCACGTCACTATATAAATATATATATATACATGCACATATGTGTGCATATTATTAATAGAAAGGAACGAGAGTTATAAAATGAAATATGAGAAAAAATACTGGAATAGCGATAAGGGGAAAAAAAAGAATGAAAATTTTCCGAACGATGACAATTATAGGGTAAAAAACAGAAGATATGGAAAAAATGAGGAAGGAGGGGGGGGATCAGGAAGAGGTTATAGTAACAAGCCACATCACCATGACACGCGACGCAGTGAAAAATTGCACAGTGATATAATTTCGAGCAATGAATTAAATTTAGAAAAATCGAGTTATACACCATTTTCCCAAAATTTTAAAAGAAATAATAATTATGAAGGGAAAAATAAAATGTTAGACAAGAGGGGCCATCGAAATAATCAGTATATGCCTCCATCATATAAAAGGGGAACGATGAATCAAAAAGCGAATATGACAAGTGGCATGAAAAATAATAATTCTCGTTTTCATAAGAAATATATAAGAAATTCTGATGAAAGAGGATTAAAATTTAATACATATGAAAGTGGTGATTACAATATGAAGAATAACTTTGATGATGATCATCAGTCGCATGAGTATAATTACAACAAAATGCATAATTACCTCAAAAGTGACACTTATCATGCAGAAGACAATAATTTTCATCATAGTGATAATAATGATGGAGCTGGTGCTAATTATGACAACTACCATGACGGTGATAATGGCTACAGCTTAGGAGACTATTACTATCTCGGTGACAATAATGACAATGGTAACAATAACAACAACGACGACCATAGTGGTGGTGATCGATTCTGTGATAGTTATAGTAGAAATTACAATCATGGTAAATATAACAAAAACAGTAGTAACAGTACCATTCATCATATTCCTAAAAATAAATATGCGTATGAGGATAACCAAGGAAATAATTATATGCAAAGTTACGATGAAAAATATGGAGCAATCCGTAATGATGTTTGTAATCATCATGATAATCAAGATATTGATGATTCCAAAAAAGGTGACGTTCGCCAAGATCTGAATAATCTACATAGGGACCTGCACAATTTACTTTTTTGCCCATCGAAAACGGATAATGAAAAAACCACAAGTAAAACAAATACCACACCTCAAAATAAAGATAGAAACGAAAGTGTGTTGAGTAAGTTGTCCATTTTGCGAAATATTCCTTTTAACGTGAAGCCGTCCGAGAAAGGTGGAAACAAGGAAGAAGGGAATGGCAGTGAAGAAGATAATAAACATATTAATAATCAAAGGACTGAAAGACAAACAAGCGGTGATGAACATAAAACCAATTACAACAATAAAACAGCCATGATACTGGATGATCTAAAAAGGTGCCTTTACAGCAGTAGCAATTGCGGGGCAAAGAAAACTCACGCAGTGAGTGATGACATTATGACTAAAGTTCCAAATCGCCATGATAGAGAAACGAAAACTGACCAAGACTATTACTCAAATAGTTTTGTGGAAAATGATGATAATTATTTTAACGTTAACAATGTTAGAGCTTATAGAAAATTTGGGGGAAGTGAAAGTAGCAGTAGTAGAAGTAGTAGTGGGAAAAGACATGGTGAAAGTAGAAATAAAAAGAACTGTTTTCCATCCATGAATACTGAAAAGGTTAATAGTCATATTCCAAAAGCAAATGAAGAGGAAGAAAATAATGAATATAATAAAAGTAGAGGGTATAGGAATGCCTCGAATTATTACAAGTTTGGACAAGTGGATGATGAATCATCCATATCAAATGATGGCAGTGCTGTCATGGATGCATATAAAAACGAAATGAAGGAAGACCAATTAATGAATTTTAGTGGAAATTTATTTTCAAAAGATCAAATAACTGAATCGTTGAAAGTGTTAAATACATTACAAGTAGATATTGAAAGAGTGTGTTGTTATATAAAACATTTTGTAGATCCACCGGAACAGTTATTTAACACTATGATAGATGTATTTTTAGATAAATCAGTATTAGTAAATTCCAAAATTGCTATTTTTTATGTGTATAATCATTTAATTCAAGAGTTAAGAAATAATTATAAGAACGATTTAAATAAATATTATTCAATTGCGGAAAAGGGGCTACATATTTTTGTCGTTCCTGTACTGAGATACATATTATATGAAGATGTGAACGTTGATATGATTAATAAGTTTTATAGGTGTATTACCATTTGGAATGAAAGAAATGTTTATGGTAAAGTAGTTTGTGATCAGCTAAAATCTTTGCAAAAGAATCCACACAAAAAAATTAATTTTACTGTGAAAAATGTATCTAGCCAAGCTCATAGTTTATTATCAAATGAATTGTCTAAATTTGTTCCATTAAGTTTTATTTTAAAGATGCCAAGTATAAATAATGAACACAAAAAAGCTTTGGAAAATAAAATTCTAAGTGCTCTTTTTGAGAATATTTCAAAGGATACTCTGAAGGGATTCGATGAGAAGGATATTGAAGAAGCTTCTAAAATGTCAGACAAGGTAATGCGCATGTACGGACAGGAATTAATTTTAATAAACTCTCAAATTTTGGAGTTATCATCCTTAATAAATGACAACAATGATCATTTGATGAAGCTGCATAATGCACTGGGAAAAAACTGGGGGAATGAAGAAGGAAAATGATGAAGGCTAGCGCAAAAGAACGCAAAATTTTATGGACATTGGTTTTATGTATGTACCTGTTTCATACACGATTCTAATGCACTTGTTTATACATATATATATATATATATATATATATATATATGCTGCGTGAACAAATGTTTTACAAAAAAAATGTATACAACATTTGTGTAATACGCAATGGTTTTACTATAACATCAAATATGTTCCTAATTTGAGGTAACATATTTACATTCCACAACTCCCGCCAAATCTTTGTCTTTTTTGTTCCTACTACATTTTTTTTTTTTTTTTTTTTTCGTTTCCATGTTCTGGATCATAATTTCCCAAAATGTTCGTATTATTTTATTTTATTTTTTTTTTTATTGAATGTAAATTGATGTATTTGCCTATTTATACAAATTTTTAGATGATCCATTTATTTTTATATTATTTAATTTCCCTATCCCGTCCATTTGTATTTTTCTTTCTTTGTTTTTGTCTCGATTTGCGCACTTGCTTGGGTATTTTTTTTTTTTTTCCCACTCTCCGGTACACCCATGAGCACGCGTACCTTTATTCTTACCTATCCCCCATCACATTCCATAATTATTATTTTATTTATTATTTTTTTTTTTTAAGTTATTTTTACATTTCTACAAATTTAAGGAAGTTTTAAAAAATGAACTCCTTTTTTTTTTTTTTTTTTCTTTAATTAATATTATATGAGGATATGTCTGGAATGGTGAAATATACATTCATTTGTGAAAATGGGCTAAAATAAAAAGAGGCATAATTGATACAAGGTATAAGAGAAATTTTTCAAGGGATGAAGGAATCCTCTTATTTTTTTTTATTTTATTTTTTTTTTTTTCTTTTGTGTATCCATTTAAAATGGTTAGGTCCATTTTCGCACCCACTCCCTGAAGAAAAAAGAAAAGTATAAAAAGTGAGGGTTGGTAAAGTGAAACAAAAACTGTTGTAATGAAATGGGAACAAGTTTAAGGAATGGAAAAATATTTGTAACTACAAATGAAATATTGAGATGAAACAAATGAAAAAATGGCACTAATATGAAACTCATGAATGAAAAATGTTGCGGATTTGCAAGGGTTATAATATAGAAGTATATAAGACTCGTTCCCCCTAATCATTTATTGAATTTACGTACGAGGATGTCATTTGAATGTTAAGAGAGTATGCCAGAGAGCGTTTCCAAAGTTCCCTTGTATAATCATCAAACATGATAATTTTAATTTTTTTTTCTGTTGATTCGCCATGCTTCACTCTGTAGTTAAGCGCAATTATACTTTCATAATTATTTACAAATTTAATTTTATTTAAATTTTCATTGTTGTATTTGTGCACAATTTTTAGGAAATATTTGTTTGCAGATAGATACCTCTGGTTATGTTCAAAATGTTGGTAATGTTTTACAAGTTCACCGTCGTTGGGTTCATCTGTCTGAACGGTTGTAGTAACATTGGCAGACAATACCATTTGTTCATTAGTATATTCTGTATTGTTGCTTGAGTAGACATGTTTTATAGTATTTCTAACTGCACATTTTCTGGTAAATACAATATTTTCATCATTCATTGAATTGACACACAATCCTAGGAAATTATTTAAATATATCTTCTCATTGGTAAAAATTTTTTTTTTCCCTGTACCTGATTCTTCGTCTGCACTATCTATGCTCGATTCGACATAAAGATGTATATCATCTTTTTCTTCATCGATAAATGGACTTAGACATAACCAGTTTTTAAAATTTACTTTGAAAATGTATAAATGATTTTTTGTTAAAACGAAGAAAAATAATTTTCTTTTTTTCTTGTTATTAGTATTTCTTCTGAAAATGTTGAATTGCTCAGGGTTCGATTCAGAATCAGAATTCTGTGCTTGTTCATCGTTCTTGTATGTACTAATAAAATCGCTATAATGTGATTCGGAAATTATTTCAGATTGATATGATTCTTCATAACCGTTTAGATTGTCTTGCCTTTTATCTTCTGTTTTTATTTTACTTTTTGTACAAACACTTGGATTTATTTCCATATATGCAAAAGATGTAATAATAATGTTCTGAACGTTCATGTGATTTTCCAAGTTATTTTTGAATATATTATCTTGTACCAAATCAACCTTTGCATGATAACTACCCCCAGATAAAAATTGGGAATATGAAATTATTTCATCACGAAAATGTTTATTTAAGCTTATAAACATGTCATATTGCTCATAACTTTTGCCGTTTTCATGACATATGTAACCAAAAACGAAAAAGTTGTCATTCAACTTACTCAAACATATTCTTGTTATGTCTGCATATTTTTTTTCAGAATGTATTACTAATTTTATGTCTTTATCATCTGTAATATTTTCTTCCAAATTGTCTGGTATGTATACAAGATAATATTTATCCAATCCGATTGCCAGGAAATACCATTCTATAGCTTCGTACAGATAGAAGTGAAGTGAGGGGTGGGGTGGGGTAAGTCGGTAGAGAAAGTAAAAAAAAAAAAAATAAAATAATAATAAAATGACGATTTGGTGAAATCACTGAAGAAGGGATACATTTAAGCAATAGCCCTAAAACCACGAGTCCATAATTTCTCGTGAGAACTACATATTTTCGACAAATGAAGAAGTATATCGCACTCATTATATATACCATTAAGAAGTTGTCATTTATTTTGCCCCGTTTTGTAATAAATTCCTAAAATCTTACCATTTTCCCGAAGGTATATAATCGGTGATATGTGATAAACCTGTGTTGGTGCACATCTTTGAATGGACAACTGATTCTGCAAAATTATTCGTAGATATATCAACTTGTAATATAGAAAGAGTGCATGCAACATAGACATCCTGAATAATACGTTGTGAATATATTTTTTATAATTTATAAAATACAAAATAAAATATTTCAACTTTTTTGAAAAGCACATCAAGTAAGATATTGTAAAGAAGGTGTAAAAAAATATGGTATGGATATAGCTAAAGCTTTTCTTGTGATAAATATACGCGGCATATACAGACCCATGATGGACACTATTTATATATATAAAAAGATATAGTAATAGTAAAATATTATTTTTGTAAAAGAGGAAAAATAGAGAACAATCTACACACCATTTTTGTATTTCACTGTAATGTGAAAATTGTATATAAATAATTTTTTGTGTAAAATAATAAAATAGTTGACAAAATTCTGCATAAAAATATTGTTCATTATCTGATAATACATATTCTTCATTGATGAGTTTGCTAACAAATTCCCTACTTAATAATTTACAATAGTAGGAAAAAATATTGTAAAAAATTAACATATCCATAGATTCAACTGCTGTTAAGTTTTGTTTTAAAATCTCACTGTATAAACGGAAAAAATGAGCATACACATTACAGTCGTAAAAACTGCATTGACTTAAAAGATTTATCAGCGATTTTATGACATTTTTTTTTAAAAAATATTCTTTAACTCTGGTGTAATTTTCATTATTATCTGTGTTATTTATAATTATGCTGTAGAAAATTCGTAAAAAGGTGTGCAATATGTAAGCTATATTTACCTTTCCTTTGTTATAATTTACAAAAATTCCTCTTTTGTTAAAAAGAAGCATATTCAGCTGGTTACATTTGTGATCATATATTTTTTCCTTATTAAAGCATAAAAGTTCGCATGCAATTTTGTCTAAAATACTTTCGTTTGGATTTTCTTCCACGAGAGAAGATGCAGACGATTCGTTTATATGGTAAGTTGGGTCACTGCTAGAGGACTTGCCAGAATAATATTTATTTTCACCGTTTTGTTTCACACCTTTGTGAGATTCATGTGTTTTTATTAGTATTTCACCTTCAGTTTGGTTTAAATTATTATTCATATTTTTTTGTTCATCATTTACTCCCCCATTTTTACCAATGTTGTTATTTTTTTGATCATCCTCAAATGAGCCATCCGTGGAATGAGCAGATAGCTTCTTTTTCAAAATTGTTACATTAGAGTTGTTTTTATATCCATAGGTATTTCCACTCATATATTTAATGTTTTTTTTTTTTTTCACCACTTTGGGAATTTCAAACATGTGCTCAAAATTGAGCTCAATTTCGTCATCCACAAGAGATATGTCAAATGTCTGTTTGAAATTGTTATTATGTAGCCATAAGAACAATTTCTTCTTTTTGTCTTTTATGTTTTGTAATTCCTCAGTAAGATGGTTACTTGGTGTAGTGTCCTTTTTCTCCGTTTGTTCATGTTGAATTTTAGATCTGATTTCCTTTTCTTTTAACTTTAGTTTTGAAATTTTTTTTTCATATTTCAGTTTGTTAAATTTTAGTACTCCAGGAAAATAATTTTCTTCTTGTTCTTTTTTCAAATGTGTGAAAATATTTTTTTCAACAAATACTTCCAATAGGGTATGCAAATTCATCATGTAGTGTTTGAAAAATGTGTTAAGTTGTTTTTTATAATCACTAAGGTCATCATTAGTCATTTTATAAAAATATTGTAAAATTTTTTTCTTATTCCAATGTTTTTCTTCAAGAGTGCATAAATAGAATATATCACAATTGGAAGGTACTTTGAACTGATAAAAGTAACCACTAAATATATCAGCTACATTAATTAAAAGACGTAAACATATTTTTTTATTTTTTGAAATATTGTTTTTCATTAACGCTTTGAATATATTATCAATAGTAGAACACCACGTTCGTTCAATTAAAATGTCATAGTCTATATTTATTTCATTGTATAAGCTATCTTCATTTGTCAAAGCATTTATGTAGTAATAGCTGATTGAGTTGTTTCTCATGAAGAATCTTAATTGGGTGCATCTTGAGCATGTTATCAATAGTTCCACAGTTATTTTATTCAAGTCGATTTCTCGTGTATCCAAATCAAAGTTGGTGTATCTATCTTGGTATGTATCCGTCTTTTCTTCACGTTCTGTTTCATCAGCTCCATCTGCTTCTCCAACTTCATACTCACCATGATTCCTCTGTGAATTTATTCTCCCTTTTAACAATACGAGATCGTTTTTTTTTTGCAGAATAACTGCCCTGCGGAGAAATTGGTTCATAATTCGCAAAATATTCGTGATGGTATCTTCAAATTTGTATAATTCAATAATTTTTGTTACTTCTTCATTGTTTACTACATTTATGTATATCTTCACGCAATAGTAGTAAATTTCCTTCCATTTTTCGTTCAGAGTAACTTCCTTTTCTCGAAGGATGAAAAATATTTTGTGAAATTCAATGGATTTGCAGTCCTCAAATGGGATTAGGCAGATGCACCGCAGAAGGCGAATCATAATATCTTCGTTCTTCTTTTCTGAAAGAGTGGTGCATTAATGGATCGTTTGGACGTGAGTGATGTATGAATGGATCGTTTGGACGTGAGTGATGTATGAATGGATCGTTTGGACGTGCGTGATGTATGAATGGATTGTTCGGATGTGAGTGATGTATGAATGGATGATATAGGAGAGAACCCCGTTGATAAGTTCCCCATATTACTTCAAACAGGGAATGTAGGTCGTCCCTCGATATAGCTATCTAAGAGGAAGAAAAAACTTACCTAGACATGTGAGCAAGTAATAGTTAATGCCGCTATCCACGAACCCCTTTTTTACTTTTATTGAAAACTTATCAACCCCCTTCATAAAAAAAAAGGCAAAAATACCAAGGGAATATTTAACAACTTCATATAAATAAGTTTCCACATTTTCATCTGATTTACTGTAATAGTTTAACATACTATTATATTTTTGTCCAAATAAAAAAGGTAATATTATTTTTAAATTATTAGTATTATTTAATATATATTCAATGTTGTTTTTATACATTTCTTCATTCTTCAAAACTATTAATAATCCAGCCAAACTTGCACTTAAAAAGTATGGATTGCTCATATCCATTTTAATGCCAGTTAAAAGTAAATCAATGAAGTGATGAGTGTTGCATAATTCGTATAAAATTTCCTTATCAGATTTGCAAATATTACTTAATGTAAAAATTATTATATTACAAAAAATAGATTTTTTTTTGGAAAAATTTTTCATAAAATCCTTATTTATCATTTCTTTAATCTTTTTGAAATAAAAATTTAAATGCATCTTTTCCTTTACCAGCATTGCGCAATGTTTAAAATGGTTGCAGCATAGTTGTTGCACGATCAGATATACCTTTTCAAGGTATTCTGGTGCATCTTCAAAGTTGTCTTCCTGCCGATTGGTTATTTCTGTTGTAAGGATCTTCAGGTGAAGCAAAATGCATATGTGTGATTGCAGGTGTAAACTTATGTGTGAACCTCTAATTATCTCGCTATCTACTTATATGTGGTGTGTCCACGCCCATATTCATGTGCACACTCGGGAAAATAATTTAACCATGAAATGTCAGCGATACGTTCGCAAAAATGCAACATTTAACAAAAAGGAAAAGAAAAGAAAACTCACCTTTAGGAGGCCCTCGTCATATGCTATTAAACAATTTTTCCGATCCAACGTCGCAACGGAAAGAAATTCCAATATATGTTCATTAAAGGAGCTTCTCAGCAATTTGATAACTTTATGTATGCAACTACTGAAGGTGTGTGCGACCATCTTATCCCTTGGTGTGTATTGTAGTCCCTCAAAGATGTTCTTCAGCGTTTCTTTCTAAGGGACGAAAAAAGTAGGGAAAATCACGAAACAAGTAATAGATAAGGCAAATGTATCACTAAAGTGAGGGTTTGTGGTGATGGTATGATCCTGTGACAGCAGAGCGTTGGAGGTGCATATACAAACATGAACAAGCTCAAGGGCAAACACATGCGCATGCACAAAATGGGTGCAAAAAAGGGTGCGAAAAAGGATGCGAAAAAGGATGCGAAAAAGGATACGCAAAAACATATGCACATGTACATTCAGGCAATTACTTGCTCACCTCAGCCGAATTCAGTATGGCTGGAGCCACTATTTCCTCAAAGACCGAATATATGTCATACTTATACTCCTCATTATGTCCTAAGCCACAAAGGATACGCAAAATTTGGACATTCAAATTGAAAGCATTGATAAATACTAACTTTGCAACTGCATATATAAATGTCCTTCTTGAATCTTCATATTTTTCTAGGACAACTAGTATTCTATCCAGAATTTGGTTCACGTTTTTTTTCCGTTCTTCGACATTTTCACTTTTTACAAAAAAGAATTTCCTAAAATGTATTGGATCTTCGTAACATAACGTTGTTAATTCATTTAATACATTTGCATATTTCCAATATGAGTCTTCATGGGTTATTATCCCTTCGATTAAATATAAAATGTTTTTGCTGTGACTAAAATCGTCATCTTTTTCTTCATTTGATGTGTTTAGGTTATTAATTATTTTTTTTATCATTACTTGGGTTGGCTAGAGGTGGGGATTGTGTTCTCTGTCCCTATCTCTGTCCCTATCTCTGTTCCTTTCTCTGTTTTTTTTTCCCTTTCTTTCTTGTCTTCCCTACTAGATTGGTTACAGTACAATGCATAAACATATCTTTGTGGAAGTACTTGCGTGTGTGTACACGTGTAGCTTCTTTGCGTAAATTTTTTCACATTTGATGGTTTATTTGTATGCATATGAATTCATGTATTTATTTTATTAAATCTCCTGCTTAAGATAAAATCCCATTTGTCGTGTTTGTTTTATTTGTTTTCTTAAACATTAAATAAGGAAACATGCAGACGTGTTAAAAATAATGCTTTTTTGGTGTTATATATATATATATATGAAGGCAAAATCAAAAGCCAATGGAAAAATAAAATAGAAACATGACTGAGTTGAGAAAAAAAAAGAGGAATTAATACACAAAATTGTGATGTGTGCTAGGATATGATCATGTGTTAGGGAATTCTCAGTGGAAGAAGGTACATAAGGACACGTATATGGGATTAGTATCATGAGGACATGTTGATGTTAGCGTCAAGAACCACGATTGATTTCAGTTATGTAAAAACGTAAATTATATAGTCCCTGGGGTGCGAAAAAAAAAAAAAAAAAAAAAAAAAAAACCTGACATGAATAAGTTCAAAGGTTAACTTTGAGAGAAAAAATTTGGAAATAATTACGAGAGAGTTGCCAAATGGCCCCAAGAAAAAAAATGAAAAAAAACATAATAATCTAATTATATAATTGCAGGATTGAAAATTGCCCTAACGGGAATGGAGCATTTTTTTTTTTTTTTTCTTTTTTTTTCTTAACACTTTTTAAGTCTCAAATATTTTATTTTGAAAATGTAACAGATTTTTTTTTTTTTTCAAATAAGTTTGTAACACGTTTTCCCTTTCAGATGGTCACCTTTTTTTCATTAACAAAACGGTAACAACTTTTTCTGGTTGAGATTTGTGCAGACAAATTTACAGACACCAGTGCATTTGTATACCCCTTTTATTCCTACTTATTATGCACTTACATTTTCGTTCATATGTCTAGTAAATTCCTGTTTCGTGTGTCAATGGGATGATTTTTCATTTTCAACATATGATCATTTTGAGAATTCTGTGAATAGAAAATTAAACGATGGTTTGTCAAAATGATGTAGTTAAAAAGAAAGATGTCATAAAGGGAACGCACGAGAGCTACGTAAGCCTGCAGAAATAAGCTGCCTACTTAAATACATAAAATGGGGATAATAAAATGCAAGAAAAGAAAAACAAGTCTTTTTTTTTTTTTTTTTTTTTTTTTTTATGAATGTGTATAATTGTATAATGCCTAATGAGGTACCTTTCTGTGTGTCTATGTGTGCGTAGAGCGATGGAGTAGTAAAACCAAAATATGATTATGTCAAACTTCTCCAAAAATAGTTAAAAATTTCGAATCCCAAATGTACGTTACAATCCAATGGCGTACAAGGAAAACAACTAAGTCAGTATAGTAATGGAAAAATATTATTCAAGAATATAGAAAAAAAGCCAAAATTCGTGAAAAAGAAAAGGTAAATAATAAGGTGATATGTTAACAAAAAAAAAAAAAGAAAGGCCAATAACGTTGGAATGTTAGCAAAAATAAGGCAAAATCATGATGAAATGTTGAAGGAAAAAAAAAAAAAAAAAAAAAAAAAAAAGTACTAGTGAAACACGCTTTAGTCTTACTAGATAACAGTTTAGCTAAGAAAATTAAATCACCTATTTTGTATTTTTACTTTGTACGCAGAAATTTTTTTTCTGTGATTTTGTTTAAAATTAGTTGTCATTGGTTTTTGGTCTTTGTAGCGCTTCACCATTTTTGCTATAGTTTTTTCAATGAGCATGTCGAATAAAGGGCAAAAGTCTGCAATATAACAAAAATTTCTTTTTGAGTTTCCTGTTGTTAATTGTTATCCCTTATGAAGAAGAAATAAAAAGGGGAGTGAAAAACACTTGTAAGTACGGAAATTTGCTTATCTCTTTGAATTTATTTGAGAAAGTTTGTTTTTAAGATTAAACTTTTTTTTTTTTACTATTTGTTTTATATTGTTTTTTTCTTGTCTTTTTTTGTCTATTGTCTTTTTCCTGTTTGCATCAAGTTCGTAATCCTTTCTTTTACCCATTCCAGTTATAACATGTTACAAAATTGTAGATAAAAAAAAAAAAAAAAAAGAAAAATGGAATAACTCAAAAGTTTATTTCACTCTACGAGGACTTCTACATGTTTATAGAAAAGTTTGAATATAACCAAGTTTCTCATCACAAAAGCCTATACTTTGCACACATGATAAAGAGATACCCAAAAAAAGAAAGAGAAAAAAAAAAAATAAATAAATAAAATAAAATAAAAACGTGAGGGGAAGAAAGAATCATGTGCTATGAACAGCATTAAATGCTACGGTCGTTTTTTGCCTGGGTCTAATTTAGACAATGATAGACTAGAAGAAAAATATTTCTTGAAAAGAGAACAAAATTTAACAAAAGTTTTCGGAGAAAATATATCCAATTTGAAAATTTATAATGTTTTACTTAAAAAAAGAATAAAAAATATTTCAGATGGGATAAATAATTTATTTATTATTTTAAGCAATGAAAAAAAGGATTCAGCTATGTTTACTGTAGGAGGTAGATATACTACTCCCTTTGGTATTCTTTTATATTTGATTAACGATTTGCTATATAATGATAAGTCCAATTATAAATATCTCATTAAGTTTAGTTTTTTCGAAATAATCAAAAATAGAGTGAATGATAAGTTGAAGAGATACATCCTTCCTCAGAATAATATCATCGACGTTGACAGCTCCTTAGGGAATTTGAACGGAGGTTACAGTTGGTTAAGCAACACTTACAGAATAAACCAAGAGAATGTCAGTTCTTCCAAGTTACACTCTTTAAAATATAAATGGAATAGGGTTCAACACAAAAGTCGAAGTTGTAGCATTGACAATTCAGAAAAGTTGACAAGAGAAACTTGTCTAACGAATCAGAAATTGGCAGAAAAGGAATTCAATAACTGTACGGAAAGTGCTCATGTAGACAATTTTATACAAAGGAAGAAAGAAGAAAAGTATCACAAGATCTATACTAAGAAGAAGGGCACAAGGGAATGGGACCCAAGTAGCGTAAAAAAGGTGTATTTAACTACACAGAACATAAAGCATATCTTTAAAATATTACGCAAAAGTAGGAAAGGCAAATGTGGGATGGATGAAGAGGTAAAGAATATGCACAATAATATTACATATGAAATTTATGAATTCAACACAGAAAGGATCAATAGATTGAATTATAACACGGAGGATGTAGTAAACTCTTCGATAATCATCATAGTAGTTAATAACGTCAAAGAGGCGTATTCATTGAAGAGAAGTTCTTTATCTAATTTTTTTCAGTTCTTTTTAAAAATAAAAGAAAATAATTATTGTCTAAGGGACATAAATCTGAATTATATAAAAACGAAATCCCTCATAATTAAATACTTATATAATTTATACAAATTAGATCACATAAGAGGCAGCGAATCAAGGATAATTTTTTTTCCATTTGAGCTAAATTTTTTATACATATCAAGCAATTTCAACAAATATAGAAAAGTTTGCGAATTTATTTATTCTTATTTAAAAATTCTGAACAAGTCAGAATATTTTGTAAAACCTAATAGGAAGATTAAATACGTGAAAAGTGAGTTTCACAAAATAGATGAAAATATTTACATGCTTAAATGTATGTTAAATTATTACAGCAGATTTAAGTTATCTGAAGAGGAAATAAATTGGAGATGTAAGGACATAAGAAATTATCTCATAGAACTAGAGACATCTGTCATATGTGGTGCTAAAATAAGGGGACCCAGTTATACATCCATTGAAAATAGAATAAATAACATTTTAAACCTTTGTAGGTACAGTACATCCGAGACGGATGAATGGAACCAAATAGGAAGAAGAAATTCTTTTTATCAGAAAAATGAAAGCATACCTTTTTTTAGCAAGCCAAGGGGGAGAGGAGGAGGCTCCAGTAGCGGGAAGGACTTAGAAAAAGAACATGACGAAAAATGTGAAGCAAAATATGACGAAAAATGTGAAGCAAAATATGACGAAAAATGTGAAGCAAAATATGACGAAAAATGTGAAGCAAAATATGACGAAAACTGTGAAGCAAAACGTGACGAAAAATATGAAGCAAAATATGACGAAAAACGCGAAGACGAGTTCGGAGAAAAATCTGAAGATAGTGAGATATCCCAAAGATCTAGAAGAATGAAGAATAGCGCAAATCTAGGGATACATAATGCAAGGAATGAAAAAAACATACATGGTATAAATAACGACAAAAAATATATGAATACAATACTTTTAAAATTAAATATGTGCAGAGAAGATAGAATAAATCTAGTTAAAAGTGGGGGGGGCGAACCCAGAATTGATACTGATTTCTCAAACTGCAAAAAAAATAATGAAAATTGTTACACACACTTCAGAGAGAAAAAAAAAGAAATAACATTGAAAGATCACAGTTCACCAAGAAAACGTAATAAATCAAAACATAGAATTAGTAGAACGTATGTAGAATATGCAAATAACAATAATGATGTCTACAATACAAATGATGATTCGTCAGTAGATCGCATAAAACTACATCTTCATAGTGGTAGGAATTTTTTACATGCACTTCATTTTGATGACAATAATTCGAGTCCTTCCTTTAAAAAAAATTCCTTTAAGAAGAATTCTATATTTACAAATAAAATGGACCCACAAAGTAGTGAAATAGAATACAAAAATATGTTCAATAACTCCATGAGGTATGATAATTTATATGACAAATCCATTATAAATCATAAGGGGAAAGAAAAAAAGTTTCATTCCAGTAGCATCTTTGGCACATCTTATTTGAACAAGTCAGATAGCTCGTGTGACGAAAATGGTGACAGTGTTGAAACCTTTTTAAACAATATTGAAAAAAATAAAAAATTTCTAAAAAATATTTCTGAGTTAAATTCGTGTATTAAAAAAAATAGGAAGATTGACAAGAGAGCAAAAGGCTTACTCGAGAAAGTCGAAAAGTGTCTCATGGGTGAAACGTGTGAAAGTAAGTTCAAAACGGAGTTGAAAGAGAAGAAGGGGATGCGTTACGCAAATGGAATAATTGATAATTATCAGAAAATTGGAAAAGGTGAAAAATCGATGAATGAAAAAACAGACGAAGAAAAGGAAACCAAAAAATTGAAGAAAAAAACATTGTTAAGAGAAAGTGCCCTATCGACGCATATGAGTGGGATAAATAATCTGATCTGTTCAGGAAAACGAACAAAATCAAGAAAAGCAGTTAACATTGTCAATACATTAGAAAAAATTAAAAATGAGAATAGTCACATAACGAGATCAAACACAACGAACAATCTTACTTCTCTCATATCAGGTAGAAAGAAAAATAAAGACAAATTTTATGACTCGGATAATTTTTCCCCAAAGCTTAATCACACAAGTTATTTTCACGACACCTTCAGGGGTAATTCTTCCGTAGATATTGCAAAAAATGAAATTAAATCAATATATGCAAATATTCCCGTTGAAGGACATAATGGAAAAAATTTTGATAACGAAAATGGAATGTCTGATAAATTTTATGACGAAGAAAAAAAAAAAAATGTTCGAAGATGTGGGAAATACCCTTTTCATTTAAATAGTTGTGAACCAATTAATAAGAGTGCAGAGCCCATTTTTCCCCGTGGAAAAAAAAGGGATAATAATATATTTTTAGAAGAAAATAAAATTAGTGACTTTGATTTGAAAAATAATTCGTGGAGTCAGAATGATGGATGTAAAAAAAAAGAAATAAAAAAGGAAAACAGAAAATTGACGGAGGGGAAAGTCATGCTTGACGAAAAGTCTACTAATTGCAATCTTCATAATGCCATTATGCACCACGGAAAATTAAAATGTGAGAGAAAATCCAGTAGTACACAGAGTAGCTTACATAAGCATTCATCTTATAGTATGGATTGTCCTAGTATAGCTGATGAGCAGATCAAAGGAATAGAAGAAGAGGGAGACGGAGATGGAGAGAAAGAGGAAGAAACATGTGGAAATCACTCGGATGAAAGTGTGTTTTCATTTTCATCAAAAAATAGAAATACTTCAAGCAAATGTAACTATTACTCTAGCAGTCACGTTTTCAATGATGAGATAAAGGGAAATTACAAATCAAACAAAGATAATATCTGTAAAACATCTCCAAATGGAATAAAAAGACATGCAATAAATAACTGTAACAAAATAACAAAGATGGAGAGAAATAAAAACAGTAATTGGAATTCTATGCGTAAAGATGTCATGGTAATGACTAGTTCAAATTTTGATTCAGGGCATGAATGTCTCAGCAGCAGCAGAAGCGGTGATGCCAGCGTAGAACCACTTGATAAAAGTATTATGGACTACCATAACAATTTTAAAAAATTATTAAAAAATTATAATAATTTGCTGAGAAGAAGACACGAAGACAATAGTAGCGATTTGGAGTTTTTGAAAAAGATAAAATTTGCAAAGGGAATCTTAAGAGAATACAAAAAAGTTCTGAGCACTAAATGGAATAGCAAAAGCAATCATTGCTTGTTGTTACAAGAAATTATTTCAAGTGAATTTGCAAGTTTAATAGAAATGTTTAAGAAGAAGTGTGGACGAAGTGGTTGCAGTAAACACGAAAGCTTTGTGAATATATGTAATAATTGCAAAAATGATTTTTTAAAAAAAAATAGCAAAACTCAGAGTGAAAGAACCTTTATAGGAGTACCACACAGGATCAATGAAGGAAGTGAGGGAAACACAAACTATTTAAAGGAGGATCAAATACCTTCTGCTAGACCTAATCTAGATGATATTGAAGGTGCGAATATGAACAAAAATGTGGATGCAAATTTGGATGATAATGTGGATGCAAATTTGGATGATAATATGGATGCACAATTGGATGATAATATGGATGCACAATTGGATGATAATGTGGATGCAAATTTGGATGATAATATGGATGCACAATTGGATGATAATATGGATGCACAATTGGATGATAATGTGGATGCAAATTTGGATGATAATGTGGATGCAAATTTGGATGACAATGTGTACGAAAATATGGATTATAATGTGGATGCAAATTTGGATGACAATGTGTACGAAAATATGGATTATAATGTGGATAGGTATGAAAATGAAGAACACCCTAATGGGAATTGTAGCACTACTGTTTTCAGCGTTGCTAAAAATGAAGACAGGGACTCGTATCACAAAACAAATGACAATTTGAAGGAAAGTAATTCTGGCAATTTTTTTGAGACAGAAATTGAGAATAATCACGCTCTTACAGGGGGCTGTTTCGAATTGGAAGAACTCCAATTGCGAACCTTAGCAAGCGCGGAAGGAAAAATATTTGATAAAAAAGAAAGAAGCATAAATTCTTCTACTCATTGTTATAGAGAAAATATTTCTATTGGTGAACTTTCACATATGGATAATTACATTACTTTTAGTCAAAGTGATAAATCTAACCGTTCTGAGAAGCAAAAAAATGTGAAAGATGAAAACACTTGCATGCACAATGTAACTTTTGACAAGTCACAAAATGAAATAGACATTATCTCGAAGGACAATTACACCTTAAAATCGCATGATAGGAAAAACACTCCCATTTGCATTGATGATATCAAAATAAAGAACTCAAATAGAGAAGAAAAAAAGAACAAGATTAGGAATGTGTCACACAAGAAGATGCACAGATACAACGGAATAGGAAACTTTCATAAGGACGAAATTTGTACACAGAAAAATTTCAACTCATATTTGAGCCAAGTTGAAGATATATGGATAAAAAACTGCTTCATGCTAGATGAGAAGAAAATACCCGGCTGTCCACGTGTAGAAGAATCTAGAAATATGCGTTATATTATCCATAAAATAAAGAGAAAAAAAGAAATTCTGAAAAGGAGTATAAAAGTAGAGGGTAATAAATTAAATAAAATTTCCTTAAAAAAAAAAAAGTTAATGTACTTCATTTTGAGGGCAATAGAAGGAGGAGAAAAGGATGAAGAACTTATTGGGGTTGTGAAAAGTACTATTTTTAAGATGGAATATTTTGAGCAGAAAAAATTAAATAAACTGAAGAAAATAAAAAACGAATTTACAAGATTAAATGATTTAGAAAAAAATATTTTAAGTGACTTTTTAATGAAGAAAAGGCAACTTGTTGTAAAAAAAGACAAAGAAAGGGAACTATATAGCAAAATTGTAAAACAGATAAGAGATGAAAACGACGACCTGGACGCTGAAAACATTTGTCAGAATTATGCCAACCATTTGAACAAAAAAAAAAACATTATTGAAGAAAAAAAAATTGAGGATGTACATGGTAATGTAGGTAAAAATATAGAAAACATTTTTGAAAAGAAATTGCAAAAAGACCATCAAAAAAATAGTGTGCATACGTTCCGCGATGGTAAAAAAAATGAAAAAAAAAAATCCTGTGCACATGTGCACGCATCTCGCAAGAGCTGTATTTGCAACAGTGCTCACATTATAAATTTCCAAAATAGAGAAGGCAAAAATTTAACTGTTTTTTCGGACTTGTCTGGAAAATTAAAAAAAAAAAATCAAGAAAAACAGGAAAAGAAGGAAAAGAAGGAAAAAAAATGCAAGACTTCACCATTAGACGGGGAAAGCACTAGACTATTTGCACATCCCTTTAATGAGGCGACGTTGTGTGATGCTGATCTCTGTGAAAAAAATTCAAATGAACACATATCGCTGATCAAAGGGTCACGGCAAAGTGTGCCCAAAACTAGGACCCATTTAGCTCAAAATAGTCAACTCAAAGTGGGGCAAAAAATAAAAAATCTAAATAACAGCATTAAAAATTTCCACAATAGTGGCAGTAGTAACACTGATAAGTGGTGGGGAAAAGGTTCCATTCCAGTGAATAACCCGAAGAAACCATTGACAATTTATCAATATTGTAAGGATACTCCAATCCAAAGGAGGAAAGCAACGAAGAGTTGTTCGAAAGTGAGATTAAATCTATATGATAGGGACGAGTTATATTTAGAACATTCCCCTTCTTTATGTGACAAGAATTCAGAGGGGAAATATTCAAAAGGAGACAGTGGCTCTTCAAATAAAAGAGGTAAAAATATAAGTACAGCTTACAGAAATAGGGACAAGAGTAATTTTTTTCCCAATTCGTGCAATAGTTATATATTTGATGAAAAATTAAAGGGAAAAAGAAATAATAACTCAGGTCAATCTTATGATAATCCGTTGGAAGATCAAAACAGAGTTTCCCCCAAGGGGAGCCATGTGAAGAAACACAAAATTGAAAAAATAGGAAATTCAAAATTTAATCCATTTTACATCTCCAAGAGGTGTAGAAGTTGCAAAAGAGAAAAATTTTGCTCCGGTGAAATTATCGAAAACTTTAAGAACCATTTCAAGGTTGGACTAAAAGTTCCACTCACTTCTAACATTAGAAAAAACGAAAAAAGAAACAAAAAAGAAAATAAAAAAAAAGTATCCGATAAGTTGGAAAAAAAGAAAATTAAGATTATCCCTAAAAACGAGAATAGAAGTGGTAAGAAAAACTCCTTTTTTGGAAAAAATTTGATGGGAGTCATAACAGAAGACAGAAATCAAAACAACAAAATTGAGAGTAATTCTTTAGTAGAAAAAAAAAATAATTTTCAAGTAAATATTAAAATGTTAGACGAACAAAAGGATAAAATGAGAGGCAATAATTTGCATAGAAAAGGTCTATTTCATAAGGAAAACATCAAAAGGGAAAATGAATCTTTAGAAAAATTTCCAACCAGTTATACCCCATTTGGGAATGCACAATATGAAGATGAATATCCAAGATTTACTCCACATTCTCCGATTTTCTATCCCCGAAATGTGGAATTGCCATATTATCATGAAAACATTAATAAAACTATGCACAACAATAATAGAAACATCTTCCCCATCTATAAAGGTAAAAATTATGAAGAAGAAAGAAACAAGTACAATAGAGACCAATTAGGATTTGTAGAAATGAAAAGGAAAGAAAACAAATTTAGTTGTAGAAATGTGAAAAAGAAATTAATACATGAAGGAGATGATGATAAAAATGTGGAAAAAATTTCAATTAAAACGATTATTAATAGACCAAGAGAAAAAACAATTCCTTGCATTAATTACGATACAGATAGTTATAACATTAAATTAGGGTGGTGGAATTGGGGAAAAAAATCTAAACTATTCTCAAATATAGAAAGATATAAAGAAAATATTAAAAAGAAATATTATGAAAACAGAAAATTTTGTAAAAATAGATCATTCAGTACTTCGACGAGTAAATATTTTACAAAATTTCAACCAAATGAATATCTATACATTCCTGTAACGAATAAAAATTACTTTAAGAGTAAAACCTCGCTTAAAATTAGAAGCAATCCAGTAAGTGATTTTCATAAGCTAAATTTAAAACCTATAACTGGATTTATGCAATCCTATAAAAAGGAAAAAGAAAGACAAAGACAAGTCCCACGCTCAGTTATTAGGGTGTCTACAATACCATACGTTATGGATGATTATAATAAACACAAGGGAAATCAAAATATGGGGAAAAGGATGAGAAATAAAGTAGGTTTAAGCATGGGGGAATCCAAAATTCTGCTTCCAGATGAAGACGAATCAGATTTTAATAATACATCGGGTTTTTTTGCTAAGATCTCTAAAAACAATATTACTACAAACAGGGGCTCCAAAAGGGGAAAATCCCTCAAACGCAAAAATAGTTTCTCCAATAGTGCCATCTCAAGTGATGAAACAACATCCAAGGGAATTTTATTTAAGTACAAAAAAAAACAACTCCATAAAAAAGATATAACGAAAAGAAATGTAGATAGCTTAAATGGGGATAATAAAATTACAGCCAAGTTAAGCAATATTGGGTATATGGGAAATGAGGCAAGGAATCACATTTATAAACACGGTGAATTGCATAGTGATGATGAAGAAGATAATTCCTACGACGAGTTAGACCAAACAAGGGACGAAAAAAAGACCATGGTTAATGTAAGGAAGTACAGAATTTGCTCGGTGGAGTCGATCTTATCTGAGAGGAGTATCCCAGAGAAATGCCCATCTGAGAGAATACCCATGGAACACAATTCAGTGATGTCGCAGATAACATCTGGAAGTAGCGAAAGAAACAACCATGGAATAGAAAAATCTATAAATAAATTCAATATCAACCGAAAATCTAAGAAAACAGTGAATCACCTCGATGGGGAAACATCTATGTATTCTACCATATCCCAATGTAGCAACGTATCAAAAGAACAGAACATCAACAAAGGGAATGATAATAGTTGTTACAATACATCTTCATTCAACTCTGAAAACGAGATAATGCAAAATTATATGAAAAAAATTCCTGATATTTCTATGGATCAATGTGATAAATTATCAAATTATGAACAACATGGAGATGAGAAAAAAAAAAAGTTGTCCAGAAAGAACTGTTATAAAAAAAACGTGAAAGAAAATGATAAAAGAGACTGTTGTGAATATATAACTAATGATGAGGAGACATATTTGAATATGTATCCTGAAGATTATGTAAAAAAACAGAATGAATTAAGTGAAAATTTATACAAAATGAACTGTAACGAAAGCGATGGGGAAAATTTATCTTTCGGTTCAGTTGAACAAATTTCAGAAGAAGAGTTAAACAAAAACCAGTTTCATACAAATAGAATAGAGAGAGGGAATTTCTCACAGTATGATACTTATTATAGGAAAAATAATCCCCCCCATAAAAAACACTGTTATAAAAAACTTCAGAATAATTCACATCATCATACAAATGATGAATATTACGAAGGGCTCAATAAAGATAGTACCCACCTTAAAGAACAAAATAAAATCATTGACAAATCTGATTACATAGAAAAGCAGTATGATGAGTATTATTACAATAAATAGACGTTTATTTTGGAAAAAAATGTATATATATAGCTAGCACTAAAAAAAAAAAAAAAAAATTAACTTGTCTTTTTAATAAGTCCTTTTTCATAAAACAAGGATCCTTAAAAAAAAAAAAAAAAAAGAATCTCAACAGAATGTTCCTTTTTTTGCGTGTACAAGAAAAAATTTAATCAAAGAGTTAACATGATTAGAGGATAATGTTATATTTTAACGAGGTATTTTTTTCTACGAATTAATTTCCTATCAATTTCTTTTTTTTTTTTTTTTTTTGTTGTTTTAACTTTTTTCCGTGAATACTTTCAGCACTTTGACAGTTAATTTGTTTGAATAAAGTGAGAAAAAAAAAAAAAAAAATTAAGTTTCGAAATATTATGAATTCATCATTTTATTCATAAAATCGTAGAATATATTACATAGCAAAGTATAGCTAACATGAACACAGAGCACTACAATTTTTTGTGATTACACAATAGTGTATATGATTTATTAATGTGTATCCTTCAATTTAGGCAAAATTTTATTTATTATTATCAGACAGGAAATACACACGTGGATTGCGAAAAAGTGAACTTACTCATCATTGTCATTCTCTTCAAAATGATGTAAAAAAAAAAAAAAAAAAAAAAAAAGTATAAAATAAGTAATGTGAGAAATATTTGATTATAAAACTGTTACCATAGGGGATTATTTTGTATGACTTCAGTTCTGTGCTAATCATTTGACAAGTTCTAACTGAGAATATGAAATGTGAAAGGGCAGTTTTCATTTTCTATGTTCCTCAGATTATGATGTTGTAAACTATTGAATATTCATATCGATAGAAAATTGCACATTTACTAGGAAAATTAATGTGTGCCTAAATGTGTGAAGATATATACATATTTTGCACATTCTGTATGCTTACAAATCATTTTATTAACCTTTGTGAGAATTTCAAAATGTGTTGCTCGACCTTTGCCTTGTACACATTTTTGTCTTATGACATATACATATATATATATATATATATTTTTAAGGTGTGAAAATAAATTTTATAGGGGGGTTATTTGTTTTTGAAGTGAAAAAAACAATAATTATGACATAAGATAAACGATTAAGATGTTAATCTGTAGAACAGCTAAACAAACAATCGAATGATTAACGAGAGTCTTTTTAAATTATGTCTTATTTCTACTCATTTTCACTGTGGTTATTCAATATATTTTGAGTAATTTTTTACAAATAGGATAATCGTGAGTTTTTTTTTTTTTTTTTTTTCTCAACACATGGAAAAGCTAATACATTAGAAATATTTTGCTTTATAATGGAAAATACTTTCATCTCTTAACTGTGCATTGTGTGTATAAAAAAAGGAAGATGAATTAAAAAAAAAAAAAAAAAAAAGAGCACACATTTCATATTGTTCATTTTTCTTTGTAGAAAAATTTCACATTGTTTATATTTATTTTTAACTTCCCCTTTTGTTTAAAATAAAGAAATGGAAATCTTTCTTTTTTTGTCTCTTTGTGTGGTGATATAATTGGGTTTGTTTAATTTTTTTATTTTATATTTTTTTTTTTTTGTATTCTTTTTCAAACTATCTAGTTTTCTACCTCTTCACATCATTCTTTTTTGTGGAAAGTTTTTTTAGTTGTAATTTGTCTCATACCATTTCACGTTAAGAGGCTTCGATCCACCACTTAATGACGGGGAATATTCCACGTTCTCAAACACATTATTGCCTAAGGACAGCTAATCATCTCAATCATAATTTATGTAGAGCATGTTTTTATTATTCATTTGTTTGCAACATAATATGTATCATTTTCCTACACGTGGAAAGCTAAACAAAGTAAAATATATACGCATGGGACGAATTGTAAGAAATACATAAAATAACACCACCACTACAAGAAGGATATAGTAGAACCAACCAGAAGAAAAAAAAAAAAAAAAAAAACACGTTGGATATATTATGAAACGAATAGATAAGAGGTCCCTTAAGGATAATATTCAGGAAGAACACTTACCATTAAGCAGATGTAACCATAATTTTTTCAATAATTTAAACCACGTAGACACACACACGAATAGTGAATCCAGAAGATCTAGTTTTGAAGAATGTGTGTTTACACCACAATTTCACAATAGGAATAATAAAAATACGATTAATATAAAAATAAAAAAAAATATAAACACAAATTCACAATATTCTGAAAAAAAAAAAAAAAAAAATGAAAATAAATCCTTCATTAAATCTATGGTTGATAAGATAGATGAAATGTGTAAAAAGGGATTATATGATGAGAAAAATAATTCACAAAAGTTACCATTTAAATCGAGACCAACATTCATTTTAAATGAATATTTAAATGTAGAACCTACAAATACTGTAATGTATAGACGTAGAACACCAAACGAGACATTGCGGAGAAGTGATTTCAATGGAATAAATTTAAAGCCATTTATTAGACTTAAGAGTCATCACAACTGTGGAAGAAGCAAAGATAAAAACAGTAACAAGAGCAACAACATATGTAATAATTGCATTAGTGAGGAGAGGAGGAAAAAGGCTACTATAAAAATTACTAGTAAAAGCCCATTTCAAACATTTAACTCCAATTTCATGAGTAGAAATCAGTCTCCTTCTATACACCCTAATCCTGTAAATTATTCTTCCCTAAGAAATAATATAATAAATAAAGACCTTACTTTTCGAAATGACGAAAAGGGAAAAAAGAAAGTGATCCCACCAGTACGTACGCATAAATTGAAGAAGTTAAGTGATGGGCTAACTTGCAATGCTAGTATGATTTTTACACCTTTCATGAATTCTATCGCTGATAAAAGATATGCAAATGATTATCCATTGTGTAAATGGGGAGAAACAAATGAAGTGAATAGAAATGGAACTCGTCACTTAAGTAGGACTGATCTAGAAGAAAATTTCTATAACGATACAAAAGAAGGAGAAAAAACAAGAACAATGAAAGAGAAGAAAAGCCAGTTGAAGGTAGAAAAAATGAACAAAATAATTCACCACAGAAACGATTTTTTTAACAACTCATATAACCATTTAATAATTGCTAACGAGAAAAATTTAAAGGAAAAAAAGAAAACAAAAAACAAATTCCGAGTTAGGATGTCTGTACCTTTGAACAGAAACAGTGGTAGATATTGTGAGGAGAAAGGTAATAGAACCAATATGGATAGAAATAGTAATGCAACCACCAATACTTCCAAATTTTTATTCACTTCAAAAACAGATAGAGGAATGAACTTAAACTTAAAGAAGGGATTAAGTAAAGATATCAAATTTCGCTATGTTCATAACAATAATGAGGAAAAGAAAAGCGCTAAAAAGCGTTACCACTCCTCGATCATATGTGATATGGATAATCATAATAATAATGAGAGTAGTAGTAATTCTTCATCTGATGAAATTCCCAATGGAATTTGTAGTGTCGATAATAAATGTGATAAAGGCGACTTAAAAACACATTGTAATCACGGAAGGAGCAAGTGCAGCAGCAAGGGAAGTAACATTTCTGAGCATGAAACAAATATAGGGAAAAAACTGGAGATCTCCAAAGGTATAAAGAAACGGGAGAATGTAGATATGTGGGATAAAGTACCAGGAAGATCCTACAGCGAATATGAAAAAAGATGTCTTAACAAGAAAAATGAGAAAAGAATGAGGAAGAAATTTTCTCATTACAAGACTCAGACAGAACATAATATTTACATTCCAGATAATCATTCAGAAAATAGACATCATTCTACTTCATGTTTTCAAATAAGGGATAATAAAAATATGGAATCAGATGAATTTGCCGAGTCCATGAATTCAAACAAATCAAGAGAATTTAGTAAAATCAGAAATTGTCACAGTCAACATAGTATAGAAACAAAGAAAAATGTAGTGAATAAACTGGGTGTGGAAAAGGAAAAATCAAATAACGAAAGAAATTTTTGTTCATTAACACGATATAATTATAAGCTGGACCAGGATACATATAACAAGAAAAAATTCCCAAATTACAAAATATTAAAAGGTAGGAACCAAACATGTGATAGTGTAAACTACAAATTAAGCAATAGTACGGGTAGAAAGAATAAAAATCATACAGACTTGAATCACGAAAATTCTCCTTCCTATTACAATTCGCTTAATGGAAAAGACAAATACAAAAATTTAAAAACGATTACTATACGATCAGATAGTGCAGATAAACTCAATAAAGAAGATTTAAAAAGGACAGAAGAAGACACAACAAGAACTATCATGCAGAATAATGAAAAATATAGCTTTCATCACGACAACAAGAGTAATTACAATTTATTAGACGAACCAAATTCTCATGAAGATTATGGAAATAAGTACAAATTGGTGCATTATTACAACCAGAATGAAAAAAAGAACAATAACGATCAAAACAGTACCCGTGAAGACAAGGCGTATGAAAATTACACCAATAAAATCGAGGGAGATATACACAGTTTCGCAAAAGTCAAACATTTGGTTGATGAAAATAAAGTATTAGAAATAGAAGATAAAAGGGGGAGAACCACAATGAGTATTCCTATATTATCACACGGCAAAAAACATAGCAAAAAGGAGGAATTTCCGTCTGATCTGATAGGAAAAAAAGGCATGTCTATTTGCTCATACCATGGAGGTTTAAGATGCACAGATATTATTTCAAGCGCGATTGAGAATAATGGTAATGACAGTTATTACGACAATGAGAAAATCAGTTGTTCAGAAGGAAAAAAAAAAAAAAAAAAATCTAATTTCTATTCAAAGCACATTGCAAGCTCCATAGGAAAAGAACGAAAAGAGGCCAATCAAACAATTCCAAAAGAATTTACTTACAATTCTAAAACGTTTTACAGAATGAATGAATGCAAATCGCCTAATGGTCATTGTTCTAATTGTTTTCATAATATTGTTAGAGGCAAGAAAAACGAAAATTGTGATTATCCAATTCCAAATCAGGATCAAATGGAATACACAAATACAAGAGATGCATTCTATGGAGGGAGAAAAAAGCAGCAAAGCAGAAGTATATATAGGAATTACAAAAACGGATCTTATTGTGGTTCTCATGAACAAGTGAATAGAGGTGGCATGAGACATTCATTTAGTACAAAAAAAACATCCCATGTAACATGCTCAGAAAACTGCATAAGAAACGGTCAAGAATTATTATCCCATGCATCGTTAGAAGGGGAAATTTCATACATAAAACAAAATGAAGAAAAAAAGGAATTACATCAGAATATTGAGGATCAATTAGTAAAGGATAAGAATTACACATTGATGTTGCCACTAACAAAAAAGCATATGTTGTTAAATGGAAATGTTCTTGGAGAAGAAATCGAGTATTATAAAGAGAACTCACAAACACATCGTGGAAAAAGCAAATCTAAGGGAAACAGAACCTCTGTTGCGGATATCACAGATGAGCTCTCTTTTGGTCATCAACTAATGGCAAGAAACACGAAAGAGACGAATATGCAAAGAAGAGCAGAAGAGGCAATTTCAACTAACTATGACGATGAATACCAAACACATTCGAGAGTTAGCAGAAAAATGTGCGATAAATATAGTCGACAACCAAAAGAAGATCGTCAGGATGAGGTAGAGAGACATAAAAAAAATAAGAAATCAAGTAGACAATATTCAGAGCAGAATACCCATTCACAACACCATCTCAAATCCGAGTGGACTCCTGTTCAATCACCACAATTATTTTGTAAGGAAATTTGTGATAAAAAAAATAATAAAATGAGGACAGTATTACTTTCTGATAGTTCTGAACAAAAGGTGAATTCACTGTTAAGGAAAAGACAGGAAGTATTAAAAGATGCACACTCGAGAAAACAAATTACTAATTCGATTGAAATTTTTCACAAAAAAAATGCTTATCTTGGAATGGACAGATGTGATATAAGTAGAAATGGAACCCCATGGAAATGTGCATCATCAACTTCTTCTTCTAGTTTTTGTGATTATTCTGGAATGAACAATGTAGAAAGAATTCTTTACAATTCCGAGGGATTGTCTAATGAAGAACGATATAGATGCAGAAAGGATGGGGAAGGTGGAAATTATTCCAATCGAAGGAATCATCATGGAATAATACAGACTATTACAGGAGGTAGCCTGACTCATCATAGTGGTAATAATACATCGTGCTATAAAAAAATGAACCGCTCGAATTTATCTAGAAAACACGTTCGTGAGAGGACTCTCCCTGAAAAGCGTGTTAATAGTATTCCCCATCTCAATGGAAATGATACCATGTCGAAAACTTCAAAATCGTTGAGCAGAGATGAACATGGTCACAGCAGTTTTTTCCACAGCCGAGACAATGTGGTAAGCAGCGAAAATGGAGAAAACAACTCCAATTGCATAGAAATTAATAGAATATGTAGCAACAGAAACAAACTAAAAATTAGAAATACCCAATCGAAAGATCACAATGGACACAATGACTATGGTTGTCGCACATGTTCATTGCATCGAGGGAAGTATGTGTGCGGTATAATGGACAAACCTATGAATGGCGAAAGAAGAGTATACGATGCAAGTATGTATCAGATCGATCAAAGAGGATTACATGATAAGAAAAGAAACACAACAGATGAGAAATTATGGAACCTTCCAACGTCATCCATTTATTATGCTCAAGATGAATATAAAAAAAAAAAAAATGTAAACCAAAGAATGAACAAATCATCGAGGAGAGGAGGAAGCACATACAACAATCACAATCCATATTTGGAACATTCATCCTTTGATCAGTTCACCAATTTGAATAATATAAATTGTCCTATTAATGGTGAAACGTACGCGAGGAAAAATCAAGATGACGAAAAACATGATGTATTGAAAGTTACAAATACAGAAAGGGACAATCTAAGACAGAATAAAAATCGCACAAAATCATGCATCTCATCCACGGAAAAAGAACATAAGAGTGGGGAAATACTAAGAGAGAATTGTGTGAAAAAGAAAACGTACGATAATTGTGTTGTTGATTCATTGTTGAAGGAAGAAAATATACCTATTGGAAACTGTTTGTATAAATTAAATGAAAAGTCGAGCAATGAAAACAGCTTCAAACATTTAAGAGATGATTCTTTGAGGAACACGAATTGCAGTAAACATAGATATGATCACAAAAAGGAACTAATTTCTGATTTGGAAAACAAGTCTCATATTAGCTTCGATGGCATAGATCGAAGCATGTCTATACGTAGAGGTACATCTGCATGTAGAAGTGACAATTTTAGAGAGGAATTTCACAAATGTAAGTTCTCCAATGATGATTATGTTGAAGGGAAATGCTATCAAACGTGTAGAAGTAAAAATAAGGAATATGACTCAGATAACAAAAGCTATTACGAAAGAGAGGTAGTAAATCCACATAATATATTACAGAAAATGGAAAATAAAAAAAAACATCAAAATGAGGTTGCTAATAAATATAACAAAGTCAGGGAAAGAAAGTGTAACAATAAATCATATCATAGTCAGTTCTGTTCAGAATACTCCCAAAGAAATAATCCTGTTTCTGGAATATATATAATGAAGCGCTCAGATGAACACAACAGTTGTAGTGAAAATAGCTCATGTGCATTGTCAAGATCGAATATTTCCCACATAAATGGAAAGAAAAAAAAAAATACAAAAGATAGTGATATAAATTTAAACCTACACAACAGGGAGCATAAAAATGTGAATAAGGAGTCGCGAATTTGGCACAATGATCAAGTAGAAGGAGGGAAAAAAAAGTGTTACTACTCCAGTAGCAGAACTCGAAGGGACGAAGAGAAAAAAGAGAATAAAGCACATACGGACATTTTGAAAACTAATTGCAAATGGTCTTGGATAAAGGAGAAAAGTAGGAATAAGAAACATGATCATATAATAAGTACAGAATGTGTAGATAATAAATTAGCTGAGAAAAACTCAAAGGCAAATAACACGTCCCATATACATGACAATTATGCAAACTCATGTGACAATATGTATTCAGATTGTGAAAGCTCAAATTATTCAAACAAGTCAGAAAAGAAATGGAGTCACAAGAAAATTTCCTCGAAATGTGTAAGTAAAAATAGTTTTAATAATGAACCTTCTTATATTCACAAATGCAGTGAAGAAATAGGGATTAACCCCTCACGCCATGGTAGCAATCACGCGCGAAATGGGGATCTGTTAAGGAATGTAAATAAGAAGGAAAACTATAAAATGTTGATATGCAATTCGAAAGATGACATAAGAATTTGTCGCAGCAATTCGAAAGATGACATAAAAATTTGTCGTAGCAATTCGAAAGATGACATAAAAATTTGTCGCAGCAATTTGAAAGATGACATAAAAATTTGTTGTAGCAATTCGAAAACGAGTAATTTATCAAAAGATGACTCAAATGGAATGATTCAAACATGTTCTCCATGTAAAATGATTGAATATCAGACAAATGTGAATATCGGAAAAAATGATGAACCATCTTATGCTCAGACACATTCCTCATCCTTGAATCATCAGATAAATCCCACGACAGATGAAAATACAAAGGAAAAGGAAAACGAATCGAAAATATCAGAAAGAGTAAATATGCATCATTTCGGTATGCTAGATAAGGAAAATGCTATGAATAGACTATTACACCAGGGAAATTCCCATCCAAATTTTATAAATGGAAATATTCACAAAAATGTTCTTCGAAAAACAGTTAGTGGGGTTGTGGGAATTAAAAATGCCAATGAATACATGAAGAAGGAGTTCAATTATTATCTAAATTGTGATAATTCTATAAAAAATGGCAATAATTACGAGAAAGAAAAAGAAAAAAAAAAAACGGGAGAATTGTCCAAATTGTCGTTTGTGAAAGATAATTTCAAAAATGGCTTATCAAGCACAGATATGGAAAAGCATAAATGCAGCAGTGGTGAAGTATCAGATAACGTTTATTCCGTATTAATTGGAGAGAATAACACAATTAATGTTTTAAATAATAATGAAAAGGAAGAATCATTTGAAAAAAATAACAACTCTATTGGTAATATTATTCTTCCGAGTGGGAGTCAGAACACAATTGGGAATTTAGATCTTCATAGTGACAATACAAGTATAGATGCTACTAATATCATGATAGGTAGTGAGCTTCATAACCATACGCCGTCAAATGATGAAAAGAGAGATTTCATAAGTTGCAATGAAAAGGAAAATGAAATAAAAATTATTTACCCCAAGGAAGAAGCAAAAGGTTACAATAGCAAGAATTATTATAACAATATTAGTATGAACCAAAGTCTAAAAGTTGCAAATCCATGTTCTACTACACATCCGAAGTATAATGACATGCTTTATGGAAACACAAATAATTCCCTTTTCATGAACAAGCAGTATTCGTGCATGTCTGAACCCGCTCTTAATCACATTATACACGAACCTTATATAGGTAAAAACAGTTTAGCCATTGATCAAGGACTAATGAACAATTATAATTTAAATGGAATATATTACAGTGGTAAAGCATTTAATAATCCAGATTTGGGGAATATAAATATGCATAGACATTTATATAATAGTGGATTTGAAAACAGATATGGTGAATCTGCTAATGTAACGAGAAGTGACATTATCACATCGAGCGTTGCGTCCATGAACCATTTGAACCCTCAACAGAGGCTCAATCAGAATTTTAGCAAAACATTCCAAGTTCCGATTGAAACTCGTGATCTGACAAATGGGAGAAATTACAATTTTGCTACTGTTGGTGCTAATGCTCCATTAATTAATAGTCAAATTTGTGACGGAGGGATTTTCTACGATGCAAATGGTAAAGCATACGTAATTGGCAGAACTGGGAAATCCAATTCAAGCGCACTGAGTGTTGTGGGTAGTTATATGTCAGCGAATAATGTGGGTGATTCTGTTATACCAAGTTATCACCTCTCAATGAATAATAAAAACAAAGAAAATTTGAACAATAACGAGTTGACCAGACATACGAGTCATGCTAATTTGCACATAAACCCTTCCATGAATGGGGAAGTTCCCTATGTAAATAATGCTACAAATCAGGTATGTGGTGCTACAAATCCGGTATGTGGTGCTACAAATCCGGTATGTGGTGCTACAAATCCCGTAAGTGGTGATAATCCTATCACAAAAGATAGCAGAGGTATGAATTTAAAGAAACCTATGGTAATACTATGAATGGTGAGATATTTATAAATAAGATGTTAAATAATTCTGGACACATTTTTTGTATGAAGAAAATATTTCGAAAGTATCAACGAAAGAATAGACAGATGGAAAATAAATTAGGAGCATATGCTTAAAAATTAAGTGTGTTATTTTATCCCCTGATGGGTATATTTTATACCTTTTGTCAAATGACCAAGTGGTCTCACAATTCTTTTTGCCTTCCTCGAAGGAACTCATTTATCTATTCGCATGTACAAGCCGATAAAGAGCGTCTTCACACATTTTGTTCAGTTTATTCATCAGGGGGGAGAGGGGTTAAAAAAAAATTGTTTTTCGTTTTTGTATCCACTTTTTTTTTATTGGATTTTTGTAATTATCTCCCCTTTATTGTTTTATAAATATCCGATACGCATTCCAATCATTTCGAATATTCATATGAGCAAAAGTTTTTTTTTTTTTTTTTTTTTTTTTCCCACTGATCGATACTACACATAATGTTCTCACCATTTAGTCATATCAATTTTTGTTATATTATATACTGCATTATGCTATATTATATTTTATTATATTTTATTATATTTTATTTATTATTTTTTTTATTGGACTAGTGTGTTCATAAATTCCCCACAAAATTGTTCATAAGAATATACAGGAGCAAAGCACTAAATTAATTAATTGACGAAAAAAACGAAGCTCACGTAGGTGAGTGGGTATTCCACTGGCTGTATAATTAGATAAAAAAGTACATGTACGTGTACTAGTATCTGAATAAATACATATATATATATATATATATATGCAAACAATAAGCTGGTAGAACAAGAGAGTAACAACCCCTGAGGGGGCGTGGGAGGGTTGTAGACATTGTATTGATGCAAAATAACTTTATGTTCATTTCGGAACTGGGTTAAGCCACTGACCACCTTGGCCATATGCTGATGCAACAACTTGAGCAACCTTTCTCTGTTTATGATTCATGTATACCATATACCATGCTTTGTATCCAAGGTAAAAAATAAGTCCCATACCAAACGGGTTGGCCCACCACCAATATCTATATTGGTACCTGTGTTTGCGGAAAGGGGAGGGGGAAAGGGATGAAATGTTGAAATGATGAAGTGATGTAAGTGTTCCATAAGGGGTATGTATGTATGTATGTATGTCATGATTTGGTTATCTATATGTTACACATTGTAATGTAACTGTAACATGAATGTACAAACACATGACCATGTTTAAAATGTGTTTGCACTAACACAATAGTAAAAATTGGGGCCTTTTTATGTAACTTTTTTTTTTTCATTTGACGATTCGTTCGATAACTTACACTCTGGCTACTTGTGCTATTTGATTATTCGTGAATTCAGTGACTCCATTATATACATCTATGATTTGTTTATTCTTGTGATTTAACCACATTTTTTTCCACGTTTTGGGGTTTATTCCTCTCCCCATCATGGCAATGTAACCCTGGATGTGGAATCCCATTTTTCCTCTTCCGTTGGTATGCTTGGTTTGCTTCCTCGCTATGCTTCCTTTTCTCTTTAGCTAAATACACACCAAAAGAAACAGTGAAACGTTCATTAATATCCTGAATGGTTTATGCATGTATATATATATATACACAAGCGCATACTACATGTTTGGGTTATTGTTGTGGTATTCCCTAATTAGGTTTTTTACCTAAGCTAAATGATGGTTCTTTTTAAATAACATTTTTCTCCGTGCTATCACTTTTGTCAAAATAATATCCAGGTACACTCAGAATGATTTTGCACCTCAAAAAAAAAAAAAAAATTGTAAAAAGAGAATAAATAAGCAAATAAATAAGTAAATATGCAAATAAATAAATAAGTAAATATGCAAATAAATAAGCAATTAAATATGCAAGTAAATATGCAAATAAATAAGCAAGTAAATATGCAAATAAATAGGCAAATAAATAAGAAGTAAATATGCAAATAAATAGGCAAATAAACAAGAAGTAAATATGCAAATAAATAGGCAAATAAATATGCAAATAAATAGGCAAATAAATAGGCAAATAAATAAGCAAGTAAATAGGCAAATAAATAAGCATTTCTGACATGTTGACTCAGGAGCACAACATTGCGGAGCATGCCGTGTACAACTGCTTGCAAACATTGCAAAAGTTTATGTATATACACATACGTATAAATGAATATATGCAACATAGGGGCCACGAAAACCCGGGTCTTACCTCTATCACTTTTTCCTTTTTTTTAATTTGGCAATTACATATGTGTAAAGAGGATGGGAGAACAAAAAAGAACTATTATAGGCATCTGAAAATGTAACATTATTATTCGTCCTTGAAATGGCGTAATTATTTTTAAGCACTTTCGAATATAAAATATTTGCTTTTATTTGAGCTTTATGAAAAACTGTATAATCAAGTGGACATACGGGTATGCATATATTATTTATTATTTTACAGATTTTGTGATGCGTATTTTTTTTTTTTTTTTTTTTTTTTTTTATAAATACATTGTTTTATAATTACTGGGACACCTTCCTTGAGAAGTTTGAGGGGACTGAAAGAAATAATCAGTGTTCTTTGCTCAGATGAACAACTGCGTTTCAAAATGGATGGAGATAGGGAAAACATAACGGAAGTTTTTCCATTATGAATATATTCTTATCAAATAGCATTATAAATGTTATACGACATCGCCCATAGGCTCATTCATCAAACGTCCACACAAATAGACATGAAGAAATGAAGAAGCAATTTTTTTTCTAGCTCATTTCAGTGCAAGCGATATTTTGCTGCATTTTGCATAGTAGACATGTTTGGATTTCAACGCGCCAAAAAAAAAAAAAAAAAAAAAAAAAAAGAAAAAAAAAAAAAAGATAACATATTGACAATATGTATCCAAAATAATAAGTGAAAATCACAATGACAATTGTTCCTTCGTCTTTTCAATGGCTTCTTTCCACAAAGTAGTATAATTTATATTCCGCTTAATACAGTGTAACTTCAATTTCAACTGAACTTTTTTAACAATAAATTCAGATCTTGATTGTATATTAGCAGATTTATTGTATTGGTAGCACAACACACCAAGTCCTATCACCCATGTAGCAATAACGTCTTCATCATTTGAAAAAAAATCATAAGTTCTTTCTCTGGTACGTAATGTGAAACATTTACAAGGGTGTATCTTATACGCATTATTGTAAACTTGGTTGGGTTTTATTTTCTTTTTCTTAAGATTCTTTTTATTATTCTTTTCAATAAGCCAATACACAGGTCTGCTATTTAGTCCGTATTCAATGGATGTTATGTCCTGCAAGGGAATGACAAATGGTGTGATTTTATCGTGTACATGAACAGTTAAACCATTGGGGGAAGAATGGCCAAATAAAGCAGAAAGGTTATAATTAAGATGAGATTCTTAAACGCATATATAAAAATAGATAAGGCCTGTATGGGGAAGTCATGCAGAAAATATAACAATGGGTTTTGCAAAAGTATCACACGAAATAAATAAAACTAACCTGAATGTCTATCAACTTCTTCCGCTTGAACCCGCTTTTTCCCTTAAGATTTTTGGTCCAATTGATAAATCGATTATTCACAATTTTCATATATATAGGCACCGGTATGTGCCTAAAGCCGTGATATTTGCACTTATGTAAGAGCGTTCCAATATTCATTTTTTTTATCTCATCAATTATTGGTCTATCATTTAATCTACCTTGTCCAATAGATAGGAGTAAGGTTTTTTTCTTTATATTATTTCTCTGGATAATAACAGAAGATAATTTATTTTTTAGTTCGTTTATATAACTATTAGCAACTTCAACATTGTTAATATTCATTTCATACATATTTAAAATTTGATCATCGAATTTAATTTTCATTTTTTCTTTTTGTTCATTATATTCCTTTTCTCTTTGCTTGACAACCTTTGCCAGAGAGTCTAATAAGTTGGTGTCTAACAAACGAATGATGTCGTCACATGTATTGTCATTATTTGATAATTTTTCTTCAATGAGAGATGCATTTTCTTTAAAAAAATTAACATAAGTTAAAATGTTTTCATCATTGGATTTAAAAATTTGAAATATTTTATTAATGATATCTATCAAATTTTCTATTTTGGGAATGAAAAAATTGTTGATACTGTTGCCACTTTTGCTCATAGTTTTGTATTTATGCTTTATATTATCATTCTCTTCTTGTAAGATTTTATTTTGGTTTAATGCTTCGTTTAATTCTTTACTTACTTGATCTAGTCTATAGTGTAGGTCTGTATTTTCTTTGTTAGCTGTTTCAAGAGAATTTTTCAAAGTGATGCATTCTTCTTTCTTTTTATTTAAAACAATTTCTTTATCTTCTATATCTTTTATGTATTCATAAATTTGTCCTTGTATTTCTTCATTTCTTTTTTTAAGTATATTAATTTCTTGTGTTAATTTCAAGCTTTCTTCACTTTTAATTTGCATAATTGCACACAGATTTTCTATCTTCGTTTGTTTTTCTCGATATGCATCAACATAAGAAATTCGATGTTCATCTAGCTCCTGATACATGTTAAATAGTTTATTATATTTGGATTCCAAGTTTTTTATTAGCATTTCATAATGTTGTATGGTTAAATTGTCTCTTTCTTGTGCATCCATTAGGGTATATGTATTATCATGTAGATCTTTTATTTTGTCATTTAAAATTTCTTTCTTATTTTCTAACATATATACCTTTTCTTCTAGTAAACTAGTTAACTTTTTCGATTCTTTACATTTTAATTTGGTTCCATTTGTTCTTCTACTATTTTGTTCAATTTCGTTATTATTTGAATGTAGAGTTGTACAAGAGAAATTATCCCTCGAAGTTATTTGATTAGCAACAGGTAAAAATGTTTTCACGCTTTCATTTGATGATTTGTAATTGAAATTACTATCATTATGATTGTCTATAGTGTCGTTTTTATAGCTGTTCTCATCTTGCTCAGTAGGGATATACTTAGATCCCCAAATAGAAACCTTTGTATTTAAAAAATTGTTAATGCTATTTTTTGTTTCATTTTTTTTCACTTTTCTTGTTAATTTGATTCTCCTCTTAGTATTAGCAGTGTTCAAATTGGGGTACGTGTCATCACTGTTTGAACTTAATGTGTTGGATTTGTTTCTGCTCTTTTCTGATATTATTTTTTCGTCTTTTACATTTACATCCGTTGGGATTTTAAAAAAAGATTCCTTTATGTGTATATCTGGTTTATAATTCTTGTAAACATTATTTATTCTTTTGTTCATCGCACTGTGCAGAGAGTTTGGTTCAATAGAATCTGCTGAGCTATCGCTGATGATTGACTCCTTAAATTCGTTATTTAGATTTTTCTCTTTATTGTAATACTTCTCAATGTAATTTAGTTTCACTGAATTCTTCTTCTCATCATCACTTCCACTTGAATTTGATCTTCTTCCATGTGTTGCAAATCTGTTTTGTCTCCCCTTATTCTCTTCTAATTTTGGTAGTACATGTCCCTTCTCCTCTTCCTCCTCCCACGATGGGTATTCATTTTTCAATTTATTTTTCTGAACATTTAAGTGAAATTTGCTCATGTCTTCAAGGTTCCCCTTTATATTAAGTCTAACTTTGTTAATACCGTTTTTTTCTCCTGTATCATATTCTATCTCACCTTTCTCATTAGTGTATTCCTCACCTTCATTATTTTTCCATTTATTATGTTGCATACCTCTTCTCTCCACTCCGATTTCATATTCGTGTTGTTCCAATGAATCATCACTTGAGTATTTCCTTTCTCGTGCTTCCTCATCTACCTTATCAGAACATAAGAAAGAAGAGTTATTATTTTTTAATTTAATAGACCATTGAATTAATTTTTCTCTCTCCTCCTTCAGTTTTAGTAATGGGTCTACTGAACTTGTCGATTTTTTCCCTGACTCGTTCATATTATTTTATTCTTGAGATTTATAATTATTTTTCCTTTCCAATGTTAAAAATAAGACATAAAAAAAAAAGAAAAAAAAAAAGAAAATATAAAGAAAAAAATTGTCTATAAAACTAGAATTTGGATATTCATGATCTCTTAGGAGAGAAGCTTCATAGGTACCTTTTCTTACGCAATAATATGACAAAAAAAGGAACGAAAAAGGAACGAAAAAGGAACAAAAAAGGAATAAAAAAGGAACAAAAAAAAAAAAAAAAATGTTAACTTGTGGAGGTATTACGGTAGCGTGATCGTAAAAAAAATACATAAAGTTAAAAAATATGATACGAAAAAAGGGGAGTGTGGTCTCCCTTTAGGAGTAATATTAGCACATAAATATATAAATAAAAATCATTTACATATTTCCCCACTTATGAGATAAGCAGCACACACAATAAGAGTATGTGTTCTTAGATTATTAGTATGTCTTTGCAAATTGGTAAGGCAGTTGGACATTTAACACCTTACACACAAATTTGATGCGGGATTATATAAAATAAAAATGTTTTAAAAATAATACAAAAATTTAAGCTGTTATATATTAAAATGATATGGAAAAACAAAATAAATGGCAGTAAAAAATAAAATAAATATAGTGAAATAATGCAAGGGGACATGGGGAAGGGCGTAAACCAAATAAAACAATATGACAAAACAACACGTGCAACAATGGTCTCAGCTATTTGCATAATTGCTATTATGGCCAAACATAACTTTTAATGACAAATTCCTTTTTTTTTTTTTATTTTTTTTTTTATAACTCCATTTTTCACTAAAATCGTATATGCACAATGAATTTTTTTTTTTTTTTTTTATCTTTAAAGAAATATTCTAAAAATGTAATTTGGAAAAAAAAAAAAAAAAAAATTACGCTTGTTAGCACATTCTCACGCTAATTACTGGGAGCATTTTATTTTGGAAAATGAAACGAGAAAAAGACTTTAAAAATATTATTTAATTCGCTGAGGCAGTAGTACCATTTTGTTGGTCTTTGCTTTGTTTATTGGGGATAAGAAAGTTTCCATGTGAATTGCATATGTTATGTATACATGTGTTCACTAAAGAGTTTTAGTATGTAAATGTGTACCAGCTTGTATGCACTCCAGTGTACGTAGCTTGTCATGCAGAAGAATCATGATATATATATTTTTTTTCTTTTTTTTGGTATTTCATAATCCTTCAGAGTGCATAAAGTCGTTGGGCAGACCGAGCACAAAAGAAAAAAAAAGTTATCAAAAAAAAAGGGATATGAAGCTTGGTCCCATAATAGTTAAGAACTAGTCCAAAAGTACATCAAGATGCAAAGCCAGAGCAACTTCAACTTAATATAACTATATCCCCATTGAAACATCTTAACATTGGATGAACAAATAATTTCAGAAAAAAAAAAAAAAAATAAAAAAAATGACATAAATTGATAAACAAAATGATCTTAATTTTTATGATTAATGGAGGTATAATGCTTAGATTCGTTTTCGCTTCGTTTCATTTCTTTTCATTTTTTTTTTTTTTTTATCCTGTTGATGACGAATTAAACTGAAAAAGAAAAAAAAAAAGAAAATGAAAAATGAAATAAGGAAAATTAAGCACGATTATGGCATTGAATACATATCAGAGAGAAGAGAAAAAAAAAGAGACGTTCTTCTGGTGATACTAACATTGACTGTATATTACCTTCATTGTCTATACTTGGTACGTAAGACGCATGTATGTAAGCATGCTTGGAAAAGTTGTTCACATTTTTTCCCCCAAGGGGTAGAGTGTAGTTTATATGCTGGAACATCGAGATATGCACTACAACTTTCTGTAAATACGCACCTGTGTAGGATTCATCAAAGCATCACCAAGTTTAAAAATAAAAGAAACAGCATACAAAGGGGAATAAACAAAAGAGCGGAAAACGACATAAAATAGGACGAGAAAAAACAGCAAAAAATCAAAAAGGAAAAAAAGAGAAAAAATCTTTGAGAAAATTTCGGTTGCAAATTCGCTGCAGCGGCACAAACAAAATACATTCCCAATCTTTTCCTTCTTTTACCCACCTTATCAGGGATGCAAGAAGGGACATGTTCTCCTTAACGAATTTCAGATCTTCCTGTTTATTTTTTATATTTCTTTCATCATCATATACTTGAATAATCACCACCTTGGTTAGTCTTTTTTGAGTGAAAAAAAATAAATATGTACACAAATATAATTCTCTAAGTCTATATATGTGTATGTATCTTTTCATGTATAAGTGTGCTACATACATCTATATCATATTTTATCAAATCTTTTATTTTATTTTATGTTATTTTATTTTTTTCATTTAACTATACCCTTAACAGAAAGGCTATTAATTGTAAGCAACATTGGAATACAACTAGAGAGAAACAGCTTGTTCCAACATCAATTAAAATTTATTTGTATAAGTGACGTGAAAAACATTTTTATTAATGAAGTAAGTTTTTTTTTTTTTTTTTTTAAAAAAAAAAAAGAAAACATGCTCTACATGCCTACTTCTACATAGTTTTAACGGTAGCATTTAATTTTCAAGTCTATATTGCATATTCTAATGTATTCTTTATTTTCACCACCTCTTTTCTTTTTTTTTTTTTTTTTTCTTCTTTTTAAAGGCTATATACATATTCGAGATATGTCCATATTTGTGTATCACTCTGAGGAATAATAAACTCATTGTTTTGTTCGATGTATGGGGAAAAGCAAAAAAAAAAAAAAACATACTATTCATCTTTTGCGTGTGCAGAAGTAGAAAGTTTTAAATTTGTTCACATATTATGATTTGTACCGATATGTGCATTAATATGTGTCAGGACTTAATGAATTTTGTGTCTACGCTTACACATGTACACACATTGCATCCATGGGCGCACTCTTTACCCCATTTGTGACATATTTCCATTACCCTTTTGACAGAACTTCAACTTGGGGATGAAAAATCTCGTGAACATATACAGGGATCTGAAAAGAGTTATCGTTCCTAATGGACACGAGAAGTTCAAAAGTGTGAAAGCATTGCATTTCCAAGAGGAGGAAAAATACGGAAATGGTGAAGAACAGAACTGCCCAGCGCCAAACTATGTGAATTCAACATATAATAATTCCTCAAGCGAAGAAGAAAATATTTTTAAACTCCTGAACTTTAATTCATGTGAAAATTATAAAATGAATAATAAAATTAGAGAAAGTAGAAAAATAAAAGAGTTTGACATATATATAAGCAAAAAATTAGCATTGGACATAATGAATAGTTGAGTGTCTTTTTTTTTTTTTTTTTTTTTTTTTTTTTTTTTTTTTTTATTTTTTTTTTTAAATTTTTTGTTTTTTTTTTTTTTTTTTTTTTTTTTTTTTTTTTTCCTTTTTTTTTTTTTTTTTTTTTTTTTTTTTTTTTTTTTTTTTTTTTTTTTTTTTTTTTTTTTTTTTTTTTTTTTTATTTCATCAATTTATTATTTACAAGATTATAGTGTAATTTTTTTTTTTTTTTTCTCCTTTTATTTTTCCCATTTTTTTTTTTTTTTTTTTTCATATTTTTCTATCATTTTTCTCATTTTTTTAACTTTAATTATGAGTTTTTCAATTCTACCCCATGATAAAATGCCTGTCGTTACAGTACCCCTCGTTGGTTATTTAATTCATTTTCATTTAACATATTTAATTTTATTTAATTATAACTGTTTTTTATTTTACTCGATTTTATTCAACTTCAATTAATTTCGACCCAGTTTTGACTCAGTTTTGGCTTAGTTTTGATCCAATTTCGACCCACTTTGGACCCAGTTTTTGTTCAACTTTAACTCAATTTTTGCACATGCGTTGTCTTTTTCGATATAGTAACGGGCATAAATAGAAAAGAATGTGTAAAAAAATATTCGAAACGAATTAGCTTCAGACGGTTTCCACAGTTGAAACATTCTCTTCCAGCAACGAAAGGATTAGACAGGTCCAAATGGAAGGAATTCAATGCACTCATAAAAAACCAGCACACTAATGCCTACACAAGTATATCGATCTTCTCACTTGGTGACAAAATGGGAGATTACATAAGGAAAATCCCCATTTATAACGATTATGAGAAAAAGAAAGATCTTCTAAAATATACTTTTTTAAAAGATGGAGAGAATGAAAAGAGAGACATAAAGGAAAAAGGCATGAACGATGATTTTCAATTTATTGGTAAGCATCATAGAAGAGAAGATGATTCGTGCAAAATATATTGAAATTGTAGGAGAATAACAGAAATCTTATTTTTTATTATATTTTATATTTTTTTTTTTTAACTTTTTTCTTTGGTATATTTTTACCTCCTGTTTGTAGTAAAAAAAAGGGAGAACATGAAGGACATCCTGACCCATGCCCCAGATTTAAGTTCGTGTAATCATTGTGCCATGTAAAAATATAAACATTTGAATAGATGCATTTTTTTTTATGTCTGCGTGTAGAACATTACTCTGAGTCGTATTCCTGATATCTCATTTGCTTAACCCGACAATTTGACGCATTAAGATAAGAGAACTCAAGGGGATGTGTTAACTGAAAGGAAGGTACCTTAATTTTATGTTGTGTTGTATATACACAAACTAAGGGAATTGTATCTGTTTATTAAACAAAAAATAATTTTTTTTTTTTTTTTTTTTTTTTTTTTTTTGTATTCCTTGATAGAACAAATTAATGGAGGACATGAGCGAAAAGTACTATGCCCACGAAAAGAAGTTCCCCTTTCTCATCGACACAACAGTGAAAAAAATGGACGTAACTAGAAGCATGAGGGATGTACTAAATAACGTATATGGTTAGGGAAAACAAATGTGTTAGAATAGATTTATGCACATGCACGAACATTAAAACATGTACATGAATATTGACATAAACTTATGCTCATACTACCCCTTCCACATCCCACAAATACGCAAAAAACATACCTGAATATAACCACGAACATCTGCAGGACAGGATGATACAGAGAAAATTAGAATATCCGATGATATTAAAACCAAAGTAACGTTACTAGAAAAAAGGAAGAAAATATTTCTTGATGAGTTAAGTAGGTTTACATAACATGGAAAACTTTTGCATATCACGTGGTGTAGACTCCTTGAAAATACACATGTTGTTAAACTTTTTGATTTATGAGCAAATTCCATTGGGAGGAGCCTAGGAGCACAGGCGTCTAATTGCAATTATTACAAATTGTTCCACAGGGAAACTTTTGTTTATATATATGTGTGCATTTTTATACACATTAGTCTATCCCCATGTGTGTACACTTCTGCATACACCTTTGAACGTCATTCCACCTCATAGGCAATGGAGAATTAGAGAATGTTCATGAGGAACTGTTTTTAGACCCAGCGAAAAATTACATGTATGCACGGAAATGGACACTCAGATGAAGTGCTAAAAGAAGAAATATGTGAATAAAGAATCGTTACACCACAAATAATGAAATAAAATAAATAAATAAATAAAATAAAATAAAAAAAATAAAATAAAATAAATAAATAAAATAAATAAATTAAAAAATGAAATAATAAAATAAGTAAAAAATAAAATAAATAAATAAGACAGAACAGCACACATCACCCGAAACGATATGACACATGCTTCCTTCAGTGATGCAGTAAAAAACAAGAACAAAATGTTGACTCTTAAAAATTACGGATTTGGACAGTCCCCATCGGATTTCATTTTTTCTTACCCTGACATTAAAGCTAGTAAGTATTTGATTCTTTCTTTCTCATCCAACATAAAGTTATATTGTGTATATGTGAATATATAATGACGATGAATAACATGCTCAAACATCCAGGAAAAAAAAAAAGTTACACAATAAAAATTATTGTACATGTAAAGGTGATGAAAATTATTATTAAAAAGTTACATTATTAGTTCTGTATTTGCTTATAACACGACATTACATTTTGTCCTGGTCTCAAAAACAGAAGGAAAAGGTGGTTATGCTACCGAAATAATGAAGATGAACATACTAAAAAATAGAAATGATGGAATTACAAAAAGGGTAAATACAACCTTAAACATGTGTCTATATTATTATTATGCATTCTTATTAAAATTTGAAGCATATTTTATTATGTTAAGTTATATTATATTACATTATTTATTTTTTTTTTTTTTTGGTGGTGGTGGGGACTTTTTTTCATAATGCAGATAAACATACAAAATGTAGATGGTAAATTATTTCTGTGCTTGAGAATAAAATATAAACAAGGAAACTTGTCTTAAAAAGAGGCAAAAAAAAATTGAAAGTGTATGATGCAACAAGAATGAAATACATAAAATGAAAAAAAGAAAAAAAAGTAAATTACCACAACATAGAAACATACAACTCCTCCACTTTTTTTTGTGCACTGAAGATTTACACAAAAGAATAACTCACGAAATTAGGTTACCTAACTATACATTTTCGGAATTTTTTTTTTTTTTTTTTCTTTTGGCAAATGTTTCTTAATAATATTGGTGAAATAAGCTCCGCTTCACCTCATCCACCTTTTTTACTCTGTTCAGGGACCAAGCAGGTTTGCAAGGGAACACATCACAGTCGATTAGTGTGTACTGAGTACATGTGTATGTATATGTATATATATATATATATATATATATATATATATATATATGCACTTACGTGTACACACACGAGAAATTAACTTCCCCTCTTGAAAGTTTTCCTGATGAAGAACAGACTGAGATACATAAACCATACCAAAAATAGTTATTCCTTTGATAGTTACCTGAACGTAATTTCTAATCGCGTATAAATGGGATGTGCACCCTTGACGTCTATGACTTGTGTTCCATATTTTATGTTTTACACTTTGGATTTACATTCTAGGTTTACATTCTAGGTTTACATGTTAGATTTACATCCTAGATTTATATTTTTTTGTGCCTGCACTGACACAACCTTTTCTTTCCCACGTTACTTCACCGAAGGAGAGGCCACGAATTATTTTGAGGTATAAGGGATTTCAGAAACGGGAATACAGAGGAGAAAAAAAAGATGCTCTATCTTCTGAATATTCTTAAAAAGCTTACATGGAGAAACGTGCGAAGACAAAAAGGAATCCTCTTATTTGAGAAATGCAGAAAGGTGTTAACTTATTAATAAATAAATAAAAAAAAAAAAAAAAGAACACCCAAATTTAATCACTTTTGGTACATTTGTGAAAAAAAAAGTGTCGTAATGTGTTTCTTCAAAATGGGTGTCCTAAAAAAGCATGTGTAGTTTTATTTCTTGCATACTACCTAATAGTGTTACCATACCACGGCACTGCAACGCAAAAAAAAAGAAAAATAAAATAAAATAAAAATACATATATATATATATATATATATATATATATGTATACACCCTGGAACAGCATTACAACACGGCGGCCCTTCGCTACTGCTTAAGAGAAGTCTAACTAACAAATTAGACCGTCCAAAAAAGTTTTAAGAGTCCAAAGAGGTACTGAAAAATCTCGTTGGATGTTAACTTGGATTGACCAAACATTCGATCAACAAACACATAACCAACTTCTTCAATTTTCTTCCCCAATTTACTGGCTCTTATAATTACCTCCATCTGAAATACATAACCTCTGCCTTCAACCATATGAATAACTTCTCTCAGCACTTCTGTTTTATACAGCCTAAAGGAACCAGTTAAATCGGTTAAGTTAGTAAATAAAAGAAATTGGGAAAGAAAATTTGCAATGCGACTAATTAGAACTCTTTTGAAAGTCCATCCTGATATTCCCCCTTGTTTATTATATCTAGTACCAGTGACAATATCACAGTTTGTTTCCTTCTGTTTTGTTATAAAATCATATATATATTTAGGGTGATGTGATAAATCAGCATCCATAATAATTACAAAATTTCCTGATACAATTTTTAATGCTTCAATATATGCTGAACCTAAACCTAATTTTCCTTTTCTTTCTATTAGTAATAATTGTTCTTCTACAAATATGGATTGCAATTTTTTATATACATCAGATGTTTGATCTTCACTGTTATCATCTACTAAAATAATTTCAAATTTGACATTTTTCTTTTTTAGTTCGTTTATGATCATATATATTACATATGGTAAATTGTCTTTCTCATTATATGTTGGTAGTATGATGGAGTATTTCTGGGTACAAGTCATTCTTGTATTTTGGCACAGCGGAAGCCACGAGAAGATGAAGCATAAAAAGAAAAAGGTTATGTAATTAATCATGTTCTAAGATGGTGAAATTGTTACTCCCAGTGGTGTATTAAAAACAATGTGCAAAAATAAACACCTACTTATATAAATTCTACTACACATTATTACCCATTTATGCATGTACGTTGGAGTAATGTTACTTGAAACATAGGCTGCTTAAACTGTCATCACTTTCTTGTATCATATATCGGTTGAGCTCTTCACATTTTTTTCCTTTTTAAGGTGAAATTAGAAATACAAAAGGGTATTTCACACATTTGGTTATTTAAGCCTATAGGAGAGCATACTACATATAACCTTATATTTTTGCCTGCAACTTTTGTTGGTGATATTTTTCATATTTCCCCCGTTGTACCGTTGAGATGGGAAAATTTGCTTAGCCATAAACGATTGGCAAAACAAATATTTTTTTTTTTTTTTTTTTTTTCTGGAAGCAACGCGCTTAAATAAATGATTGTTTATACTTGTCACATTTTTTCATGCATTCTTAATTTTGCAGTTTATTTTATCTTTTTCATTTCGTACTGCACATCATATTTCATATTGATATATTCTGTTATTATATGGGTTCCTCTTTGTTTTGCTATAACTTTTGTGATTTGACCTTATCTTCTCCACCTTTGGTCTTCTCCTATTTGACGTCTTTCAATTTGCATCATATTTCATTTGTGACTTATAATTTCTCTATTTGATTAATTACAAACCCGTTTCAGCCAGTTGTACGTTTTCTTGAAAAATATAGAGTGGAAAAAAAAAAAAAAAAAAAAAGTGCCAAAAGGTTTTTATATGCGAACTTTAACAGCCTTGCATAATCCAAAGAAATGGGTTTTGCTTGCAACCCACAAGAATAGTGAAAAAATTTGATCATTCTTTAAATGTGTAGAATAATTACAAGATAATTTTTTTTTTTTTTTTTTTTTTTTCTTTTGAATCGGTGGATATATCCACGGTTCTCGTTGAAGGGGAAAAAAAAGGAAAAAAAGAAAAAAAAAGAAGAACGGTATCCTTAGAGTATCAATTTGGCTTCCACATTATCACCACCTGATAACTGTTCACAAAACCCTAAATCACAATATGGACAAAGAAGGAGAAATTCGCATCAGCTACCATGATTATAAAAGGAGATTAAAGAAAATCACAGAAGAAATAAAAAAAGAAAAAAAAAAAAAAAAGAGTATTAATAAAAAAAGTGACAATTTGATAAAGCTGGAAGATGAACTGAACAAGTTGAATGCGATGTACAATGTGAGGAATGAAAATGAAGCAAATGGGACAAACAGGGAAGAGGAACAAGATGATAGTAATAAGGAGACAAATAAATTTGAAGAGTTCACTGATGATATGATTACAAATAATTTATATTCTTATAATGAGGTTTCTAAGAAAGCCTTAAGAAATATAAAAAGGATGCAAAGGAAAGAAATGGAAGATGAAAGGAATGAAAAGTCAAGAAACAAAGTAGGAGAAATAGAATATAATGAATTATCTGAACTCTTAAAAAAAGTTAATAAGACTATTCATCCTATTGCTCCAGACGGGAATTGTTTATATGAGTCAATTATACATCAATTGAGACAAAGAATAACCAATTATAAATTTTATAAAACAGATTTTTTAAATCTCATTCATGAAGAGAATTACTCATTAGATAATATTAATTTAAGAGATTATATAAACAATACCAAATTTGATTTTTCCATTTTTTCGGATTTCAATCCACGAGATTTAACTAGTGATATATTGCGCTTTCTCACCGCATTGTATATCTTGCAAAACGAGCATCAATTCGTGCATTTTATTTGTGCGAATGACGAAGATGTTGTAAGTGAAACAGGGGGAGGTAAGAAAAAGCATGTAACACAAAAGTGGAAAAAAAAAAAAAAAAAAAAAAAAAAACTAAAAAAATGGAAAAAAAAAAAAAAAAAAACATAAACAAAAATGTTTGAATACACATTTCTATTACCTTGCTAATTTTTTCACAGACATGTATTTCAATTATTGCGAAGCAATTACCAAGGGCGTGTATGGGTGAGATAAAAGAGATGGAAAGTGGACATATGAATATGCAAGTGAAAGGGATATGACATCGCACTCCATTTTTTAACTTACATGCATCTAATTAATTTTCAAGAAGCTTTTGTGTTAGGGGTGGGGATGATGTATTTATCTATTGTAATATTTTGACTGTCACATTTTTTTTTCTTTACTCTGATTTTGGTATTTTATGTATACGCCATAACATCGTCTATTACTAAATTATGTGATTTTTTTTTTTTTTTTATTTTACAAATTCATCTAATGAGATGACACTCGTTAGTAGAAGTCTCTCTCTTGCATGTACTTAATTATGATGTCTCATTGTGTGTTTCATTTAATTGCATTTCTTCATAGGAGCGAAATCGAAATTAAGGCACTCTCAAATATTCTGAAAAAGAAAATCACAGTCTATGATGTAAATATGGACATATCCTATGTATGTCCATAAAAGGAAAAAATAGTTTTCCAAAAAGGCAAAATACACACACATGCATACATATATTCATATATATATATGTATGTATGTATGTGCACGTCATTTAGTAAGATTGTATTATTCCACACTTTCATTTTTGTCAACCAGGGGGAGGACTATGAAAAGGAGTTATTCATATGCTTCCATCACAAGCTATATGCATTAGGTAAAAGAACCGAAGGGGAAATAATATCCGTAATGAGCTAGAACGGGTGCAACATTTGGGGGTAGAAATAATTCCTTTTTTTATGTTCAAAAAAAAAAGATTTTTTTTTTTTTTTTTCCATTTTGCATTCTTTATATGCTCATAATTTTTTACGCTCCTGCATTTTTTTTTTTTTATAGGAAAACACTACAATTCCGTTGTTGACATATGAATCGGACAAGGTAACTTTTTGAATAGCAGATGTGTATGCTGGAAATTATAAAGTGAGATATAGGATCAGTATATCCCCATTAGCATGTTCTTCTTATACTTTTCAATGATATAGTTTCTGAAGATTTTTTTTTTTTTTTTCAAAGAACACAAAAAAGGAGAAAAAAAAAAAAAAAAAAAAAAAAATGAAAAGTTGCAAGTACAGATACGATACAGGTAACATCGTGAAATGAGTAAAGAAACACTACACAGATGCAGATAAAATGAAGGGGGTAAAATAACTAATAATAAAATAGCTGTTTTTAATTAAAACGTTTTGACAAATTGTACAGGTAAAATATCATATAGCATTATTTTTCAACAAAAAAAATAAAATAAAATAAAAATAAAAAAAAGTATAAGAAATATATAAAAAAAAAAAAAAAAGTATAAAAAATATAAAAAAAAAAAAAAAATAATAAAACAATTTAATAAAGTGTTTTTTTCTTTAAAAATTACACACGCATGAGCAAATTGAAAATAAAAAAAAAAGTTCATATAGAACTGTAATTTTTTTACATAATATACAGAAATATTACTACCATTGGGTGAGTCGATAGCAACCTTATTGGTAGATCCGCTTGGGTGAAGAAAAAAAAAAAAAAACTGTAAAGTGTAAAATAATGACCGCTAAATGGAACCACAGAGATTGGAAAACACTATAACAATTTCGCCTGCACCTATCGGACAAACGTTGTACACCACATGCGGAATAGTACTAATTTTAAAAGCAGCAATGTTGTGCAAAAATTGTTTTAACTTAATCATATTATTTATAATCCTCGCCATAATATTCTTCATCATCTTTATCATCTTCATAATCTTCTTCCTCCTCGATTTCTTCCCCTTCATCATTCTCTTCTTCGTCCACCACTTCATCTAATTCGTCTTCCTCTTCATCATCTTCGTCTTCGTCATCATCTTCATCTTCTTCATCCTGCTCTTCAAGTTCTTTTTTTAATGCATTTCTTGTGCGTTCATGTGGATAGCTAGATTCGATTATGTTGTTTTTATTTATTTCACAGTAATATTTATTTTTTTCATTTCCGTTATAATTGTACTTTTTTTCATCCAACGAAATTTCAACGGAGCGTTTTATGTAACTTTGAAGAAGTTCCGATGAGGGATAAGGGGAATCTGAGAAAAAAAGGAAAAAAAAAAAAAAAAAAAAATGATTCAAAGAAACACTATTAGGCTTAAATTGAGTAGATTAGATATGCACACACATCGTATCAAAATAAACAGTAAATCATATTCGTATCATCAATCGAATTTCTAAAAAAAAAAAATAAAAAAGAAGATACTATTGCCACATTCTTGTGGTTGTGGGAGAAATAGTTATGCTCTAATAATTTGCGTATGCTTGTTTTTTTTTTTTTTTTTTTCCTTTTATGTGTGTAATAAAGGCATACCTGATATTTGTCCTCTTTTATCTCGTGGTCTCCACTTGTTTTCGTACTTCCTTATGGGTGGATCGCAAATTTCTTCAAATAAGAGAAAGGAGAAAATACGGGGAATATATCACAGTTGTAAAAAGAAAGTTATTGCATGACGGTGGAACTCTTAAACGGTAGAGCAGGGTGTAGTGACCTTATGGTACATTTATTACATTTCATATCAGAGAAGTATTGTGAAACTATTGTGTAATATTACTGTGTGAGTAAACAAATGTGACATATGCACGAATATGCTTATCCATGCGGTCACAAATAAATGTAATTGTATATGAAAACGTGTATTTATGTATGTACATTATGATACGTTATGCGTAAACATGAATAAACGGAGTCATGAGCAGGTACAAATGGGAAATATATATATATATGCTTACAGGCACGTATGGAAAAATAAATAATTAAGAATGGACACCTTATTTTGTGGATTACCTAAAAAGTTAAAATCAGCGCTTTTTAGCAATTCTATAGCTCTTTTGGGATTGTAATCAACTCGATGTAAAATTTTGAAGGCGTATTCAGGAGTAAACGGGTGCCATCCCAATTGGCATTTCCAGTTTTTCGCTAGTTCTTTTATAAAAATAGCTAGTTCGTAATCATTTTTTATAACTAATTCGTATTGACCCTCGTTTAAGTAGCTCTCTTTCATCCGTTCGAGTAAGTATGGAGAGTAAACTAGCTCCGATTTGTTGGATTCTACAAAGGAATGAATGAACAGTTTTGAATTATGGGAAATGTAAAAATAGGAACGTGTCTAGGTTCATATGTGAGCATATATAGTCATCCGGAAAAAAAAAAAAAAAACATACATACATAAATGCGCTTTTTTTTTTTTTTTTCCCACTCTGTAACAACAGTGTGATTAATGTAAATATGAAAAAATATGTACCATCATATTTTTCAGAATGACTATTTAAGAAAAAGGTAGAAACATTTGACACTTGGTAGTTCTCTCCTATGTTTATCTGTCCTGTATATTTGCTTCCTTCACTTTTCTGTTTTACCTTTTCTTTCTTTTTTTCGAATGTACTATGTGAATGTTAAATAAAATATAAGCAAATGCAAAAATATATATAACAAAAAGCTGCTTGTATAAGAAAGCTCATAATTTTTAAGAGTGTTATCTTTTTTATATATCATATTAAATGGGAATATATGCGCGCAAATATTTATATATAAAAAAAGAAATTCATGTGTATATTTTCAGTATATCACTACTCCGATACTTGCACAAACCTTATAGTTTTTAATTTCTTTCTTCTTTTTAACGAAATGTCGAAGGATACTCCTGTGGAAAATATTATAAAAAAAAAAAAAAATAAAATAAAGTAACATATACACCTTTTTTTGTTTTTTTTTGCGTCTATAACTGTCCAGGAGTAGTAATCAAATTGAAGGACATTTCTTCATTACCATTTCTTCTGCAGAGTGGGCAATACCAGTAGTTGTAGTTTGATTGCGGTTTTTCTGATTCTTCTATGCACTGTTAAAGAAAAGGAAGGGATAAGCATTTCGTTAAAGTGGGTTTCAAAATTTTGTTCCAAAAATGGGGGGCAAAATATAGAACACGTAAAAAAAATAGCATGGGAGTCTTATAAAAAAAAAAAGAAAAAAAATTCCTTGAAAAGTATTCTTCCTTCATCTGTATTAAAACCTCAAACGTATTTAAAATTTGAACTCAACTTACATATATGTGGTAAGATCTAACACAGTTATCACAACAAATTAAATTCCCTCCCTGATAACATTCATAGCAGAAAAGATCGTTCCCATTACTTTCGTTAGCATTCCTCAGTTCTGAATTGTTTTTGGATGATTTTCCATTTTTGTTATTTGTTTTTTTGTCGCTGTTAAACGTTGTATTTTTATGGTTATTCATTCCATAATTTTCAATTAAATTAATATCCTTATTTTTGGACTTATCTATTTCTCTTCTTTTTGCTTTATTGTGAACAATCACAGATCCCTTTTCCATCTTGTTCTATGAATAAATGGAGTATGTGTATGTGTGTCTGTATGTGTGTCTGTATGTGTGTCTGTATGTGTGTATGTGTATGTGTGCATGATTTGGTTGTAATGGGATGTAAAATACAACAAAAAGGGAAATTTCGCCAAGTGTACGTAAGTTATGTGCGAATTTATAAGAGTGTACAGACAAGAGTAATTTAAAAGATCGAAAAAAGTGCGCGACAAAAGAAAGTTAAAAAATTTTCCACAAGGTTATGGAGATCATATGAAAAAAAGTGCTTACAACTATTTTGGAAAAAATTAAAAAAAAGAAAAAGTTAGTTGCATTTGTCCAAATAGCGATTTAGTAAATTTATTATTAATGATTTTTTTGTGTCCTTCGGGGTTTTGTATGATGTAAAAATATTAATAAGGTTGTAAATATTCTATTTGAAAAAGATAAAATAGATATATACATGTGTATTTTCACATATATATATATGCTTTTTCTTTTTTTCAATAAATATATTTTTAAATTAAATAATAAAGGTGGCATAAAAAAAATAAAAAAAAAATTGGGGGATTTTTTTGTCTTACCAAAATTTATTTTTTGCTCTCCCAAAGCGAAAGATGTATTTTGGATTATTACTTCTTAGTCTGAAAAATATTAACACTTCAATATTTTAATTTTTATTTTCGCATGTAAATGAAAATATTCCCTGAAATTTTTCATTTTTATTTTATTTATTTTTTTTTTTTTTTTTACCTTAACTCTTTTTTATAGTATATTATACAACATTATGTAACAGATTTAATTTACGCTACTCATAAGTGTTTATGGCTGTACATGCACTGATGCGTGCATGCATGATGCTATATCGCATGTATATATATCGTATGTATTTTTCTTCACCTTTATGCATTCGCATATATATATTTTTTTTAAAAAAACCATGCTAACAACATTTGCTGCATAACTTTTTTTTTTTTTTTCTTCCTTATTTCAACATTTACGTGAAATTTTTGTACTTACACAAATTTACTTATTACTTTGTACATAATTAACGCTAATAATGAAACATTTTAGTTGTATATTAAAAGGTAAATGAGGAGCTAAATTGTGTCCAGTTTTTTTTTCTTATACTGTAGGAGTAAAATGTGTAAGTACTTATTTACTTATGCATATATATAAATATATATATATATATACGGTCTATTCGCGTGTATGTTAAAAAGTGTATGGATATTTTCCTATGTGTATGTGTATACATCCATACGTGTCTACACATTATATATTTCCGTAAGTCAGTAGATTATCGTGCATAAGTATAGATATATCTTTAAGCGTTTACATAGGTTTTACACATCAAATGTGCACTCCATGTATACAACGCTATAGATTACGTATATTCAACAAAAACGTATGTATTGTTGTATATATATATATATTTTTAATTTCGAACAGTATTATTACAATCATGTACCATATAAGAAGGCAATTGGGAAAATACAAAAAAATGGAAAAGATTGAGTAAAATGGGAAATAATGAAGAAAATAGGATTTGCTTGGGCAAAATCGGGAAGATGTAAAAAAGGAAATTTTTACAAAATACATCAAATTGTTATTAATGAAAATAGAATATAAAAATTAAAACACAAATTTTTTTATAATAAATATTAAAATATAAAGCACAAAAAAAAAAAAAAAAAAAAAAAAAAAAAAAAACTATAGCCACAACAATTTTAAGCGGTTGCATAAATTGAACTTGTGCGCACAAGTCCATAATTTATATCCCATACATTAAGATGTTGTAAAAATTTACGTGTTTATGTTCTCACAAGGATTTATGTGTACATGTGTTTGCATATGAAATTGTTTCATTCTAAGGCAGTTAACAAAAAATATGGAAGTGTATATAATAATAGGGTAAGTTATTATGCACACATCGTTCAAAATTGTTAATTCTATGTTATTTCTCGTTTGGTAGTCTTTGGGGACATAAATGTGTATACACAAATCCATAGGTACAAATGAATTTGCGGATGTGCACATAACTAACTTTTTTTTTTTTTTTTTATTTTTTAAATGGTAGACATACATTACACGAAAACATATGCAACACCGGTAACAGCCTTCATGACAATTTTAAATCTTCCTAAAGGGTGCGCGTTTCGTAAAATATTTTACAATTACATGTTTCCCAAATCAAATCAAAACATATATATCAATAAAAAATATATAATAACAATAAAACATAATGGAAGAAATTTATTTATATTTTCCATTATATTTACATTATTCAAAGTGATAAAGTCCAATGTTCCTACAAAAAATGCATTGCCTCCATTTCATTTTAAACATAAATGTAAGTGAGCTGATCTGTTTCTTTTAAGTGAGTCACGACAACAAATATGAGTTTATAAGAGTCTTTATTTATGTGTACAAATGAAGACATTTTCGTTCAGGAACATACTTCTGCACACTTAGGTACCTACTACTGGAACTCTGTGAAGCTTGTATTCCCATTCGGAATACAAAAAATGTAATCCTGTTTACTAATTATAATATGAATGATCATTGAGAACGCAACTTTCTGTGTCAGTTTGAACTACTTGCTAAGAAACAAGCTTCACAAAAGAATATAACGCAACTGTGTCTCTTTTTTTTTTTTTTTTTCACCTATGTACTTTTAAATGTTGTTACATTTTAACAAATCCGAGATTAGTTATATCATTATTTTCACACATGTTTATGTATGAAGGACGAAATGAAAATTACATACACTAGTTCATATTTCTTCTGAAAAAATGAAACAAAAATTGGAGTTTCATACATGCAAGTCTCGAAAAAGAAAAACCATTCACGCAAATACTTATTTGGGGAAATAATAACAAAAAAAAAAAAAAAAAAAGTTCAATGAATATTACAGGACATGGGTTCCATGTATATGCACATATAAGTGGAAAATCGAAACAACAGATTTAACAAAGAAAAATAAAAAGGATACAATATTTGAAAACACATGAATGATCATCAAATGAACATTTCTACATATATATACATACGTCACATACAAAAATGCACATTTGTCATAAAACGCTCATCAGTAAGCTTCACTGTATTCCTTCTTCTCCACACACTTTTGGAGGTGCGAAATTTGTCTAACTTCTATTTCTGCTTCACGAGGAATTTTGGTAGATAAATTAAACATTGCATTTCTGTGCGAGTCGAAAAAGTTATCCTTATATAATTCCTCCATCTTCGTGGTGTCCTGTTTGATCCACTTATTCTGCAAATGAACCATTTCGAGTGGATGTCCTGGATGTATGGGAAGAGTATCCAAAATACTTTCCTTAGACGACTTAATGGTTGTTGTCATATCTTGTGAAGAATTTAATTCAGAAGTTGAGCATTTTTCATATGAATCACAATCGGAGCATTCGCATGTGCGATCAGATGAGTTATCATGAGTTTTCTTCAAGGCATCTTTCTCTTCTTTCAAATCAGCATTTACTCGCATCCATAATGCCAAATTATCTACTTCATATAAATCTTGAGGGTTTATTTTAGTTATTCCCTTTGGATATTCTCTAACGGCAATTTTTGTATCAGTTGGTACAATTTTTATTATATCATGATAGACTAAATAAGGTTTTTCTATAACACAGTCTACTTTGTACACTTTACTTGTCCATCTTACTTTAGGTATTATTCTTTGACGAACTGGTACAGGGACATATTTATCATTAAATTTAAAAATAGGAATGTCCACATCAACTATTTTCGGTTTAGGGACTATATAAGGAACTGGTAGGTTTATCGGTATATCAATTTTTTTTTTTATTTCAACAACTTTTTCCACCTTTGGTATGAACACGTTTTCAAATATCTTATTTTCGGTTATGTTTACTTGTGGTCCAAATGGTTCCAGTAGTGGGGGATGGAGCATATCATCTCTTCCACTTTTCCCACTACTCTTGCAATCAGTATGATTGTTCATGTTGTCATAACTTTCGCTACTTTTATAAGTGTATAATGCCGTGGGGTCATATTCAGATTGTGTCTTCCACTCTCGTGGAAAAATTTCTTTGTGTGATATACTCCCTTGATCTATTACAAACCTGTTATTATCTTTATCAATATAGTGATAAACCTCTTCCACAATTTCCTGATCTTTAAAACTTATTTTTTCCTGAACGTGAAGAACATCCACTTTTTTTTCTGTTACAATTTTTTTAATTACTGGTTTTTCAATAATGTTATATTTAGTAACTTCTTTTGGAACATACTTTAACTTTTGAATAACAAAAGTATCACATTCAATTTTGTCTATAAACTTCAATTCAGGTACTTCTATCACTTTAGTTTTATTTTGAAGTGTATTAGCTGGAACATCCATTGTGTTTTCCATTATGTCGAGGTTTGACCTGCATATAATTTTTGTTTCCCTTTTTTGCCTATTTGTATATCTAGGATCACTACTCAAGGGAGGAATAGATCTTGTCAATGAATGTGACGATTTTTCTGCGTTTGCACTATTTTTTGTAGCCGAATTTCCTTCTATTTCGCACTTGTTTGAAAAATTAACAACATCGTTTGCGCTGCTTAGGACACTTGTGGTTTCGCTTTTCGTTACCTCCATTTTCTTGTCACAATTAGTGTGTTTTGTGTGGTGCGTATATGTAAATATTGGGAATATACATATATATATATATATATATACGCAATTGCAAACGAAAATATCTATTCATGCAAGCAATTGTGCTATGATTAATAAAGGCTCAAAATATGGGCGAACAAAAAACAATTTAAGCACTAGGGGCTATGTGGGTTTAAAATAAAACAAATTTAGCTTTTAAGTTTTCAAGTGTTATGTGTCTACAAAAATAAGGAAATAAACAAATACACGCACATATAAGAAAAAAAATATTTAATTACAAACACAGATCTGTGCCTTAAACATTACATAAATGTCTTATCATAAGAACGTTTAAAACATGAACAAAATTTGTGCAACGTTTTAGCGTGCCGTTATATACTTCCATTTCTTGAATGTATATTTAAAAAAATGTGAAATACGTAAGAACGCATAAGATATAGAACACCATGTAAAAAAAAAAAAAAAAAAAAAAAAAAAAAAAAAATTACGAGCAATACGTGCACATGTAACAAATCGCTTTTTATGCTGACTATCAATAATGTGTGTGTGTATTTTTTATAATATGTTATGTGTCCTTTTATTAATAATTGTAAAAAAAATAAAATAAAAAAATATTGACCTAAAATGCTAGGTAATTTTTATCACATGAACAAAAAAAAAAAAAAAAAAAAAAAAAAAATAGCTAGCTAGCTAGCTAATTAAAAAAACAATGAAAAACATATGTCATAGTCATGCTTATGGAACCCTTGTGGACGAGGCAAAAAGCTACAAACAAATGAGAATAACATGATTAAAAAAAAATATGTTTAACACTTATTATGTGAATATATTTTTGTAAAAAAGAAAAGACATTCAATAAAGTTCAAAAATTTATGCAACGCTTTAAACGATAGACTTTTTGGCTGCACATGCTTGTAGAACAGAGTGAGGCGTAAAAATTTGTAAATCATTTTTATTAATAATATGTTCAGTTGTGTATGTTTTCCATTTATATGCACTGCAATGGGGAAAAAATGATACGAAAAAATGCTTTATAAAAAAAAAAAAAAAAATAATAGCTATAACATAACAACAGAACTAAAATTGTAGAAGGTTAAAAAGATAAAAGTGATTACAACTGAAAAGGGGATGGAGAAATGCTGAACCTAGTTGCGACACACTAAGCGAGAGTGATGCACAGCATACATATCAAATGGCTACTTTTAATGAAGAGTAAAATGATTCTTAAGTACATTTTTAAAAAAGTCAAAAGCGCATATTTTCCAACAAAAAGATGAATGAAGTAAAATGTATTTGGAATTGCGTGAAAAACCTTGGAACAAGTAAACAAAATTATTTTTCTTTAGATAAAGGAACATGCAATACATTAAGGATCCACAGCACTACTTCATCCAGGGAAAATATATTAAAAAATAAAGAAATAAATCGAAACAAGAAACAGCAAATATGGATGAAAAAGATCAACGTGAAGGAATTACCACGTAAAAAGTTTGGAAATAAATTAGGAACAGTAGCAAAAAGCTTATATTTGAAATATGTTAATGAAAATTGTGAAGAAAACAGTGTTTATTACAAGAACAAATATGATGTAGATTATGGGGAATACAATAATTGTACTATTTTACGAGATGGGAGAAATAGTCAAGCATATGAGGAAAATGGTACACAAAGGGGTTGTAATGACAAGGATAAAAATAGGAGCAAGGATAATGTCAGTAAGAACTATTCACATGTGAATACCCCTTTGCTTAATGAGAAGGAACAATATTATAAGCAAAAAGGACATACAACTTTTCGATTCAATAGTAATATAAATGAAGTGACTTCAACCCTGAGTAATGAAAACGTATGCAAAGAAAATTGCACGAATGAACCTCACTATGACAAACCTCTGTGGATTGATATATGTAATGAACTGAAATATCATTTACCATTTCTTCAACCGTATAGCATATCTATGGCTTTGAATTACTTATCTAAAATGAATTATGACGAATACAACATTTTTAAATTAATCGCAGAGAATGTAGATGAGAGATGGATAAAAAATTTTAATATAAAAGATCTCTCCCAATTACTCATGTCTTATTCAAGACTTAATTCAAAATATGATTCCTTCGTAAATTTAATAAGTAGGGAATTATTATATAAAATATGTTTCGCAAATTTTGAGGAGATATCTCTAATAGCTTATTCATATACAAAAATGAAAATATACGATTATGAAGTTTTTCTACATTTATGCAATGAGACAAAACATAAAATGAAAAAGGGGTTAACGCAAAATTTAACAAATTATAATGATACTACTTATAATGGGTTAAGTAATATTATCCCTGTGTGTTATAACAAACGCAATGACGTGGTCAGAAATTGGAATGAAGGAGAAATTAATCCCCCAAATGATTTATCCTACTCGTTAAAGGAAAGAAAAGGAAAGGAAAGTTTTCAGGTACCTAAAATGCAAGATATAATTTATGTAAAAAAAACTAGCCAAGATAAGATACTCCCAAAAAGAGCACATCATGGTATAAAAGAACCCCCCTTCGAAGTGGACAATGGTTATAACAAAAGGGAACCGAATCAAATATTAGATTCTGCCACGATACATACACAAATAATTAGAGGGGAAACTGAAAATATTGATAATGAAATTGAACAAAGAAAGAAATATTCTCACATTTGCCTCTTAGTATACTGCCTTGGAAAAATTAAACATCGTGATGATGATTTGTTTGGAATGGTTTCGGAATATATAAATGTAGAGAAGATTAATAATATAGACATAAGCAATTTGTCTTACACATTTTCTGTATTCAATTTTTATAAAAGCCGATATTATGAAAAATTTTGTAGGAGAAGTCTCCAAATTGTTAACTTTGCGCAAGCATCACAAAAAGTAGTTATTATGACATATCTTTTAAAACACCCGAGGGATGAGATGCTAAGTGTATATTTTTCCTATGTAAAAAATATAAGAATAGAAATGGAACAAAAGGAAATTCACAAAGAACCACTACTTCTTAACATGTGTATAAACAGTTTTTCGAGTGATGTATTTTTAGATTTCATACTTAATATTATAACTTCACAAGAAAAGAATCAAGAAAAAGAAGAAAAAATAAATCAAGCCTATTTTATATTAAATGTTTTGATTGATTACGCAAGTTTTTTTATGAAAAATAAGAAACTTTGTTCGCGTGATTTTCCAAAGATTTTGAATATTTTATTAAAAATTCAAGGTGCTATCAATGAATACAAAGGCACCATTTTGTCATATGTTCATTCTCACTACAAGGAAGGGAATGATCAAAAGGTTAATCTATTAATAGAAGACCTTTTAGATTTAATAGTTAGACAAATGCATACATTTCATACGTTTGACTTGGCAAACATTAAGAATATTTTTTTGGGTGTAAAATGTGAATGGCAAGGTGTTCAATCTAGAAAAAAGGCAGAAGAAATTTTTAATTTTGTTAATAAGTGAGACGGGAGTAAATCACGATGAATAAAGGTGATAAATTGTGCACAAAAAAAAAAAAAAAAAAAAAATGAAAAAGGATTCATACGGAATACATAATTGTATAGGTACATACATGCATGCATGCACATGTGTGTTTTTGCGTAATTATGATAAAATAAAAAAAAATAAGCATTCGAAAGATTAAGCCAGGAAGTTAGTAGAAACCGATCCATTACTTACCAAAGCGTATACACCATATGCATTTTCAAATACCGAATTTCAGCAAAAAATTAACAAAAAAAAAAAAAAAAAAAAAAATGCAGTAATGCACATGTCACAAGGGTCTTTTATTATTATGTGTTCTTACACAAAATGGAAAGTTTAATATAAAATTGGAAAAAATATATAATGAAAATGAAAACAAAAATAAAAAAATAAAACAAAATGCCTTTTTCTTCTTCATCTCCTTCATCTCTTTCTTCTTCCGTTTTTGAACAAGTTATATAGAAAAATTTTAATTACGAAAAAATGACAATTGATGAGTTGCAAAAAGTTAAACATATTAATATGACTACATTAATACATATGTGCAAAAGTACAATATACACATAACATATATATATATATATGCATGCATACACAAACTGTGTGATGCCCATTAATTGCTCACATCACAATCATTACAGGTAGGTATTTTTAAACGTTTTTTTTTTTTTTTTTTTTTTTTTTTTTCCTTCAGCTAATCAATATCGTCATGCGTCGTAGGTAAAAGGGGACAACGGTGGAAGTACAGCATATTTCGGATGACTAGAATTTTGGTTAAATTGTGTGTTCACATTTCATTCATTATTTTAAATTGCCTATTATTGTTACAGCTACCGTTTATTACTAGAATTGTCTTTAGCTTTTGGTTTTCCCTTTTTCGTATGATCAGCTGTCTTGTACGTATCATCAGTGTTTATATTTTTTTTAAAATTTTTTTTTGGTGTTGAAGCACCAAAGGGTTCTACTCCTGTGGACCTAGTTTTATTTACGTCAATTTTTGAATTTACTTTATCTAAAGAAGATTTTTTCAATTTGATTAAATCATTTCCATCATTTGGAACTTTTCCTCTGATATTTTTAAATTTATGTTTATCTACATCATTGTTAAATGCGGATTTATTTTTTTGATTAAATTCTTTATCTATCGAAACTGGAGCTGTTATTACATCATTTGAAAACATTTTTTTAACATTTTGATTTTTTTCTTCATTTTCATTTATATAAATGAATGAATTTCGAAGTTTTACGTTCTCATAATTATATGACTTGTTCAGCTGATTACCATAATAATTTCCGCTATTATATGGAAAATTGTCGTTATCATAAAAGAAATTATCTTGTTTCATGTTTAATTGTTCAGAAAAAGGATTGTCAAGATTCTTTTCATATGGGTTATTGCTATTACTTTGATTTGCATATAAATCTGTATTGAAGAAAATTTTATCATTTTCATTATTTGATCCATTTATTACTGCTCCTTCATCAAGTTGGTTGTGTTTTTCGTGTCGCTCGTTACTACTGTAATGAGTTGCATTATCTGAGTTCATGTAAAAGGATCCCCCTTCGGCATTTGTATACGCATATTGTGTATGATTGTGTTGAAGATAATGGTGTTGTGATTGGTGCGGTTGTGACTGGTGAGGTTGTGATTGGTGAGGTTGTGATTGGTGAGGTTGTGACTGGTGAGGTTGTGACTGGTGAGGTTGTGATTGGTGAGGTTGTGACTGGTGAGGTTGTGACTGGTGAGGTTGTGATTGGTGAGGTTGTGATTGGTGAGGTTGTGACTGGTGAGGTTGTGATTGGTGAGGTTGTGACTGGTGAGGTTGTGACTGGTGAGGTTGTGACTGGTGAGGTTGTGACTGGTGATGCTTCTCCTCTTGGTGATATTGATCATTGGTAAAATTTGCAAAGACTTCGCTGTTATTATTATCCTTTTGCATGGCGTTCCTGCTTCCATTCTTTCTACTAATTGAAGCTGCATCATGGGGGGGGACAATACTCTGATTAAAAAAGGACTGTTTCATGTTGTTCAGTTTGCTGACATTACAATTGTCTATGTTGTTTCCTCCGTTGTTTCCTCCGTTGCTTCCGCTGTTGCTTCTGCTATTTCTTCCGCTATGGTTTCCCATATTGCTGTTGTAAAGCCTGTAAATTTTCTCATTATTTATCATTTCTTCACTATCACTTGCATACTTAGCACCTTCTCCTCCTTTGAAACTAGTTCGCTTTTTCTCTTTCCCTAAAGTGTCATCAGAATATATTAAATTTTTCTGTAGAAAATTTTCTCTGCATGAAGTCTTCAAATTGCCAGAACAACTACTTCCTACATTATTAATGTTCATGTTAAACATATTTTTATCTACATTTTTGTGAATATAACTGTTGCTTCCAGGAAATATCATAGCAGAAAACTGTTCCTCTTTCTTCAAACTATTACTTGAGATAACGATATTCCTTTCTTCATCGTTTATATTATACTCTTCTTCTTTATGTTCAATTACTTGTTCGCTTATGTGTTTACTACCCAAACATTGTGAATGTCGTTGATTCATCATTTCGTGTGCATTATTTCTGAAGAAGTCATTATCACTGTTGTTGTCACTGAAGTGATCCATTCGGAAATTACTGCTATATTGCATGCCACTATTATGTTCACTAATACTTGGTACATTGTTATTTGACATTTTTTCCATGGGATTTAGTCTTTTCTCCTCCTGCTCTTCCTCTTCCTCTTCTCTGTCACTTATAACACTACTGCAATCACTTCCATTGATATGGTCAGCTATAACGTTATCATCTCTACGAATGTTCACTTCTTTAGTAGCTGTGTTGCCATTTCTTCTTTCTTTATTCTCGTTGGTATAATTAGTACTTCCAATGCTGGCAAAATCCTTCATTCTACCCCTGAGGTAGTTATACTCGTCCTCTTCGTTTGAATAAGGTTCTGTCTTTCCATCTCTGCTAAATTTTTTACTAAAAATTGGTTCCTCATTTGTGAAAATAGATTTTTGCATATTTGAGCTGTTTTTTACATTTCCACTATAGTTGACATTATTTGTTTCCCTCTTTTCGGTATAGTGATCAATGTGGTTCAACACGTTTCCCTTCTTGTTATTATCTCCAGTAGAATTTCCGTTTCCATTACCAGCATTACGAGATTCTAACTCTTGATAGTAATTGTTACTATGGATGAAATTAAGGGAGGATCTCTCATTTACCAATTTTTCAAAATGCTGATTATTGGCATCTGCCTCACCTTCCTCTTCTGTTTCTTCCTTGGTGCGAACATCTTTATCTTCAAATCCATTGGGGTTATCATTATTTCCATCGTAAAAAGAATCATTTGGAATATTTTGATTCTTTTTAATATTATTACCGTTATTTTGAGAGAAGAAATTATTATTTCCTAACTTATTCTCGTTGAAATTGTTTTCACATCCGTTCAATTTGTTATTCTCCACAGGTATATCGTTTGAATGTCTAAAGGATTGATTGGACTGATTTTCTATTAGATTTTCAAAAAAATTATTGCCTTCACATTTTCGTTGATTTTTCCCTTGATCTTTTTCAATAAACTCGAAGGTATCATGGATATCATTTCCTTCATGTTGAATGTTACTTTTTTCATCGCAAAACATGAAGTTTTCATGATCTGTTGTCAATTTGGTATTATAATTTTTTTTTGGGGAATTTTCATTGGATTCATGTTCTTTCCATTGCATGTTGTTAATATCTTTAAAATCTGTGTTTTTTTTTTTTTTTTTCTTTTTCTCTCTATTCCCGTTCTCCATATTGTTATCTCCTGCACAGTCATTATTGCTAATGTTTGAAATTTTTTTATTTTTATTTTTCTCATTAGACGAATCGGTAGCTTCTTTATATTTCCCCCTTTTGTTGTCTTCATAATATTCACTTTCGTCCTTATAAAATAACGCTTTAGTGTTGTTATCATCCATTTTTTGTTCCATATTTTTCTCTCGTGCTACTTCTTGTTGATGAGATTTTTCATATTCCGTCTTGTCTTCGTTTCGATTTGTACCATGTTCCTTATCATCATCTTGAATTTCCTCACGATAATTTCCCCCTTCTGATTGCTGCTTCCGTTGTTCCAAGGTTGTGTAGCGATTATCTCCCTTGTTGTTTACCTTCGAATCTCTAAAAAATTCTGTTTCCTCAGAATAGCAGCTACTGTTATCAGTGCTGCTTCTTCGTGATTTTTCGGATTTGTCTTCATGTTCGATCGTGGCTTTCGCAAACTTAGGCAAACTTTTCTTTTTATTTTCCTTTTCCTTTTCTTTCTCTTTTTCGTCCTCTTTTTCTCCTTCCTCCTGCATGTCAGTGTATACACTACTTTTTCCACTTTTGTACGCTCCCTTTTCGTTTTCGTGCAGGTCGTCCTCGTTAGCATGATTTTTCACATAAGTGGATCCACCGCTAGCTGTGCTCCCACTAATATTCCCATTTCGGTTTGTGTTGCCATCTCCCGTCTGGTTCCCATCTCCCATCGGGTTCTCATTCTCAGTTTTACTCCAACTGGCTGATACTTCATCACTCCTGCCTTTAATTATGCTATCAACAACTTTAAGCTTCCTTTCTTTGTCCAATCGGACACATAAGGCCTTCTGTATTTCTTGCAAGATGCAGAGTCGTGCATTCATGATAACATTTGTCTTTTCTTTTATACACAATTCTTGGTATTCCCTTTTCAGATTCAACTCAGTTTGTATGAGATTGTTAATCGAATTGGAAATTTTTGTTTTAAAATTAGTTAACTCATCATCAGTGTATCCTTCATATTCTTCTTTTAATTTTTTATAAAAATTTTCATCCACTTTTTCGTTCTTCATATTTGTTAATTTCCCATCAAAAAGGTTCAGAAATGGATTTGCATTCTTATTACCCTCTGATTCTGTGTTCAATCCTTTGCTGAAATTTTTTAGCTTTTCTTGAAATTTATCAATGTCATCTTTGTATGAATTGTAAAAGTTATTCTTCACCTCATTTTCGTTCTCGTTATTCGCCATTTTTTCCCCGTTTGTGTATCTCCCCATTCTTTTTGTAAAGCTGGACGTGTGATTGCCACATTTAAATGTTCCACTTTTACTACTGATGGGTATCTCAGCTGCATCCCTGCGTTTGTCGTCTTTATGAGTTGTATCATTTGTAACGGTTGTAGTTCCAGTTCCAGTTGCAGCTGGAGCTGCTGCAGGGGAGGAGGAAGTGGTCGAGGTAGTGGCGTTATTTTCCCTTTTTGTGGATGACTGTGAAGTGATGTCTTGATTAGGACCTTTTTGGTCGTTCTGGGAAGTGGTTGGTTTACTGTTATTATTAGTACCTGCGTGGTTAGCATCTTCAATTATTTGTGGATAGACATAATTGGTCTCCTTCTTCTTCTTCTCCTTTAGTCTTTCGGCGTCGTTCATAAGTAACTGTTTAGCCTTAAATAATCTCTTGAAATGATTGCTGTGTCTTTTTTTAATATCAGGACTTATGTTAATGCCTAATTTGTCTGGATGCCATTTTTTAGACAAATTCGAGAAGGCTTGTTTGATCTCTGCAACGGAACAATTTCTGTTTACATTTAGAATTTGAAAGGAAGTGGCATTAATCTGTGACTTGAGTTTATCTTCTTTATCATCTGGTTTAATGTTACATTTGATACACATATTTTTATATGTCAAAAGAGCATTTTCATATTCTAAAAGGTTTTCATATGCATGTATTTGTGTGTCAAATGCATTTATATATTTGGGTATATATTTTAAGCAATTGTTACAATTTTCGACAACATCAATCCATTTATTTAGATGCATTAAAGTTCTAGCTCTATTATAATACAGCTTCCCAATATTTTCATTCATAGATTTACCCATTTTAACAGATTCGGATAATTTTATTTGTTTTTCCAAAGCTTCACTATATAAATTAAATGCCATATCATATTTGGCATTTTTATAATTTTCTGCTCCTTTCCCTGCTATGTCTAGGATATATCCTGATATGAGATCGATTTTTATTTCTTCGTTATCTACATAATCGAGAGGAGTTTTATTTTCTGCATTTTTGTTAAATATGTAGTTGTAATTTTTACCAGATAATTTAAGAAGTTTCACTAAATCAAAGTTTTTTTTCTGTAACAGGTAATGGTATATATTATCACCATTTTGAGGATTTATTGGATCTTTAGAAAAATTCAGAAACATACTTGAGGTAAGTCTCTTTAACGTTTCATTTGAACAATAAAACATGGGATGCTTTATGTTGTATTGGATTTGCTCTATATTTTGGCTAGCACTCGGGTTCAGGTGCAAGGTTCCATACGAATTGCTATTCACTGTGTTATAAAGACCTAGTGATGCATGTATTGGGTTACCATCCATCAAATTGGAGATATCATTATTCACAGATGTGTTCATATCAATTAAGCATAAATCGAAGAATTTAAGAAAGATAGACTTTTTAATCAATCTTATCCACCTAAAATTGTCACATTTTAAACAAGTGAAAAATATTCTGTACAAATTGTAAATGTGCATATTTTTGAAAAGAAGTGTTAACATAATAGAGTTGATAACCGAAATTCTTTCTTTATTTTTATCAGAATCTGGATTCTCTAACTGTCTAATAACTTCCTTTTCAAGTTCTTTAACAGGTACATTGTCACATCTTTCTTTTCTCAAGCATAAATGAACGTTTAAAATTTTCGATTCCACAACACAAAATTCTTGCAAATGTTTTAAAATTTTCTTATGATTACATATGTCTTTATTTTCTAAAATAAAATTTGAAATGTAGCACCCATAAATCGTTGCTTTCGTATCATCATCATACTTTTCTATATTCTTTTCATAAGTAATCCTTACTGTTTTCATTTTTACGATAAGGTCATCCAATACAGTTTGATCAATTTCTTCACTTTTTCCATAGTAAAAGGGAAATTCATAAGATGTCACGAATTCTTTATTTTTTTCATGGTCATTTCCGTCTGGCTCCTTTCCTTGATCCTTTTTGTCATTCAGAGCTTGCATTCCGTTACCAGTTGTTGGTGCATTTCCTGCGTTCATAACTTTAGTCACGTTAGTATTATTCAATGTACCACCTGGAATGTTTGTATTACTGCTAGATGCTCCTAACACAGTAGTAGCCCCACCTCCACTACTGTGCATAACAACATTTTCCGCACTGAACTTCTTCGACATATCATTCCAATTTTCTATCTTCTTAATTTCGTTATTTTTTTTTTCTATCTCCATTTTGAGACGCTCCACTTCCTTTTTCAATACATCATTTTGAGATTTGGTGTCTATTAATTCTTTGGCAAAATTTTTATCAAATTTATTTATTAAATTGCTTAATTCATTTTCGAAAGTAGATAAGGTTAGTTTCATTTCTTCATTCTGTTCTTTCAATTTCGTTATATCTTTTTCGTAGCTAGCCATTTTGGTTTTATTGCTATTATTCAGTTCCTCTAGATTTGTTATTTCTTGTCTTAGACTTCTTGTTAGTAACACATAATCGTATAATTTGGATTCCAATTTAGATCCTTTTTTTTCTTCATTATAAATTGAATATTCTAATATTTCTACAATTTTCTTTAACTTATTCATTCGCTTTTTCGTCGGATTTTTTAAAAATTTCATGCTCCCTTCCTTTTTCATATCTAAGAATTTTTCTTCATTCAAATGGTTATTCAGCTCGATAGAGCAAGAACTATCCAGGCTAATGTTACTCATGTTGCTGGCATTGCTCACGTTACTGATATTGCTTGTGTTGCTTTTGTTATCTTCATTTTTTACCTTCGTCTTCTTTTCTTTTAAGTTTGCGCCTCGATTTGGACTTCCCGTAGCTGCCTCAATCGAATTGTTTGAGGTCGACTTGGTTCTCTTCTTATACGAATTAACATATTTAGCATAAACAATTCCGCTACTCAATTCGCTATTTTCCTGATTATCCATCACCCCCGGCCTCCTACTTTTACCCTTTGCCCTTTTGACAATATTAGCAAAATCGTCGGTTATGTGACCATACTTTTTCTTTATTTTTTCTCTGTTTATATTCACACTCATTCTGGGCTGCAAGTTCGGATGTAAGTTTGGATGCATATTCTGGTTCATGTTCTGGTTCATGTTTCCCTTCAATTCCACAAATTGCGTATTTTCCTGGTTGTAATCTACGTTATTCTTCATATCACTGTATTTCTTTTTAAACTCATTTAGATTTATGTTTATATCTTCTTTGTCAATGCTTATGTCTTCATTAGCATTTTTTTTTTTTTTTTTCTTTAATGAAATGAGTTTCTTTTTGTTACTATTGAGAAGTGGATCTTTGCTTGTCATGACTTTTTTCAAGTTATTCCTTTTGGTTGTCATTGCATTCCTATTAACATAGAATTCGTCATTGCGCCCACTCATCGTAGTGTTCGGATTTGTACTATCAATATTATCATTCTTATCATTCTTATCATTATTATCATACTTATCATACTTATCATACTTATCATACTTTTCATACTTATCATACTTATCATTATTAACATTGTTGTCATTATTAACATTGTTTCCATTGTTGTCATTATTAACATCATTGCCATTGTTGTCATTATTAACATTGTTGCCACTGATATCATTATTTTCATTGTTTTCCCTACTTCGTAGATGGTCCCTGTTTGCTCTAGTATTCCTACTATCACTATTTTGATACACATTGTTGTTCATAAAACTAATGTTCATATTGCTTTCAATTTTGTCTCCTGAGCTGTTCGAGTTCCCACTTTCTACCATTGAATGGTTAGGATTATGGGACAAATTTACTCTTTCCTCCTTGATATATGCTCTTTCAAAATGATTGCCCTTTTTATTTAGAGGTGTTGTAGGGATATGTTTTTCTTGAAACTTCTTGCTTAAGTCTAATCCGTAGTTAAATTCATTATTTTCATATTTGTTTTCGAAATTAGAAAACATGTCGTTAAAATATTTAAATTTTTTTTTTTCATTTTTATCTTCAGTAAATATATCATAATATGAATATATATTGGAGTAAATGTCATAATATCCCGAGTTATAATTTTTTAAATTTACTTTATTTTTTTTATTTGATTTATTTAACCCTTTATAAAAATAACTGTTATTATACTCTTCCTTTTCTTTCTTTTTTTTGATCAAGGAGAAATTGCTTATTTCGCTGTTGCTCATGTCTCCATCCTCATCCTCGTCTTCATCCTCGTCCTCATCATCTTCATCATCCTCATCATCCTCATCATCCTCATCATCCTCATCATCTTCGTCATCTTCGTCATCCTCATCATAGTCATCATCTTCTTCATCTTCCTCGTCCTCTTTTACTTCCTTTCGTTGTTCTTTATTCTCCTTTTTTGTAACATTCTTTCTACTCTTACTATTTGCAGCACCGTATGATTTACCATTACGACTTGTGTTGGAACTTCTGTCTGAATGCATTCTATCAATGTTGTTGTTGTATGCATTATACTTCAGATCGCTCATAAATTTGAATACCTTTTCTCCATTTGATTGATTATAATTGTTTTCTTTATAACCATTATTTTTCTTATTAAAATTGATATTCCCTGATTGTCTATTAATTTTTCTGACATTATTTTTTTTTGGATGCATCTTTTCCTATTTCGGTTATATTAGCTGTGATTCGTTCTTCAGGAATTCTTGAAATTGAACAAATAAAGGTGCACAACTGGTTGTGCATGCAACTCGATTGGTGCTTTTTTTTTTTTTTTTTTTTTTTTTTTTTTATGCTGCTATGTTGTGTAGTTCGTGTGTGTGTGTGTTTTTTATTTTTATTTTTTGTTTTGTGTAGTTCCCAACATTTCTACTTTTCGAGAAAGGAATCGGGATAAAAGCGTTATTTACGTGGTGAATGTTTTTGTACATATATATATATATATATATATATATATATATGTGCTTATATATTTTTGCTGTATTTCACCTCACATTCTTGCACAAAGCGTTTGAAGTGTACGCTTTCATCAATAGGCTATTCCCATTTACTTTCCCTTTTTGAATTCTTTAAAAATGAGGAAAAAAATGTCATTTTTAATTAGCTGCAAATGTAAAGATGTCGTAGATGGAAGACGAAGAAAAAAAAAAAATAAAATAACATACGTACGCAACTGGAGGAAACTGTTTTGGTATGAAGTCCTGTATTTGTGATAGCACGTGTACAAACTACGACACATATATCATTAAATGTCCAAAAATGAATATACACTTTGTGTCACCACGTTGAATGTATATATTACATTCAACTGCAAGTGTCGAGTTGGGAAGGAGTAAATTTTAGTTTCTTGTAATGACGGTAAGGATGTATATATACACATACATATATGTATATGTATACGCGTCAGAAAATGTTATTTACTTAAGATTTAAAATTTCTCCCTCACCTTTGCTGCGATAACAATTAATAATGGAAAGACAAAAAAAAAAAAAATTGAACCCACGAGGAGTAAATATGCAACGTATTGGTCATAATTGACGTTGGCAAAAATGTATACATAGGAAATGTCAACATTGTAGAAAACATGATTCTATCATATGTAAGCATTTATGCAAGTGTACAAGAATGTAGTAACTTACTGTGTCATTTACTTGTATAAGGATATATAATACTGTTCACACAAAAAAAAAAAAAAAAAAACTTTTCACTAATGTTATGCGTATGTGTGGATATGAAGGTGGTACGATGTGGTAGTCATGTGTGTGCGTATGGGGGAGAAGAGATGTAAAATAAAAAAGTGACAATTATGTAAAAACCAAAAAAAAAAAATTCATGTATTAAACGGGAAAGCTGAGATGTCTTTTGTTCAAGCGGTTGTTCTTATATATAGAGATTGGAATATAAACACGGGTGTATTACTCCAGAAATTATATAAGAATAATTGTTACATATTGTTTATGCCGGGATGTGTACAGGCACGAGCATATATGATGAAAATTTTGTACACAAAAAACAAGTACATATATAATAACCCCAAAAATTAAGTTTGTGCATTTTTTTTTTTTTTTTTTTTTTATTTTATCTTTGGTGATAAGGGAACTTCCTTCGTCGTCTTATTGGGGAAGATATTTTTTTAAGTGGAAAAAAGTAGCTTTTCTTATAAAGCTTATATAATTTTGTAGGTTTTTTTTTTTTTTTTTTTTTTTTTTGGTATTTTCATATACAAAAAATATGTACTTTCCAATGCTACGAAAACATATAAACATATGGTATGGGTGCGTGTTTATTGAATTTTTGTTAATCTTAAATAACATCAAATTTTAAGTTCATATAAACCTAACAGCCATTTGGGTTAATCGTTTTTTTTTTTTTTTTTTCTTTTCTTTCCCTCGTTCTAATTAAACAGCAAGGTAAGATAATTTATGTTCTTGGTTTTACATGTATACACGTTTTTTACATACATCCTTGTAAACATGTATATTTTTTATTACTCTCACGTGTATGAATATATATATAGTACAAAACTTTTTTTTGAGATATGAAATTTACCTCCATATTTTTTTTATCCGCTTAATTATTCTCATTCATATTTTTCTTCATTTTTGGAATTATTAAAACCATTTCATTGATTTAAAAAAAATTACAAACAATTCGTTTTTCTATAATGCATATTTTCTAAAACGTACATACGTAATGTTTGCTCTTCACGTATGCAATGTATATATTATTATTTAGGAGATTCGGGTTTAACATTACCCTTAGTATATTGCAAAAAAAAAAAAAAAAAAAAAAAAAAAAAATTGCGAACAGTGCAGGCGCAAGTTTATATACAAAAAAAAATATATTGATACAGTATATGAATACTTATATGAATGCCTAAATGACCTAGGCATAACATGTGCATATGTTACAGTTTATATTTTTTGTTATTGGTAACTTTTTTATTCATACAAGTGGCGCTTTTTGGGAAAATAGCTTATTTCGTTCTTACACAAGGCACATTTCGTAAATGGCGCTAATTTACCAATTTTATGAAGAAATATGAGGAAAAGAATAGATTTCATCAAAGTCATCTTTCTTCCCTACATAATAATAACTATGGCAAAATTGTATATATAATTATGTGCATGTATACGTACCACATGTAAAAAAATATATGGAGTTTAAAATTAAAAACTTGCAATTTTTTTTTCTTTTTTTCTTTCTTTTTTTTTTTTTTTTTTTTTTTTTTTCCACACGCATCCTCATCCATTCTACGTTTTCACGAATTACTTATGAATATAATAACGAACATTACTCATAAAAAAAATAAGCAACAGAATAAATTGTGCATGAGAAATATTCCTCATATACATTAATGCAGATAGAGTGGTTTGGTACAGACATGATCTTTTATGGGTTTTGTGTACTTGCTTGTTTCCTGTGCATGTATTGCATATACACACTTGTTACGCATGCACAAATTTGCAAGCTAGGAATTCAAACACAAAGGCCTTATTGTATGCACCTATTAAGGTACGCACGTACACATGATGACTTTTTTGTGTTCATAAGTGCACAGGAATATTTCGCCTTTAAAGGATATTACAAAAAAAAAAAAAAAAAAAAAAAAAAATACCTGCGATGGTATTCATGTATATATACATATATGTATGCACGTAAATATGTGAACATATTGCACAAATATATATTTTATATGTATTTACTCATGCACTGTTAACCATTTTATTAAAACCAAATAAGTTTCATGTGCTTACAAATTATGCAAGTTCATATGCCCATGAATATGTTTTTGTGTGCGTGTCCCCCAAGACCTGCTTAATCCATTTTGCTCATCAGAAATGGGTGGTGTAAGGTTGTGACAATGCAACCTGGTAGGGATATATAACTTTTCGTAACGATTGATCTGGTGGAATGCTACTATGTGTCATTACTTACTTGAGTGTTATCCTCCCAAGAGTGTCTTATTAAGTTTTTGTATTAAGTGATTCTCCATTTCTTTGAATATTTTTTTTTTCTCATTATCGTGAACACTCTCTGCATGTGTAGAATATGCGTTAACGATTTGAAGTATGTCCTTTTTTCTCACCATATGAAGAATATCATCATTTTGTGGGAAGTTGCAAAATTTACAAACACATTGATCCGCCTGATAATTTATTGGTATGTGCATTTCGAAATAAAAGTTATTTTGAACTTCTGCAATCTCTTTATGGGAAAAGGTGTATTTATTAATAAGGGTATATACATATCTGTCCAGTAGTAGATAATCCATTTCAACATGTTCAATAAAATCTTTTCCAAAATGTTTTATAAAATGAGTTCTTACATTTTGTGTATTGCTAATATTTAGTTTGTCAGCACTGTACAAAATATTTCTTATGCATTTTTTTAGCTTTTTTTTATTTTCATTTTTTGGATTGCTCAATGTTGCAAGGGATGTTGATTCGTTACATAGACTAATCAACTTGTTACATATATCACAAATATTTTCATTTCGAAGCATTAGGCAGATATTCTCATGGGCTTTCTCAGTTTTTGAGTTTCTGTGCATAAGTGGAGGTACAAATGGTTATATTATAGAAAAAAAAAAAAAAAAATCTAATGCCATACAAACAAGGTCCAAATGGACATACTATTTCTGTGCAACAAATTACACAAGTATGGTGGGGGAGTGAGAAAAAAGTAGGATGAATAAATCTACATGTACAATTTGTATGCTTTGGGGGAAATGGCATTATTATACAATACAGTGTCAATATATATGCATGCAGGTCCTACAATAGAAAAAAGGTAATGTTCTTCTTCTGCACCATGATTTCAGTTCTGCTTTTTATTTGAAGCAGGTTCACTGGGATGCGGGGAACGGTTGTGCGGTTATGTATGTGTGCATGCATGCGGCCATTTCGTACGTATATAGAGCAAGAATTATGGAAAATTACTTAGGTATGCATGCAACATTTATATAGTGTACAATACATGTTCGTCTAACCTCTCTCTTTAAATAAGTTCAAAAAGGTACCAAACATTTTTAAGTCCCTTTCATCCATTGGCATTTTGAATGTTTTGAGCGTCATATAGTTATGATTATGTTGCTTCGCACAAGGGAATGATTTCGCGTTTTAAAATTTGCAGTCGTTTTGATATTATTCAAAAGGGGAAAAAATTATGCAGCTCTTTTTTTTTTTTTTTTTTTTTTTTTTGTTACGATATAGAGTGGAAATTATATAGTCATATTGTTCATTTTGCGATATGGTGGTGAACACATGGCATAAAAAAAAGAAAAGAACAAAATAGGAACAAATGGAAAAGAATGAACAAATGGAGAAGAATGAACAAATGGAGAAGAATGAACAAATGGAGAAGAATGAACAAATGGAGAAGAATGAACAAATGGAAAAGTATGAACAAATAACAAAATAGGAACAAGTAAAAGAATAGTGAAGTCGTTTTATAGGGGATTTTCCAAAGAGGGCCAATGGGTAAGGTAGGATAAAAGGAAACGCAATTGTATTCGCACACAATGGATCCTAAGAGCACCCTATTTTAAATTCATAATGTAGCAAAATCGTGAACACCATACCTCTTTTTTTTTTTCTTTTTTTTTTTTTTTTTTAAAGTTGTAAAGGAGAACAAAGTGGTTACGCCTATTTGAGATGATGCGAATATGTAAAGAGTCTTGCAAACTGGTATGTAAAAAAGGTCTGCAAAAATGTCACACTTTTTTTAACACATTAATTCGTTGGTCTAGGCCTCCGATTGGCATATTCATGCTTATTTACGTATATAAATATATATATATATATATATGTATACGTAAAAAAATGGTAGGTATGATATAACAGTTGTTAGTTCCTTTGTTACATATATAACGAGTGTGATGTAGATAAAGGAAATTTAGGCAAATTTTATGGAGAGTAAAACGTTTCTGATGTTAACATTTTTGAGCTGTTTAATTTTTTTTTTTTCTTTTTTCCCATTTTGTATTAAATGTAGCTTCCCAGACATTAACTAATATCAAGTGGAGGAAATAATTTTGTATCTTCATTCGGCAGTAAATCATGTGTTTCAATGGACATTTTTGTGTATACTTTTATGATGTTACTATTTTATAGGTTTTTTTTTTTTTTTCTTAACGTCACACTCTGTAACAGTAAGCATTCTTTTTTTTGTTTGTTGTGCTTTGTAGAGAGTTGTTTAAGGTGGATGTTTCAGCATGAATGCAACACCTTGGGGGTTAAGGTGAAAATGTGCATGTGTCGTACTTGCGTACATAGAAACGGGTGGAAGAAATTTATAAAATTGTGCATTCCCATATTTTTCTTACTATCGCTTAAACGTTCATCCAGAGCAAACTCTCATTTAAATAAATATCTTTATGCTATTACATATAGGCTCTTGTGTATGCGTATTAATTCCCCTCATATAGTATCCACTTCTTGTGATTCACTCCAAATGAGCTCAATGTAGCATGTAGGATGTGTGTGTGGGAAGAAACTGATTTGATTTTCTCGCAAAAATGTGTTACCGTCTCACTATGACAATCTTTCATGTTGACAGAGAAATTGTGCTTGGGAAAAAGAGAAAAATATAGTTTCCTTGTGAGGTTAAAATATGCATGGTCTTTAATAAATTTGGTAGGTACACATCTTTTTTCTTTTTAAAATAAAATTTCATGCATGTTCAACAATTATGCAAAAATGAGCGAGAGATTATTTTTACATTTTTTTTTTTTTTTTTTTCTGAAGCATGCAAATCGATGTTTAAAAAAAAAAAAAAAAAAAAAAAAAAAAAAAAAACATGCTTAATTAATTCGCTTTAATTCAATGCGAAAAAAAAAGAAAAAAGCATCAATCTAAGGGAAAAAAAAGAAAATGAAGTAACAGTTTTTTCCCCCTTTACATATTATGTTTTTTTTTTTTTTTTTGTTCGTTTGTTTATTTCTTTGTTTTGGTTTTCAAGAATTTTTTAACTTTACGTTGTTTTTACATGCTTCATTGCTTTGAGTTTCCGCTAATCCTGCTTTTTTTTCCTTCTTTAAAATTGAATTCATATGATCACCCTGACAGACTTCATATTCATACTTCCCCCCCCCCCTATGTATGGGACATAATAAAAGTGAATGGAGGCATAAATACCCTAAGTTGTGTATTCATTTTTTTTTATAAAATACATTCGGTCTGTGATGAAGAAATGGCCATGTGACAAATGAAAAGACGCATAAATGTATATGTATTACTATGAATATATAAACACACTGTATAAATATATACACCTACAAGTAGGCACGGCTATATTTTCATCTCCACGTAGTAGTTACCACAGAACAAAGTGATTATCTTTTATCTAGCATTTACCATCTTCTACTAAATTAAATCTATACATGTGGAACCATGTCAACATGGATTAATAAAAAGCTAATATCCATTTCGGAAAAGGTCATTGAAAATGTAATCGATTCCTTTACAAACAAGAATACACCCATAGAAAACATTCAGAATATACAAGGGGTAAGTTGTATATACATTTTAACCATACTCTCTTCATACATTTTTTTTTTTTTTTTATTGTATAATACCCCTTTGTGACGTTTCTCATAGGAACTTTTTCATTTTCTGTCTACGTCAACCATTGAGATTGTGTTTACAAAATTGTGTGTAATCCATCTTCGACCTTCACATCCACATTTATTTGACACGCCTACACTTACATACAATTACGTGCAATTACATACAATTACGTGCAATTACATACAATTACGTGCAATTACATACAATTACGTGCAATTATATACAATTACGTGCAATTATATACAATTACGTGCAATCACCTCCCCCCCCCACGGATGATAGACACAATTAGGAAAAATAATAAGCAAAGTAATTTCATCGAAATATTTCTTCAAAAATGATGACATATGTTACAATTCGAGGAATCTGGATTTCAATTGGCACGTAAAAAATAGAACATACAAGAGAAAGAAAAAGAGAGGGAAAGATAAGATAAAAAGAATTCACAAGAAATTATTAGATGAAAGGAGAAGGAAAATAAACAGTAAACGTCGTAGATATATTGGGAATAAAACAAAAGATGAAAATGAAGATGAATGTAAGGAGGACTCATATAGCAACATTTGCATAAATTCCAAAGGTCCCAATTATTTAAGTATTGATGAGTCGTATATTGGTACTAGTACACAGTTGAGTGTTAATAAGCCATGTGAAGCAGAAGAAAATGAAAAAGAAATATCGTTAAAAAAGGAAGTGATGACATGTAAATCTAGTGTGCAAAGTGTTTTTAGTGAAATTCCAGATTGGATGACTTCAGTAAATTCGAATGCAGCTTCTGGATATGGTTCTTGTGTTGAAAATACATCGGATAGTTATCACAGCAACTATGGGGCCAATTCAGATTGCACGTCTCGTAGAAGTTGTAATAGAAAATTTCGTGAGAGATCCCGTGGAAGTTCATTTGAAAATTCAGCGCACACATCATTAAATCTGTCTACGAGTGAATCTGTATCTAGTTCATTGAATGAATCGCTTTCCTTATGCTCATCTAGGAATAAAACATCAACTGGGGAGCAAAGGGAAAGTTCATTGAACTCAAATCATCATTCAGAGGCTAGAGAAAATTATGTAATGCTGAAGCAGTCCCATTTATGCAAACTAAATATTTTTATAAAAGAGGCGAAATTATTATTTTTCAACAAGAATGTAAGTATAAATGACATATCCATATTTGTAACAACAATTTTAGAGGATAAGAAATATGTAGGAAAATTGAGAAAATTAAGCTCAAGAACACTACCAATGAATAATTTAATCATCAATGAATATATAAATCATAATTTGAAAGATATATATAGCGATATAGTTATAAATATAAAATATAAAAATCGGAAAAAGAATAATGAAGAAATAATTTTAGGAAGGGTAATTATCCCCCTATTTTTAGTGTTGAATACATATAAATATAAAATAAAAAATATAAGAAATAAAATAAAATATTGTACCAAATGTTTTTTATGGCTACATATATTTCCTTGTAATAATAAATTATTTAATTATAAATTTTTTAAACCAGTAGAAGGATTTGAAGAATATGGCATGTTAAATCCTTTGTACACATTGGGCTTTCTGAATATAAAAATGAGAATACTTTTTAAGAAGAATCCTTTATTTTTAACTCTCTATAGTAATATGAGAAAGCCTCTATTTTATTATAAATTACCTATACAATTTGAGCCTCTGTATTGCCAATATTACAGTGAAAATTTCTTTGTCTATGTGACGAATTTACCTATATGGGTTTATAAATTTTTTTATATTTTTAATCCAAAAAGAGTTGAAATGATACCTTTAAATTATTATGATTATGTATTCATTTTATCATTTTGGTTATTTTTTTTTCGTTTAATTGTTTTTTCTCCTATCTTTCATATATCCGTTCATTTTTTTTTTTGTCTCATTTTTATTTCCCTATCGTATAAGTATGGAAAGATAAACTATTGCCATAACATGAACTACAACTTTCGCCCTGTCCAAGTAAAGAGGAGATCCCATCGAAATTTCAATCATGAAAGGAATAATAATCAAATGATTTCCATATTCCACCCTGAAAATAGAAGAAATGTTCATTTTTTCAACAAGAGAAGAGAAATATCCCTTACGGCGAACGATGTCGATTCTAACTATTGCTGTAAGTATGAAGGTGAAGTTTCTCTGTTGAAAGACTTTCCACACTCTAGCGCTCTTAGCTCAAAAGAAGGAGAGACATATAAAGCAGAAACATTGATATGTTCTTCAAGGATGGTAGGTTCGAATCTTGAGACACCACATGATGAAATTCTTACAAAAGTAAAAGAAAAGGAAGGCAAGTTTGGACACAATGTGTCAGAAAGAGATGTGATGATCCGGCAGTATGGATTAAAGAACGATGATTTTCTCAAATTGATAGTAACAGATGATGATATGAAAAGTGTACCCAGCGAAAAGGAAAATAATTGGTTAAATAAAAAATGCATCCATGGAAAGGATGAAGAATTTAGTGGTGATACAGAGAATGGCATGGTAAGCATTCATAACGATTTTAACAGTAATAGCAGCTTTAATGGTGGTGATAGCTTTTATAAACCTGTAAATCAGAATAACGATAGTGAAAGATATGTTGCGCAATTACAAATAGAAGAAAATTGTTTTTTAAAAGAATCTGCATTATATAATAATGATGAAGAGACGAAAGAAATTGCGAAAAAAATTGAGAAAAAAATTGAGAAAGAAATAGAAAATGAATCTAGAGAGAATGAAAAAAAGAAAAAAAAAGAAAAAAAAGGTATCATTGACTTTATGAATAATACTCCAGATGAAATAAACAACAAAATTAACAATGTAACAAAATTTGCAAAACGGTTACAAAATATGATGTTTGATAGTATGGATAAAAAACCATTAGACTTTTTCAATGTAGGTTCACATGGAAATGGACTATCTAGTCTATTTAACGGCATAAATGAAAGGAGGAAAAAATCAGATAAGGATAGTACCAAAGGTGAAAATTCTAATTATCAAATTGGAAACATGAACCAAGGGGATAATACACGAGAGGTAGAACAGGAAGAGAATTACCAAGTGAAGGACAAGACGATGGAAGTGACGAAGAATATAATGAAAGGAAGAAGCCAGAGAGAAAACGACATTTTACAGTTTAAAAAAAAAAATGCTAAAGGATTAGAAATAACGATGCACAAGAATAATAGGATAGAGAAAACGAGAGAAGAAAATGAACAAAGGAATCGAAGGAATAATACATGTGTGTTGCATAGTAGTAATAAAGGAGAATACACAGATTACTCAGTGTTAGTATCTTCTTCATGTAACAATGGGATGGATTCAAATGTAATGCAGCAGAGTGTTATGAATTTTAATGATGAAGGTTTCAGCAATTGTAAAGAGGTAAATAATTCCCAAATTGTAAATGGGAATTGCAACAATAGAAATGATTTGTTTATTCCATCATCTGGTAATTTAGAAGGGGAAGGAAGTCATTGTTCTCATTCAAATAACTCTGGAGAATCTAAATTTTCTAAAAAAAATTATTCATTTGATACTTTTAAGAACAATTTAACATCATGTGCAAATGAAGAGAAAAGTTATTTTGGAACAAGAAATGATACAAATATGACAAGTGAAAAAAAAGACAAGTTTCCTTTTAAGAAAAAATATGCTTTTATGCCAATTGTGAAATCACCATTTCATAATTTTTATTTATGTTTCAGTTCTGTAGATAATAAACAGATACCCATATTTTCAAATAATATGGATGTACCAAATGTCCATTTATTGCTTAAGCGATTTATCACACTAATCACCTTAACGCAAAATTTTACAGGTGTATTTACAATGATATATGAAAAGCTGAATTATGCTTTTAATTGGGATTTTACATTTTACACGTTTGTAAATTTAGTCATATTGTTTTTTATATGTTATGGTGTATCATTCATTTTGTATGTGCTTTCACACATTCCTCTTTTTTTTTATCGTTTTCTTTTTTTCTTACTTGTTTCTATGATTTTGATAAAGAGTTATGAATTTACAGAAGTTGGTTACAAGGCCAGTTTGTATTATCAGAAAGTAAGTAGGAAAAGGTCTCCCTGGTGGAGATTAACATGGAGACTGATTAGTAAAAAGTGGTGCAGAACAGTGTGGAAGAAAATTAAATGGAAATTGAAAGCGAAAGGAAAAAGGGATTCAGAATTTAATACATATGAGGAACCAAGTGAAGACAGAAACGGAAGAGCAGCTTTTATTATCGACTTGGTGAAAAGATTTTTCAGATCAAAGAAACGATCCATACAACATGCCATTGTGAGAAATTTTCAAAAGGTTTACAAATGTATATACAAGTTATTGGGAAAAGTAACTGTGTATCTTTATTTTTGTATTTTTTTTCTAAAAAATTGGTTAACGAGAATGCTAATATTGAAAGATATTGAACACATGAAAATAGCTAAGATGCAAGGATATAAGAATCTATTTTTTTTTATTCATGATCGTATGTTAAAAAAAGATAAAAATATTCAAAATTTCATGAAAAGTAATGAAACTAGCCAAAGTAATGGTAACAAGCACAATAGTGATGTTTTAGGAGGAACTTTTAAACGGGTAAGGGATAATAAATCTTTCTTTAATGAGGAGGAGAAGCATAAGAATTTTTTAAATCAACAAATTTATAATAATTACAAGAATGTAGAATCTTGTATATACTCCTCTAGCGACAAGGAATCGTTGAGTGTCGAAAATTATCACCATAATATTGAACATTTGGATTATGAACATTATAATAACGATTGTGATAATTATGATGATGACAGAGAGTCCTTAAGTCAGCTAACTGACAATGGTATGATGAATGTTAATGTGGATATATTTCTGCACTACTACTTCAAGAAAAGGAAATACGACCTCTTCAATAACTTTATAAATATCAACAGGAATCATTTGTGTAAGTCTTACCTCATATCGATCCATTGTTTAGTCACATATTCATGCATTTTTGCGTATTCATCTGGATGTGTGTGTGTGGGGGAGATGATCGGGTTGGACATGCATGCACCCTCGCACGTGTTCTGTTTTAACCTTTTCGCGTGTTCTCATCCAGTTACCCAGTTATCCAGTTATCCATCTACCCAGCTATCCATCTACCCAGTTATCCATCTACCCAGCTATCCATCTACCCAGCTATCCATCTACCCAGCTATCCATCTACCCAGCTATCCATCTACCCAGCTATCCATCTACCCAGCTATCCATCTACCCAGCTATCCATCTACCCAGCTATCCATCTACCCAGCTATCCATCTACCCATCTACCCACCTACCCATCTACCCACCTACCCATCCACCTGTTTTACCACATCATTTCTGTGTTTCCCTTTTTCAGACTCCTACAAGGACATTAACTTACTCTACTCAAATGATGACAAAAAAATTAATCACATAAATTATGCAGAATATATGAACAATGAAAATAATTATTCAAGTTCGTATGATAACAACAAGAAGAAGAGGTTTTAAAGTGCATGCAAATGTCATTATATGTGATCATACGACATTTCCCCATTTACCATCTCTTGATGTATAGAATGAAAAAAAAAAAAAAAAAAAAAAAAAAAAAAAAACATGACAACTTTTTGAGCGCCAAATAAGGGTCTGATATATGTGAGGCAGATGAATCAGGTAAAAGTGTGTTCAACATGAATGCACAGCTTTTTTTTTTTTTTTTTTTTTTTTTGGAGGGAATTTTTTTCAAATTTTATTAGAGCGCTGCAATTTTTTTATTATATTTTGTCTTATTTTTCCGTATTTTGCTTTATTTTGTTTTTCCTCATTTTGCTTTATTTTGTTTTGCCTTGTTTTGCTTTATTTTGTTTTGCCTTGTTTTGCTTTATTTTGTTTTGCCTTATTTTGCTTTATTTTGTTTTGTTTTATCTTATTTTATTTCTTTATTTTATTTTTGTTCGAAACCATAACACATTTGATATATATTCATAGTTCCTGTTTTTTCAAACATCTTTTTTGATGATGCACTGAAAAATGTGCTCTCAAGAGGGGACCGCTTCTCCCCCCATTGTGTATTCCCAGGGAAAAATGCATCGTTATGTTGTGCAGTAAGGAATATATGCCCTTGTGTGTGGCCTTCCAAATGTGAAGAAATTCCACATTAGGCAATTTTATATGTCGACTGAAAATTCATGCTAAAGGATTTATCACTATTTACTATTATCATTGCAGCTGACGCGATCGATCACTACTGTTGCTATGCCCACCGTTTTGATTATTATTTTCGTTATTCCCCTTCACCTGTCCCTATCCAAGTGTTACTACTCCTACCTATATCACTTTTTTCATTCTTCACACTTGTTGTAAATAAATATCCAACCATATACAGGCAAACATAACGTTTTGATTAGTTATTCAGTCATTTGAATCATCAATTGAATAAGTGAGATGTTGGGGTAAAGCAAATTAAAAAATTTTTTTTTAGGGGATTCATTGTGCATATATAGAAGTATACCATCTGCGAAATGAAGCAGATATATGCAAAGAGATGTACATATATACGTCTCCATCGAACACGTTAATTTATGTACAAAAAAAAAAAAAAAAAAAAAGCAAAGAAATGCAAAGAAATGCAATGCAAGACATAACAATGTAATGTGAAGTAAAAGGGGGAGGGAGGAAAATGAACAAAAATTGTTGCCACCGGATGGAGACGCGCGTATGGGGATAAGAGAGTATTTCTTAGGGATCCCATATATTGGTAAATTAGCTAATTTAAGAAACTACTACATGCTTCTTCTTTTTTGCATATAAAATAAATGATCCATTTTTCCTCCTCCTTTCTCAAGAATGATAACTTGTGGATTACACAAAAACTGAGAAAATTTTAACCCCTAATAGTCAACCCACTTTTTGGGGTGCTTCAAGATTTGCAAAGTTTCGTATTCACGTGAATATTTCACAATTTTGTACTTGTAAAAGAATTCGCACTTTAAGGGGAGTGATGAAAAAACATTGTCAATTTTTTCATGTTCATCTGAGAAATAATCAGAATTTTGCTCCGAAAAAATTTCATCCTTTAAATAATTTGTAGAAACATAATTTTCTACTTTTTCTGATTTTTTTTTTCTTCTATAAATTTTATATGTATTTAACTCAAGGCCAAATTTGGTACCTCGATCGTAAATTAAATTGAATTCTGCATATCTGCCTCGACAAACGCGTTGCCAATTAATCATATTACTATCATATTTACAATTAATTGTTTGTGCCAAGATATAAAGGTAGGATTTCTTAAAATTTATAATACATTCTTGTATAAACAAATATATTATTTTGTAGCTCTTATCCATAATACAATTGCAACTGTAGCATTTGCATGTGTTTTGTTCGTTCAGAGATTTTTTCCCAATATGATTACTATTATAGTTATTACTGTTTTTATTGTGCAGATTAATGGTAAGTATATCCCTGGATTTGGAATTTTTTGTTTTACCTTTTGATTTTATCTTAATATTGTTATCTAACAAATTGTCAAAAAATATTCCACCGATTCCCCTACTTATATTTCTATGTCTAATTCGAAAATATAAATCACACCATTTTTTAAAATATTTGTAAAATAAGTGATTATACTTATCGCATACTAACTTAAATGAATGATGAAAATGTATGAACAATTCAGGAAAAATATAGCACGGGCTAAGGTCACATCCCCCTCCGAACCAATGTTTCAGACTCTTATAGTTACTGCTTATTTTACTCTTGGCATTGCAACCAGTAGAGTTCTCTCCACTGTTACAACTGCTAGATATGTTTCCATGCGTACTATGCAAAGCGTTACTTGGTTGACCATTTCCACACCCTTTATTGGAAGTGGTGTACGCATTATTATTTCCTATATTGGTGTTTCTATAAGTAGAATTGTTATTTGCTGTAGATGAATTTTTTTTTTTTTTCCTCCCTGTCTTGATGAATACTTGAAAAAAGCGAAAATTCGAATGGATTGATGGTGCATTTGGGTTCACTGGGTGTGCAATAATAGATATTCCAGAAGCATAATACTTGTACTTTTCATTTATAATTTTTATGTTATTATTATTTATAATACGTGAAATGACATTATTAATATCATCTGAATAACAAATTTCTTTCGTGTCTATGTATTCTTTATTATACTGATTAACACACATCTGTTTAGCTGTCTCTCGATCTATGGTTCCATATACACATGAGTAATTAACTGCACACTTTTCAAATACAGTTCCATTTTCTAATATCCTTGTTATTCCTCCACCTATATTTTTCTTTTTCGAATTCTTCTTTGTCCATATTTCTTCTTGAAATTTTGTAGTATCTAAAGATTCAAATAAATCACATATGTTATTCTGTTCTAACTTTAATAAATTTTCCCATAAATTTCTGAAATTTTCATTTGGAGATCCCTGTAAAGTGCATATTTTGGAAATGACATATTTTTCGATGAAAAGAATTACAAACAACGCTGCATTATGTAATGCACATTCAGATGAGATCTATATTTTGTCATGTATATTAGAATAGGGTCATAGAACAAATGGTCATCATTTCTAAAGTATAAAATGTGTAATAATGGAACATATGATGCCATGAAAAAGCACACATATGTAGATCTAATTCTATCATTTAAACCGTGCATCTTAATGGATATTATCATTTCTAAAAAGAAAATGAATAAATGTAATTAACAACATATGCATATATATGCAGTGGTTATATCTGTATGTGTATGTATTGAACAAATTTTCAACTTACCTCATCTTTCATTTTATGCTAAATATATTTTAGATGTTAATAAAACTTAACAAAGATTTTTAAGTAAAAATTAGGCCTCTTTGTAGGGGAAATTAAAGTGTTTGAAGTTGGGGGGAAAAAAAAAAAAAAAATAAAATAACAAATAAGAAATAAAAAAAAAAAAAAATAATAAATAAATAAATGCCAGGTACTAAGTGGTGTAGGAAAAAATCAGGAAGAAAACACATTTGATTTCTTTCCCTTTTTTTTTTTTTTTTTCTCTATCTCTAACCCTAGAACAAAAAGAGTTCCTAGGTTGAATAAACGAAAAAAGAATGATCCGCTATAAGCGACGTTATATGTCAGAGGCTTAAAAAAAATAGTAATATAATTTTAACATGTTATATATGCATATATATATATATATATATACATGCATGTATGTATATATGTATGTACGTATAAAGTTGTGAAATGAATGATGGTCACATCGGTAATAACCAGATTAATGGCCATCTATCTGAATGAACGAATTTGTATAAATAGATAAATAATGTAAAATAAAATAAGGAGAATATAAAACCCGTTTTGACATAAGGAACTAAAAAAAATAAATAATAAATAAATAAAAAGAAATAAAATAAAAAAGAGATACTGAAAAAGAGGCAGTTAAAAACTGAGATCTTTTTAAAAGGATGTTAAAAATAGGAAATCAGAATAAGCACTGCTAAAAAAAGGGAAAACAAAGTAAAATAAGGATAGAAGTTACATAAAATTAATTACTCAAAATGAATTAAAGAACATTTTTTTTTTTTTTTTTTTTTTTTAACATTCAACGCAGTAAAACCGTTGAAAACACTGTGTTATGCTAAGATGTGGAGTATGTCATGTTTGTTCAGGTATGTATAAAAAAACAACATATAGGAAAAATTGATTGCTTCTTCAACAGAAGAAAAAAAAAAAACAAGTTAACAAAGTAAAAGAACAACTCGACAATAAAGAAAAGGGAGGAGGGAAACGATGAATTGTAGATCCTATTACGAAGCACAGATTACATATTAATAATTCCAAATATGGCAAAACCTTTGAAAGGCATAGAAAAATAAGTCAATTTTTTTTTTTATGCCCCCTTCTTCTGCTTCTATATTGATTGATATATATACGTATTCTTACAAGGATAAAAATAAAAAAAAAAAAAAAAATTCACAGATGCGTAAGTGCATATACACATAAACAACACATGATTGTATAAAATAAATGGGAAATTATGCTGATATATAAATATTTGCTCATCCGTTTATATATATATACATATATATATATAATAATTCTATCGAATAATTATAAGTGCATATTGTTTACTCCATTTAAATTTAAAGAAATGGATTAATCATTTCCAAAATATGCAACCATCTCACCACCTTCATTCGCCTTCAACTATTATTGCATATGTCACAAAAGTGGGAGGCGTGGGAGGTGGGGAAAATAATAAACAAAAAGCCAAAATTATTGAATTTTGAAACTGACAAAAAGGAATTGTAAATATAAATGTTTCATGGAACAACTGTACTGGATATGTTGTAAAACATTAAAGAAATTCTAATCATGCTTCCCGTTTAATTGGCTTAGTTTTAACCTATCAATAAGGCAACAACCCCGAAGCCCCTCCTCCTCCCTTAGTTTTGTGCTTTTCCCCCTTTTCTACTTTTGAACATTTGAACATTTGAACATTTTTATTGGGATGAGAAAATTAACGCGGCCATTGATGTTGATACTCCTCTATTGATGTTCACAGAATGTGAAAAGGGAATCTTATATATACACACACTGTACCGCTGAAACTGTTCCTCCTCCTATGTGTTGCACCTTAACGTGGGAACCGTATTTTATGTTTACATATTAAATCGTTCCCTTCTCAATCTTTTTTCTTCTCCCCTTATATATGTACATGTATATATATATATATATATATGTATGCGCATCACTACACGTGTGTCTATTTACCCTCCCCCATTTACTGCACAACTAATATGGCGAGTAGACATGGATATATATTGTTTATCTTTATTGCTTCATTATTCTCATCCTTGTGATTTTTTTTTTTTTTTAATTAAAAAAGCATAAAGGCAAAATTAAGACATTATTCTGCTTCTAATTCGTGCATAAATAATATGCATTTTTTAATTCCCTCTTTGGTGTTTGTTGCTTTTTAAAGTTAAGTTTGACGATAAAAACAGGCATGCGTGAATGATAAAAAAGAAAAAATAAAATAAAAAAAAATATAAGTGATATGTACATTTTTCCTTTCAATTTTCAACATTGCTAAAATATACAAATTGTTTACATGTTACTAAAGCATAAGTTATAGCAACATAAATTCTCCGTAGAACCTGCATATATGCAGGTAGTTTACCTTGCAATAATATGTGATCGAGTCATCCGTGTATACATATTGGTCACATCTCCCATGTATATGCAGCCTCCGTGTATGTAACAAAAGTGCATGCACAACTGTTTATGTATATATATATATATATATGTAAAGCATTATGAAAATTTTTGCAATATAATTTTCTTTTCACATATAGTTAGTTCATTTGTTTCCCTTGTTATTACAGTTGTATAATTTGGCAATGCGTTTGTATTTTTTGATAAGTCGATTTTTGCTCTTGTCGTTTACGAGATTTGCATGATCCTCTATTAATTTCATAGCCTTTTCCTTATTTTTCGTCCTGTACTCTTTATTCGTAATTATGCTGCGACGTTTGAGAAATTAGATGAAAACATGAGGTGTCACATTTTGTTTGATATGAAAAAAAATTACTCTTAAAATGTGTGTGACTGGATTCTTATTGCACAAAAAAAAAGAAAAAAAAAACAGGTTTTCGCTTAAGTGGGGTTACTTTCCCAAATTTACAACATGTGTATGGTGGAATTATTTACATGACATTGTCTTACTTTTGATCAGTGGATTTGACACACAATACAACTTTTCCCTTCTTGAATCGGAGATTTACACCATTTTCTTTTACAAGGCCTACATAAAAATGGGGGAACAGCCGAGAATGCAGTTTTCCACATGAAAAAAAAAATACGAGAAAAAATACGAGAAAAAATACGTGAAAAAATACGTGAAAAAATACGTGAAAAAATACGTGAAAAATATCTAAAAAACAAGTTAAAAGGCGTTCTTATTTTTTTTTATTTTTCTATTTCTTCCTCGTAACACGTTATTCTGCACTGCATAAGTATATGTAATGCATCGGTAGTACCACTACTTGAAGGGGTGTTTTTGCAACTAATGTTATAGGTGTCACATAAGAAATTTCCTTTTTTTCCACTTTTATTTTTTTTCAAAAAGCAGTTGTTCTTTTTTGTCAACTCCCAAATGAGCGCACTGCTAACATTCGACATTTTTGTGTACAAAATTTGGTTAGCCTTTTTCTTTATTTTTTTTTAATCTTTTCAAGGTAAATGAAAGGGGTGTATCTTCACTTTAACACTGTTTGAATGATCTTTTATGAAAAATGTTATACATGCGCAGCTAAATAATGAAAAATCTTTAAAAATATAGGTAATTTTTTAATTTCATAAACCGTAAATTGAAAATAAAGAAACGGGATGAACGGGTGAATAGATAAAAACAGAGAGGTTAGCTTATTAGAAATTAAAAATTCGTATGGGG